GGTGATAATGCCCAGGGGTTTGACCCCATAGGAATTCCCAGCAACAGACATGCACAGCAGCGTCTGAGGAAGGAGGCAGAACACTGTGGCCTTGTGGGGTGTTTCTGGGGCCTGCACCTTGCAGGGCCAGCCCAGAGGGGCTCTTGGCTCGACAGGAGCTGGGGAGCGGCCCAGCATGGGCAGGGGTGCCGTGTTTCCTTCTGTCTTCTGGAACGCTGAAGCAGGCACCCGGTTTGAGAGTCCTAGGAGAGGGATTTGGGAGGAAGAAAGGAAAGAAGGATTTTGTGTGAATCATGCTTAGAAAAACATGCACAGGTGGAGTGATGGTGGCCTTGGGGCTTGAGAAACCTTCAGGCCCATGCAGTCTGAGGGGGCCCTAGCTGGCCCACTGACAGCAGGGAATCTCTCTGGGAACTGTCATAAGAACAGTGAGAGCGCAGTTGTGAGTTCCTCCAGTAAGGGCAATTCAAGTTGACGTAACTTTGACAAGTTTTTCCCTAAGAAGTCAAGTTTGTTAGCTGGATAGCATTAAGGTCAAAGGATTAATCCATTTTTCTGACCCTTTCTCATGGAAAAGACCTGATATTTGTGTCATGTAAATAAGCAAACTTACTGTGACACACAGGTCTCAGCTTGCTTTGTCAAATAATTTAAAGATTGTTGGAAGCAAAATTTCAGGCCATCATTTATTAAAGGAAGTAATACACTCTTAATCTATTGAGAAAAAACTGCTACTTGTGGTACTTAATGTATAGCTCCTGTTACATTGTATAAATGTACACAGAAGTCCTAGGTAGGAGTTATGCACAGCTGACGTGGAGGTGTGTGCATTCATAACACGCGGATGTCCCCACCACACTGGCTGTAAGCGTCCAAGCACAGGAGCCACCACATCAGGGCTGGAAGCTGTCCTGGTTCCCCTGGTTTGCCTCGTCCCTGCAGGGACCTTGCTGGCCTCTGAGGACTCAAAGAGTTGAGGGAGATTTGGATGTGAAGGTATTTATGAGCTATAGCTACCAAGTTCTAGAACCTTCCTAGCTGCATGTGGTCCTGTTGATAAGCTACATCACTCTGAGCCCATGTCATGTTTCTCTCTTGGTAATGTACATTTTGACCAACTAGGCTTGTGTGGGTTTTGAGCATTTTGGAGGGCAGATCTGCTCTCAGAGTTTGGTAGAGAGATCACTCCAGGGCCCACCAAGCCTCAGACCAGGCCCAGCGGAGAAAGTGCGCCACGAGGCCCTTGGGGGGCATTCCAGAGCCATGGGATGGACAGGTGGCTGGGCGAACAGGCTTGCATAGGCCACCAGTACTTCTGGAGCTGGCATTCCAGAACTGACTGCCCCAAGGTCGGGGAGAACGTGGCGACCCTTGGGGATGCTCAGGGGGCACAGGCCCTGCCAGGCAGATGGGGGTCCCAGTGGTCATGCAGAGCAGAGGCTGCTGGGAGACTCTGTCCACAAATGGGAATTCCCAAGGATTTCACCAGCCACCTGTTTGCTGTCCTTTCCTATGGGCCCTTTAGGGAAGGGGCCATCTGGGTGACAACATAACTAAGGAGCAGAGACAGAGGAGGTTGTCCCACAGAAACACTGGCCTATAGTTTCAGAAAAGATTGCCCAGTCTCACATTAGATGACAGTGGACCGAGCCTGCCCTTGGGCACAGATTCCCATGTTTGTAAACCCACAGGGAACAGGGGCATGGCAGGATGGCGTCTGTGGGGAAGGCAGGGTTTGTTAGAGCGTTCAATTCTGTTTATACAGGGCTGTGCTCTAGCAAGTGGGCTCTCAGCCAGGACCAGTGTGCCAAGCCTGCTGGAACCAGACGCTCTCCCATAGATGGGATGTGTGCTCCACACAGGGCCACACAGGGCTGCTTCCCTCACAGGCAGTCCTTACCAGTAGTGATGACAACTCAATTGTCTCACGTGCACCATGGCTCATTGCCCCCTGGGAGTGCAAGACTCTCGGGATGAACGGCAGGAGGAAAGCTAGGCAAATGGCAGTTAATCTAAGGATTAAAAAGTGCACTGGCAATTTGTAAGCTTAAGGAACCATAATACTGATACTTCCAAGTTTTGAAAGAGACAATCTAAGGGCATCAATTTAGATTTTTCTTCCACTGTGCTTACCTGTGTTATAAATAAAATAAAGAATCTGATGCTTTGTACAAGTCAGTGAAAATTATAGACTCTTTGTTTGCCTGGTCATCCATCCATCCACCCACTCACCCATCCATTAATCCATTCTTCCACCCACCCATCCATCCATCCACTTTTCCATATATCCAGCCACCCATCCATTTATCCACTTTTCCATCCATCCACCTACTCACCCATTCATCCATTCTTCCATCCATCCACGTACCCATCCGTCCACTTTTCAATCCACCCATTCACTCATTCTTCCATTCATCTATTATTAATTCACCTGTTTGGCAATGGCTCCTGAGGGCCTTCAGGGAGATGGTTGGCACCAGACCAGATACTAGACATATAGGTACATCCTTTCTCTCTGGGAGCTTCAGTTCACAGGTTAGTGGCCTACAGTTTGCTCACTCCCTTCTCATCTTTAACTGTTTAAGTTAATCAGAAGTAAACCCCTGAGAAAAATGATTGCCAGGTGACAAATGGCCCCATTTCCAACACAATGGTCCTGGCCATTCCCTGCTCCTGACCCCAACCCCACCATTTAGCAGCTCTGTGCCAGGCTTTGCTCCTTGTGTGATCAAAAAGAAAGAACGCATGTTTATAGGTCACTGATCTCTGGTTCTGAACCTGGTTGAGCTATGGCCTCTGCTCTGAGGATCCCTGTGGGGTGACGCTCATGAAAGTAAACCCAGCTCCTGATCCTCGGGCCACGGTTTATGTGTAGCCGATTTGTGGCTCAGGCAGGGACAGCTCTGTGTTCTCTGTCCAGTGCCCGTCACTCACAGAGGTTTCCGTGGGTCCTCCTCTCTGGTCAGAACTTTGAAGGACAGTTGGAAATGTCTCTTTCTCTTGGGAGAGTGCATAGTGATTTTAGTTGTATCCATCCCAGCTTTGCAGTTATTCAGGCTTAACCATCTCTGGCCTAGATTAGCAGCCAAATTAGCACCCTCCCCTCCCCAAATAAATCAAGTGCACAAATTAGAATAAATTGTCACCAGGTTATGTATGGCCCTAAGGTTTCAAAACTCTCATTCTCATAGGTGTGGTGAACTGAAGGGAGGTACACATGATTTTTCTATCAGTGATGCTTTTCCACAACAACAGAACTCATTAAAACATATGGCACATAACTAGTAGTAATCATGGTTTTGAAAGATATAATAGAGCTTTCCGGAAAGGTGTGGTAATGCCACCATTTATGACAGTTGGTACTCTGCTCATGGTTCTTCACTGTTTCTAGTCTCTTTCTTGGTTTTCTGAGTGGACACATGGTGCATCCATCCTAAATCTTTCCTCCTGAACCAGAGTCCTTCCCTTTGTGACAAAGACTGAAAGACTGTGGCCTCTGTCATCCCTCTAAACCCAGAAGATGTCTCTGCCTGCTTGACCCCAGCTCCAGGGCTTTGTCAGAGCTCCCCTGGCCTCGCCCACCTTCCGGGCCAGAGAGTTGCCAGCCCGTGACCAAAAGCAACCACAGGGGTGAGAGTGGGTGGTAGGGGTCTCTGAATGCTGGTGTGGAGGCGTGCCCCCGCCCTGGCTGTGGAGCTCTGCCCACCAGGTCGGGCCACTGTCGCATCTGTCTGAACGTCACTGTTGTAAGTGTCACACAAGCTGAAATAACAGACTTTCTCTGACCATTACTGTTCTTTTAAAGAAGTTATGAGTCTTTTTGAACCATCTCTACCAGAACATTAATTTCTGAAAACACATCTGAGGGTGTTTAGCAAGTGTCCTTGGCATCACTGCCCAGGCTGTTGTAAACAATGAGGGAAGGGGACAGGTAGGGTTGTGCCGGACCAGGACATGCAGCCGGCCAGATGTGGCCAGCCCAGGGATCCCCTCTGTCTGTCACTGCAAATGCAATGCCAGATCTCATCAGCATGGTTTTGGATGATGATGGTGTGCCATTGGGAGCTCGTCCTGGCTTCCTGACCTTGGCCAATTGCCACCGTGCGTCCTGAACATCCATCTCCTCATCTCTGATGACAGGGTTAATTTAAAAGACCTTGACATGGTTGCGAGGGTCGGATAGAATGATGTATAGTCACAGACCTGCACCAGTTCCACCTGAAACCCAGCACCTTGTGGCAGGTTCCATTAGGAGACGTGTCTAGGGCCAAGCTGCCCCATGGGGGACCCTGAGTGGAGACAACAGTGGACGGGTGGGGGCCACTTTCACCACCCTGGGGCCTGGCGTCTGTGGCTGGAGCTGTGGACCTGGGGATGGTCCCTGCTGCTAGCCAGGTCCTGTATTTGACAGCCAACTTGTACGGTGCAGGCCTCTTAATTTGCATTCATGGACAGAAAGACCCTGGCTTATGCCCTCATACCTCATTCCAGCATCAGTGTCTTACAAATACAGTAAATGCCAATCAGTGCCCATGTGCTGATGATCCTACCAAGGTCTGCACAGCTGTGGGAGGAGCCTGGCGGTGGGGAGGGTCTAGGGATTACACTGTGGTGCTCCTCACCCAATGAGACACTTTACTGGGCACCACCTACATCCCTTAAATGACATCACTGTTGCTACTTCCAGAAGGTCTAATCACGTCAGCAGCTTTGCAGCACCATTCTGTAAAAGCCGAGTCAGCAGCCTGGACTCTGCCCTCCCACTTTCTCTCCTTATGCCATGGCTTTTGTGGCAGAAAGCGGCTTTCTGGGTGATTGTGTTCTGCTGTTGCTGGGCTGGCTGGAGAATTCCCTGCCTTCCTCAGACACCTGCGTCTCTGGGCATCTGTTTCTCCTGCTGGGGAGGAAGGCTCCGTCTCACTGCCCAGCTGCCTCAGGGGCTGTTTGTGAGCCTGTGCTGTGCCAGTAAACTGTTGTTCTTTCTTTTTCTTTTTCTGCAGGACTATTTTTATCCAAGATACTTAGGTAAGTTTACATCCCTGCTTCTGTAAGTGTCACAAAAGAATAGAGGGGGCTCTGTGACACACATCAGAGACATCTACCCAGTCACTCCTGAAGGGGAGGTTGCTTAATCACACAGTGAGCTTGGGACCACCCAGAGCACGCCGGGAAGAACACCTGCTTGTGTTTTTCACGCCATAGGGGCCGCATTAACTCAGTCCGGTGCCATTATTTGCAGACGGCTTCTGTGCTCTGACTTCAGGATTAACTCACTGTTTGGGAGTGTGATTGATTTAGTGGCTTTCAGACATTTTGGTCTCAGGGTCCCTGCGCTTCCAGAATTATCAAAGACCCCAGAGAACTTTGTTATGTGGGCTGCGCGTGTTGATATTTGCCAAACTGTTAATCAGCTCTGAGGACATGTTTTTGTTTAATTTGAACAAGAGGAATGTATAAGCAGACACTCCCAGTCACTGAGCAGGGACGTCACTGTGCGAGTAGCAGAGAAAAGGAAAGGACAAATGACAGCCGAGTCTAACCTGGATGATCAGAAAGAGGCCCTGGATTTCCCTGAGAACTGCTCCTCTAATTAATACCGTTTTAAGATTGTTTTTAGATGCATGTCATTTAGAATGAAATAAACCTATTCCAGGGTCTTCCTTTTTGATTTTTCAAAGGGCATGTTAGTAGATTTTCCATTGGCTTTGCATCCTCTCAGAGGTTCCTTCTCTGAGTCTGTATCTGGCAACAGAGAAGTGGAACTGTAAGTGGCCCTGCAGAGCTCAGGAACCCGCCCGCTCCCAGGCTGCCTGTTTCCCACAGACCTGGCCCCTGCCAGGGTGTGCACGGTTTATTTCCAGAAGCAAAGGGTGAGCAGCTTTGCCAGGAGTGCCCTCCAGCTTGCCAGGACCTGGTCCTCCTGGGCAGGGTGGAGTGCCAGGGGCCATGGCAGCTCCATACCTGCTCTGCAGGCCTTCAAGCTTCCATGCGCCTTTGCCCACGCCTGTCAGATGGATGGGGCAGGTGGGCATGCTCCCCAAGGCAGAATGATTTTCTAATTAAGGCCGGTGTTTCCAGACAGGGTCTGTTGCAATTGAAATTTATCACTGTGACTGTGGTCAGAGTGCTCCCTGAGTGCAGCTCAGGATCCTTCTGGTTAGAAGCAAAAGGATCCCCTGAAAAGGCTGCAGACAGACTTCGGACACAGTTCCTCTTCTTTGGTGAAGGCATTCTCTTGCCTGCTGGGGTTAAAATGATCTGTGATACAAAAGCTGACCTGTGCCTCAGGTTCAGCACCCCATAAACATGACAGTCTCTTCTCCAGAGATATCTCAGAGACCATGTACCAGGTCTAAGGTCTGTCCTGTGTCCTGCAGCAGGAATGACCTTCTTTCCATCTCTCTCTTGCAGACTGCATTACTAAGCATGGATCTCCGTACACAAAGAGCCCAGATTTTGTTACATGTGTTCAAAGTAAGTCTGTCACCTTCCTGTCTTCTTCACAGCCCTGCATATTCAGGTCATTCCAGGCTCTGCTGTGGTTTTCAGGGGGTCTTGAGTATTTCCATTTATCCTAGGGAGCAGTAGCACCAGCCTGAGCTCTGATCTTTTTCCACTGAACTTTCTCTCATAAGCAAGTAATCTTTGATTCTTTATTTTTTAAAAAGATTTTATTTATTTATTCATGAGAGACACAGAGAAAGGCAGAGACACAGGTGGAGGGAGAAGCAGGCTCCCTGTGGGGAGACCAATGTGGGACTCAATCCCGGGACCCCAGGATCATGCCCTGGGCCAAAGGGAGGCACTCAACTGCTGAGCCACCCAGGCATCCCAGCTTTGGTTCTTTAAATAGACAGGACATGCATACAGTACCAAACCTAACCCTTTCATGGGTGTGAAGAGTGAGTGCATCCAGCCATGCCTCCTCATCAACCAGTTCGGCTTCCAGAATATTCTGAGACCTGTAAACACATAGGCACTTTAGGCTTTGCACAAATGCTAGCTTCCCATAGGTGTGCCTGACCTCATTCTGCTGCCCTGCGTGCAGGTTGTCTTCCAGCTCAGCCTGTACAGAGTGCACACACGTGCACAGTGTACCGGTACGGGGAGGTAGCACTATTTCACCGTTTCCTGGCGGACTCATGGGCTGCTTATCACAGACAAATCTCACACTCATCGAAGTGTGTCTGTGGGACAGATTCCCAGGTGGGAGTGCAGCCCCAAGCCTGCGCGGCATCACTCACTCTGATGCAGATCCAGCATTGATCACCCCTGGGCAGTGGGCAAGCAAGATGGCCGTCCCCATGCCCGGCAGGCTAACACATGTTTTTACTTTTTGGTCTCCTTCAATATCAACGGTGAAGATTATGGCTAGTCTTTCTGTTTATGTTTTTCTCTTTATATGCTTTGCCTGTTTTTCTCAATTTATAGGAGCTCTTGATTAGCCATTTGTCCTAAAAGTACCACAATTTTTCCAAGCTCATTATGCATCTTTTTTATGTAGTCATGTTATTTTATTTATTTATTTATTTACTTATTTATTTACTTATTTATTTATTTAATGTTATTTTTTTTAAAGTAGTTCTTTTTTATTATTATTATTATTTATTTATGATAGTCACACAGAGAGAGAGAGAGGATGAGACACAGGCAGATGGAGAAGCAGGCTCCATGCACCGGGAGCCCGACGTGGGATTCGATCCCGGGTCTCCAGGATCGCGCCCTGGGCCAAAGGCAGGCGCCAAACCGCTGCGCCACCCAGGGATCCCATATTTAATGTTATTTTAAATGATCGCATGTTGAAGCTGCCGTTTTGCTTGCTGTCCTGTCACATGAGTTCTAAGAACGCTGGCCCTGGCCTGGGTCTGAGCACCTCGCAAGGCGAGCTGCCTGGTCGCCCCCAAGCCCAGCAGTCAGTCTGTTCATTGCATGTGCTGGGCAGTGGGCTCTGAGCGCCCAGCCCCAGCTGCAGAGGCTTGCGTTACACATGCGGCCTGCCCCCTCAAGGCAGCCAGGAAGGCAGAGGAGGACCCACGGCTGCTCACAGGGCCTGTCTGGCCTGACTCGGTAGCAGAACTGCTGCGTCTGGCCTCCCACCTGTCCACATGTGGGCACAGTCCAAACCCAGCCCAGATGAGCAGAGAAATGATTGACTTAAATCAGGAAGGGGAGGGTAAGGTGGCACTGCTGCTCAGCCCCCACCCCCTTCAGCCCCAGGCAGTGTCACCTAACAGGTGCAGAGCCCACTGGGCTCTGTCATTTTGGGTAGAAGTGCCTCTTAACTCAGGGCAGCCAGAACCAGCCCATGCTTCATGGGCGACCTGGGGCAAGCCCCCTCCTCAGCCTCCCTGTGACATTGGCGTCTCCCAGGGCTGAATTGACCTCCCCAAGGCCTTAGGCAGACATCAGGGGTGTGTCATGGCAGTTTTAGTTTTGTGTCATTTTGGCTTTTTGTTTTTATCAATTTTTTTTATTGTTGTCAATCTGCTAAATCGGTTTCTTCCTTTCAAATTATGTCTCCAAATTGACTAGATTGTTTAAGTTCCTGGGTCATAGACTATGATTTTCTGGAGATCATAAACAGTTTCCCGGAGCTTCATACCTCCTGGCGGTGTGAGCATTGCAGTTTCTAGATGGCAGCCCCTTGTTCCAACAGCATTAGTGTAAAGTCACCCAGGTCTTGCTTAAAGGGAGACTGTCACAGTCCTGGGCCATGTCATGCCCGCTAGAGATCTCATGGCTAGAGGGACTTGAACTGTTTGAACACCACAGATTTATTCTGAGTAGGCTGGAGACTCTGTGCTCTGGTGGCAGGAGTGCGGGAGGAAGGGGAGTTTCTGAGCTGGCATCAGAGGACAGCTCTCATGCCACTGCCAGGCTGCAGGAGATCCCAGCCCATCGGGACGCCGCCTCCCACTCCTGGCCTCTCCATCCTGCCCTTGGGTCATCCTCCATGGGTGTGTGACCACTTGCTGTTTGTGCTCCTTCAATTCTCTGAAGCCTGAGGTTCCATCCTTACTCAGCTGCATGTGAAGATAGCTGAGGACAGGGACCCGAGGCCTGGCGCTCAGGACCCACGCACGCCCTACTTGCCCCCAACCCCCAGAGCCACACCTCTAGGCCTCCGTGCACAGGACTCTGGAGGCACTTCATGCTGTTTTCATCGGTTCCCTCCCGAAAGCCATCTTATTTCATGGCCACTAGGCACAAGGCATAGCTGAGTGCTTGATTGCTCATTATTGTTAAAGTCAAAGCAACAGCCTCATGGAGCCTGCCTCTCAGCATGCCCAGGGGCCTCCCCTCAGCCCCACTCTCACTCCTGGCCTGGGGCTTTCCTCCCACTGACTCTCCACCTTCTGTCCAGCCCCATTTGAGGAGCCCCTTCTTGTTAGTCACAGTGGGCACCGCTCTGGAGCCCGTCATCACCCTCAGATCTAGAGAACAGGGCGCTAAAGCAGCCAAGAGAGGCTCCTGCCAGGGGCAGCCCCGCCGGCTCAGAGCAGCACCGCCACCTGGGGCTGTGGGTGCCTGTCCCCAAAGGCCTCTTGTGTCTGGCGCTCAGGCTGGGCAGGAAGTGGTGCCCTTGGTGCCTGCAGAGGCTTGTCCTCACCCACGCATCCGAAGTGTCGCTCATTCTGCTGCTTGCTGGGTGCACACACAGCTCTGCGGCCCCCTTAGGTCCTGGAGAGAAGCTGTGCAGCAGGGCGGCAGACACAAGCCATGGTGGGGTTGGGAGGCTGCTCTGCTGGAGCCCCACCACAGTGCCACCCACAGAGGTTTTATTAAAAGGGGTTCAGGCATTCTAGGTAAATTCTAGTTAACCAGGCCTCACGCCAAATGCTCAGTTATGCACTTGTATATAACTCAGTCTTTAACCACATATGTCGAGTGGAGACACACCACCTCCCACTCCCTCCCTCCCTTGGGGCCCCTTGGGCCGCAGCATATGACCCCTTCTGCCTTCAGAGTCCATCTCTGGTGCTGGCGCTGGGCTGGCCCTCACGGCCTGGCCCTCCTGCGCTCAGAGCGTCACCGGCGGCACAGCCGGGCGCAGTGGCATGGCTGCTGGGGTGACTGGCCAGCTCTGGGCAGGGGGACACGCTGTTCCCATGCTCCGTTTCCTCACTCTGGACTCAGTCCCTATTTGCTTACAGTGGAAGGCAGTACCTTGCCCTGAAACTCTACAAGTTCCCCAAGAAGTGGGGCCCCTCTGTGACAGGGTCACTCACCTGTGTGGGACAAAGGGACACAGCTCTGCTGAGTCTGGACTGGTACCTCTGGGGCCAGTGGAGGCCAGCGGGTGTGGCCCGAGCCCCAGCCGGCAAGGCAGAGGAGCGGCTCTACTAGGGGTTTGCTGCTGCTGAGCAGGAGCAAGTCCGGTGGCAGAAATGCTGTGCCCAAACCTGGTGTTGGGCTAGAAACGTCATCATTTTAAGACAGCAGTGATACATTGGTGCTGAGTTCCCACCTGGCCAGCCTCCCGCAGGATAGACATGGGACTGAGCCATCTTACTGGCCCTGTTGATTTGGGCAGAGAAACGCTGCAGAGCTGTCATACCCTGGTCACCCAGGAGTCAGACAAGCCAACGCTGCCCACCCACCCCACGGTTTGCAGTGGGCAAGTCACTTCTGTCGTATAAAGGGAGCAATTGTACCTGGTGAGGGTCCTGCAGGACATGGCTCTGGAAAGGGTGGCGTGGGGTGAGGATGGCCTGGGCTGCTCCCTCCATGGCCCGGCCACCCCCGCCGGGCCCGGGGATGTGTCTCCACCACTGAAGGTCACAGTCCCCATGGCAGCTGGAAATGTTGTTGGTCGCCCTCCAGCGACAACAGAACAATCCAGAGTAGCAAGGTTTTGCCATGGATTGTCAATGCAGCTGAGGGGCACAGGCCTCAGGTGCAGCGAGGTGTCACGGTCCCCTCAGCCCTGGCCCTTGCTTTGGGCCTCAGCCATGGGCCCCATGCTGTCCAGAGCTGGATGAGGCATGTGTCCACACAGGAAGAGAGCAGAGAGAGATAGGGACCAACAGAGCCACCAGGACACATTTACCGTCTGCACAGCTGTGGCGTGTCAAAGAACAAAGCCTGGAGCAGACCCATAGGACGGCTGGGGGTCAGGGCAGGCTGACCTGCAGTGGGACCCTCGTGCCTGCCGTGTGACCTGCAAGACAGGCGTTGGGGAAGTTGGTTGGACCCGTGTGCAGCACAGGCTGACAGTGACCCCAGGAATCAGCTCCACTTACTGAGAGTCCCTGGAGACCCTGCATCTCCCTAAGACCAGTGGTTCCTCTGCCCTCCATGCCCACCAGCCCACCCAGCTCAGCCATAGCCCTGTAGAGGATTCTTGGAGTGCAGCTCCCAACCACCAGCACCTGGAGTGCACATCTCCGTGGGTGGGGCCCCACCTCAGCCTCTGAGCTGGTGATGCTCCTTTGGAGCTGGAGCTTCTGTGGATGCGTAGCCCCCCAAGGAGTGGAAATGGCTCCCGTGATTGACACTTCTGACCAGGGAGACACCCTCCAGCAAGGGGATCGGAGCAAACCCACTGGTGCTCCTCTCTGGGAGGGCAGGGCAGGGCAGCTCCTCTCCAGGGAGCCAGTGTGGGGGTTCCTGCAGCAGCCACGCCCTGCCTGGGAGGTGTTGGCGAGTGTCCATGGCAGGGTTTGAGTGGCCAGGTGCCTGGCCTGGGAAGGTGGAGGCATGTTCCTCATGCGACCCCTTGGGTCAGCCAAGGGTCTGTGGGCCTCTCCCTGAGGGGTCAGAGCATGTGGAGCCTGGCCAGGCCCTGCCCTATCCTCCTCCACTGCCCCATGGGGAGGTGGTCACTCCCTCCAAGCTGACCCAGTTCCACTACCCCACCCCGGGAGTGGGGTCTGTGCCACCAGCCTGGGCCTACCTCAGCGTCCTCACCCCAGGTCAGTCCCTCCTAGCTGACCATTCTCTCCCTTCCTTTGACACAGATCTGCCTGACCAGTGTTCCCCGAACCCCTGCACCAAGGAGGGGACACAAGTCTGCCAAGACCTCATGGGCAACTTCTATTGCCAGTGCCGAGCCGGCTGGGGGGGGCGGCTCTGCGACAGAGGTGAGGCGGCCCTGCAGCCACAGCTGTGCAACAATGAGGCGGGGGCTCCCAGGGCAGGGACTGTGGCCCATCCCTCTGTTTCCACCCTGCCCTACCCCCGGGGACCTGGCCCCTCCTCACCGGCCACCCTCCAAGGGCTCCCTTGGCCACTCAGGGAGGCCAGCAGGCCCCTCACGTCCCCTGAGATCAGGAGTATTCAGAGGGTGTGGGCCGGCCCTGCTCTCGCCTCTAAGTGCTGGGGGCTGTCCAGCTGGAGGAGCCATCGGGTGCTGCCGGAAGTAGGGGGTGCGGCCTGGAAGTAGGAAGGCACCACCATAGGGCCCAGGCTATGGTGACGAGATAGTCTCAGGGCCAGCATCCCCATCTGCCCCAGGATCCAGTAACCTGAGGCAGCCCCTCACCACAGTGCCCGGCCGCCCTGGGGAGGTGTGTCCGGGCTGAGTCTGGGCCCAGAGGCTGCCTGGTCACATCCATCCTCTTTTAGCCCTTGCCCTCCTCCTGGGTGCACTGGCGGCCACCAAGCTGGCCAGGGATGGTCCCATCAGGGTCTCCCTGTGCCCTCACACTCACGGCACAGACAGGCGTGCAGATGCCATGGCATGCTCCCTGCGGACACTCCCTGGTCTCTCTGTGTCCTGTGCCCAGATGTCAACGAGTGTGGCCAGCAGAACGGGGGCTGCAACCACATCTGTTTCAACAAGCCGGGCAGCTTCCACTGTGCCTGCTACAGCGGCTACGCACTCTCCCATGATGGCAGGACCTGCCAAGGTAACGCCCGGCCCAGAGCCTCCCCCTCACCTCTCAAGTTCTCCCCGGGTTTGTCTATGCAGTTGCCAGACTGCTGAGGTTGGCAGCCACATCTGCTCCTCTGCAAGAGGCTGCAGGCTCTGGGGGGCGGGACAGGTGGGGGGGGGGCATCCAGCTGAGCACATGCCCGGGCATGTCAGCGGCCATGGGGAGCTGCCCTGGCCCCAGCGCAGGATGATTCACTGGGATCTGTGCATGGCCAGCCTGGCTGAGACCTCCCCCGCCCCAGGATGCAGCTGCCTGCATCTGGTTTATCTGTCCAGGAGCCCAGGACGGAGCCCAGATGCTGGGGCCAGAGCACACAGGCTCCCTCTCACCCAGGGGTGGCACCTGTCTACACCCACCCAGCTGGCTTCCCCCCTCACCCACTTCCCTCTTGCAGAGGTGGGCTGGCCACTGAGCAAAGCAGAAGGCAGCCACCCTCCTTAGTCTGGGGCCCCTGGGGTCCAGTGCCCTGACCACCCCAGAAAGTCTGCACACTGTGGCTGGCCGGGCTGCAAAAGGGGTACCCGACTTTACAGGGGGGCTGTCTCTTCCTCCCTCTGCTCCCTGCCCTCCAATACAGACCTGCTGACACCTGCCACTGGCATGTCCCTGAGAATCTGGGCAGTTCTCTCGTACTACGGGCCTGCCTGGGGCAGAACAGATCTACTGAGGGAGAAGCGGCCTCAGGAGCAAGGCTTGCGCAACAGCCGGTGACAGGGTCAACTCTGAGTCAGACAGGACAGGGGGCCCTTCCCACTTTTGGGAAAACAGCTTCCACTTTTGTCATCATTCATGGCTCCTTCCCACCTGCTGCCTCAACCTGAAAACAGCTGTCCTCTCCTCGAGCTACGGCTGGCACCCAGGCCAGACGTGCACGGCCACGGCCCCAGGGACTTCCGGCCTGCGGGCTCTGTCTGGAGCCATGTCTGCATGTGATGCACCCACAGCTGCTGGGAGAGTTCTCGGAGCCATGGTGTTTGCACGCCCCTGGGCAATGTGCTGTGTGCCACGGGCACCTCCTCGGGAGACCCTGAGTGACGAGGGTCTACTTAGCACTCATTCACCAGGTCTGTGATGTGTGAGAGCTGACAGATCCCCTGCACCTTGGTGCTTGGTGCCTTCCCCCAGAACAAAGGTGTTCTCCTTAGCGTGATGGATTAACAGCAAGCGTGGCAGGTGCCCCACCTGTGCAGCCAGGGTTCCTTGTGCTGACACCAGCTGACAGACACCTCCCCTTCTCTTGGCCATCGCCTGTTTCCTTGGGGACCTTGGGACCCCAGACCCAGCCAAGGGAAGCTGTGGGGAATGAGGGGCCTTTCCAGTGTGGTGTGGAAGGGCCCAGACTTTCCATCTTGTCTTCCTTGATCAGACTCTGAGATGCTGGGAAGGAGGAGCTGCGGTCGCTCCACTTCTACAGCCCCCCAGCACCCTGGGAATGGGGGCTCTGGCCTTTCTGTCATTGCTCCTTGACTGCAGAGAGGGATCTCTAAGCCTCGCGGGTGGGGCCCTGTCCTAGGAGGAGAAGCAGATGAGGGCCTGGGCGGGGGACAGGGGCAGGGCCTGTCTGGGGGCCTCGGGCCTCTTGGCCTTGGTGCACACTGTAGGGTTGTGTCTAGGCTTGTGCCCCATGCCTGGTGCCAGCCCCACACACTGCCTGCCTCAGTTTTCCTGGTCACCGTGCTCTGATGAATGGCCGGACCGCAGCATCTCCAAAGGGCCAGGTTTTGGCAGGATGCAGGGTGGAGGTGCTGAGAGGCTGGTGTCAGAGCGGTCCTCTGGTAGAGCTCGGCCCTATGCATCATAGGGGTGCTGCTGTGGCTGACAGCCACCGTGGGAAGAGAAAGCTGGGTGGCATGGAGCCAGGTGGGCATGTGAGGAGGGGCTGGCCTGGAAAGTGCAGTGTGCCAGAGCGCGGAGAACCCTTCCCCCATGCCACTGCCACTGTGGGCCATTCCCTGGTGGGTCTGGGCCCTCCAGCCACCAGCCCCTCCGCCGTCACAAGCCCTGCAGGGGCCGTGGAGCATCCTGTGGTTTTCCTGCTGTCGTGGCAGCTCCTTACGGGTGGTGTTCAGAGAGCTTGTGCTTACGAGGCATCCTTCTTGGGGTGGCCCGTGTCCTGCAGCCAAGCTGTATGCATAGCACCCACATCCTCCCCGGTGCAATCAGGACTGCGGAGCCGGGTTCCCATGCTCCTGGACATGGTTGGCCTGGCTCTTGGACTGAAATTCAGGTTCAGAAGCATCCACACTGAGTCAGTGGACAGAGGGAACCCGCAGCCTTACGCCTGTGTCTCAGGGCCGCGTGCTGTTGCCAGAGCTCCTTCCTACGCTCACTGAGCCACGTTTGAGAGCCTATTTGCTGGCAGGCTGCCCTTGTGATGAGCTCCATCTGAGGCTCCGCAACACGGGTGTCCCGCTGCCGTCTGAGGGATCCATGTCGTCTGGACTAATAATTGCATGTCCCAGATATTCGTTCTGCCCCTGGAGGAAACAGGATTTAAGTGCAGAGGTTTTTGTATTTGTTCTTTGCCAAAGTAGCAGATGGATGAGCCTCAGGATGAGCCTCAATAATTCACCACTAGTGTGTTTGGTTTCCAACGGAGAGTTGGGGTGTGTGGCTGGAGGTCATCCCTCAGGAGGTGAATGGAGCCTGGGGGCCTCCACTGGACGTCCCCATCCTGGGCTCCAGTGCTTGGCCCTGGACGAGCTCAGCCCCATCCAGCAGTCTGAGATCAACCTCCTCAGCCGGGACCCCAGGCAGAAACATCCACCACGCCCGCCGTGCCCGCCGGGGCTGCAGAGTCCAGTGGACGGGAGGAGGGCTTAGTCACCCTGGGAGCTGAGGCCACCCAAGGCTGTGGCTCACGCTGCAGCACCTCCCCTACCGACCAGGAGACAACCCTGGTCAAGGGCTCTGGTTTCTCTTGCAGACGTGGATGAGTGTGCAAATGGAGCTGCCTGCGGGGAGGCGCGCTGCCAGAACCTGCCTGGCTCCTACTCCTGCCTCTGTGATGAGGGCTACGCATTCAGCTCCCAGGAGAAGGCCTGCCGAGGTACCCCTCCACAGCTGCCCACAGGCCCTGGCACAAACACCTGTGAACACATGTGTGCACACATGCAACGCCCCACATGCACACCTGTGAACACATACACACTGTGTTCATGTGTGTGCATGACCACACATTTGCACACACATCACACGTGTGTGCATGCCATACACACATACATCCACAGGTACCTCTTAAAGCAACTAGGTGCCTTCTCCAAACTGCTGCAGACACAGGATTTAGGAGGAACGAGCTCTCAGGCCACACTGCTGTGTTTGGGGACAACTGACGAGCACTCGCTGTGTCCAGGGCATCTTCCTCCCCTTCCTTCCAAGAGAAAGGTGGGGTGGTCCCAGCCTCTGTCTTCCCTGCAGGGTGTCCCTGGGGCTCCTTTAGACCCTCAGGCCAAGCACCACGTAGATGTGGTTTATGCGCTGAGCTGGTACCGTGCTCCAACCCTCCTTCAGCCTCTATACTGACTGCTTCCCTTGAGAAACTGCAGAGGGTGTGCAGACATTGGAGACCGCTGACCAGCACAGCTCATGGCTGGGGAGCCAGGGGAGCGTGGGGTGGGCTGGGGAGTGGGTGCCTCCTGAGGCTCGTGCTCTGGAGCTTGTTTTCACAGCAAGCCAACCGCGTGCACGATCAGAGAAGGCATGGGCACTGCACATGGTGAGGTTTGCCCATCTTCCCTGTGGTGGCAGATGTGGACGAGTGTGCGGAGGGACGCTGTGAGCAGGCCTGCATCAACTCCCCAGGGGGATACAGCTGCCACTGTGATGGACGTGGAGGCCTCAAGCTGTCCCCAGACATGAACACCTGTGAGGTAAGTGCCCTCGGGGCAGCCAACCTTCAGGAAGACAGTGCTGGAAGAGGTGTTTTTATGGGAAGGCCCAGTGTCCCCTGGCCGGTGGCAATGTAGGATGGGGGCGTGTCTGTCCTGGGCATGAATTCTCTAGGCCTGGTGGCTCCCTACCCCCAACAGCCTGGGGGCTACACCCAGAGTACACTCTGCCCTCCCTGTCTGCTTGCTCAGGCTCTGCCTCACGTGTGCAGTCGGAGCCTCCTGCTTTTGGCCAGCCTGCCCACCTCTTGGACTCATACCTGCTGGTCTCTCCGGGCTGTGGCGGTCTGAGTGTAACAGAGTCTCTGGTGTCTGTGTGCCACCTGCTTGTGCATCTGGCTGGCGGAGTGGCAGGGGGAGGGCCCGATTGCATCCTGACAGGCAGTGTGATGGGGAGGGGCTGAACCAGGTGTGCCCCTCCTGACACCCCTTGCTCCCACTCCACAGGATATTTTGCCCTGCGTGCCTTTCAATGTGGCCAAAAGCATGAAGTCCTTGTACCTGGGTCGCATGTTCAGCGGGACACCAGTGATCAGACTGCGCTTCAAAAGGCTACAGCCCACCAGGTGAGAGGCGGCAGCTCACACAATACAGAGTAGAGTGGACCAGAGCCCGAGGAATGGCTGGCCTGATGCTCCCTGGGCCCACAGACCCCTGGGCCATGCCCCAGGCTGCACCCCAGCGGTCTAGGCAGTCAGCCCGTTCCCTGCCCAGCCACAGCAGCACGGCTCCAACTCTGGGCCTCTGGGCGCCCACCAGTGCTTCTGGCCTTCAGGGAAGAATCCCAGGCTGCCTGCACACGGCTGCTCTCTCCCTGCTGGTCTGGGTCCCTGGGGCAGGAGGCCATGAGCCACCAGCCCATGCATCACCTGTTTTGTTTCTTTTTTGTGCTGGCCCTCAGGCTGGTCACCGAATTCGACTTCAGGACCTATGACCCTGAAGGCGTCCTCTTCTTTGCTGGAGGCCATCAGGACAGTACCTGGATCGTGCTGGGCCTGCGGGCTGGCCGGCTGGAACTGCAGCTCCGCTACCATGGTGTCGGCCGTGTCACCAGCAGTGGGCCTGTCATCAACCACGGCACATGGCAGACGGTGAGTGTGGCCACCACTCCAGGCCCAGGCCGGCTGGCATATGGGACTCCCATGGAAGGGCCCTGGCATTTGCTCACGCGTTTGCACAGTCAGCAGTGAGTGGACACTGCACAGGCCCCTGCCCTGCAAGTCTGCATGTGTTGGGGCAAGAGCTGTGGTCTCAGGGGCTGTTCCACCAGGAGCTCCTGGCTATGTCCTGGTGCTGCTTGTCAGAGCTGCTCTTGGCAGCAGAGTCCGAGCCAGAGGGCTGCTGGTCACCCTGCAGCACACAGGATGCCCCACGTCTCAGAAAACCGTCCCGTTCAGAACATCCACAGTGCTGAGGCGGGGGTCCCTGGGCTGAGGTCTGGGCACAGCTCCTGTCTCCATGCATCCGCACCGTCCCAGGACCTGGCTTCTGGGGCCTGTGCCATTCCCACAGAAACCCCGGCACACTCCCAGCCACGTGGGCACCTCCTTCTGGAGAATGCCCTGACCACCCAGAGCCTGAACCATTCGCTCCTGGTGAGACCGTGCCAAGGGCAGCTGTCTTGCCACTGCCCTGTCCTGCATCCTGATGCTCAGAACACAATAGCCTGTGACACACAGGCCCCTCCAGAAGTCCAGAGGCCCCCAGTTGGAAGTGGGCTTTTAGAAGTAAGCACTTGAGAGAGAAAAGCATTCTTTTTCCCTTTAGAAGTCAAGATAAAATGGGAAATTCTGAATAAAGGTGATGTGGATGTTTGCTAACCTCTGCCTTCTTTCTTGAGCTCTTGAGGCACAAGTGTCTCCCAAGCAGTGGGAGGGACACCAGCGCAGAGCTCAGATAACATGGCAGAGCCAAGGGGAAGCGGGCTCCCTCGGGGTCGAGATGACAGGAGCTCTGCCCAAGGAACCTGGCACCTGTGGGCTTGGAGCCTGAGGGTCCCTGATGCACTCCTGCTCCTAGCGGCCCTGACACACACACCAGTGTCCTCTTGACCACACTCTGACTCAAGGACCTACATGTTTCCCTCTTTAACCAAAAAAGAAGTTGATAGGCTTCTGGTGGGTTAGGAGGACACCCTGAGTTTAGAGATGGGTTTTTTAATTTCCCTGCATGGAAAGGAGGAAAGAACAGAAACTTCTTTTTTTTTTTTTTAAGATTTTATTTATTCATGAGAGACACAGAGGGGGGGGGGGCACAGACACAGGCAGAGGGAGAAGCAGGCTCCATGCAGGGAGCCTGATGTGGGACTCGATCCCCGGTCCCCAGGACCATACCCTGGGCTGAAGGTGGCACTAAACTGCTGAGCCACACGGGCTGCCCAGAACAGAAACTTCTGGAGTGAATCCACATGCCCACGCGATATCCAGGCTGTACCTGGCACCTGAATATCTGCTGGGATTTAGAAATGTGTCCTCCTGCCTTGGGTGGGGCACATGGGACTGAACACTGCATAGAGGGGACGCAAAGCACCACATGGAAGGCATGACGTCAGGTGGGATTCCTGCTCCCCGCAAGCAGTTCCTGGGGGGCTTAGAGGAGCATCAGGATGGGACCAGAGAGGTGGCTACAAGTGGTTTGGGTGTGGGAGGGGAAGTGGAGGGGGAGCTGGGGCTGGGGTGGCCCAGAGGGGGGTAGGCGGGGCTGGGGAGACCCAGAGGGGAGAGCTGAGTTTAGGGGGCCCCAGAGTGGGGAGGCAGGACTGGGGAACCCAGAGTGGGGAGCTGGGGCTGGGGGGCCCAGAGCAGGGAGGCGGGGCTGGGGGACCCAGAGGGAGAGGCAGGGCTGGGGAGACCCAGAGAGGGGAGACAGAACTGGGGAGATCCAGAGGGGGGGAGCCGGGGCTGGGGGTGCCCAGAGAGTGGTGGCAGGGCTGGGGGGAGCCGGTGCTGGGGAGCCCAGAGCGGGGATGCAGGGCTGGGGAGACCCAGAGTGGGGAGACAGGGCTGGGGGCCCCAGAAGGGGAGGCAGGGCTGGGGGAACCCTGAGTGGGGAGGCAGGGCTGGGGGCCCTGGAGAGGGCATGCAGGGCTGGGGGGCCCATAGGGGCCTGGAGGGGGCGCCAGGGTCATGTTGGCACATGGGGATTGTGAGGTGTATGCATGATGAATGTTGTTCCCTGAGGGTGGAAGTGGCTTGGCCCTCAGTGGTGATGGGGGCGTGGTCCCCAAGGTCAGGGGTCCCTTTTGGAAGGTGTACCTCCTGAAAGCACCGTCTTCTTCAGATCTCCGTGGAAGAGCTGGATCGGAATCTGGTCATCAAAGTGAACAAAGACGCTGTCATGAAGATCGCGGTGGCCGGGGATCTGTTTCAGCTGGACAGAGGGTTGTACCACCTGAACCTTACCGTGGGAGGCATTCCCTTCAAAGAGAAGGACTTGGTCCAGCCTGTGAGTACTGAGTACTGTTATCAACCCAGCACAGGCGAGGCCACAAGCTCACTGCACTTGGGCAGCCACCCCCCCCCCCCGAGGTTAACACGCAGCAGGTGCACCTCTGCCTGAGATTCATTTCAGTCCTCTGAAATGATACTAAAAATGCCTGTTTTTCAGTGGAGATAAAACACAATGAAATTATTCTTTAACGAAAAGAATAGTCAACTTTTTTGGACAATTCCCAAGAACATTTGTGTTGTTAACCCTGCCATAGGGGAGCAGGACTGACGGGGTGCTTGGTATTAGTCGCTCCTAGCTGCCCTGCCCGGCCTCAGCCCTCCTGCACCCCACCCTCACCCTCACTGGGATTTCTCCCTCACCAAGCCTGTGGATGTCAGTGGCCAGAGTCCATCCTGTGATTAGGACTCCCATGCAATGGAAGAAATGGGTTATGGGCATGTTGCAGTTCCCCTGGTGGGAGGTATTGGCCTGGTCCTCCCTACAGGAATGGAGGAGGAGGTGCTACACATGACTTCGAGCATCAGCCCCATTCCAGGGTCCCATAGCTGCTGTTTACACCTCCTTGTTTCACAAATACAGGCAGGGGTGACCGATTTGCTCCAAACCATGTAGCAAGTGCCTGGTGCTCTGGAATCTGCATGCCCGGCCCCTACACCCACATTTCCATAGGTACCAGAGACCACTGTGTACCCATCCCCTCGTCCACTTCCTTCCCGTGGGTGGTCAGCGCTCTGATCTGAGAATGAGTGGGCAAACCCCATGCAGACACAAAAGGTGGGCATCCATATGGGATGCACAATACCCTTACCTTGCTTGGGTGAGGACCCACTGTGAGTGCTGGGTGTCCTGCAAGGACTCATTTTGTCCAGTGAGGAGAGTTTTGGGAAATAAATACTCTCCACAAGTAGGACTTGTCCATCTTGTAGTAGCCAAGAGGGCATCCCATCCATCCGAGCAGGGTGGCACCAGCCACATGGCCTCTCATCATTGGTGTCTGGGAGACTCTGTGGTCCCAGGAAGCCACTGGAATTTCTCCATCCTTCCAGATAAACCCCCGCCTGGATGGCTGTATGAGGAGCTGGAACTGGCTGAATGGTGAAGACACCACCATCCAAGAGACTGTAAAAGCAAACCCCAAGATGCAGTGCTTCTCTGTGACGGAGAAAGGGTCCTTCTACCCTGGGAGCGGGTTTGCCTTCTACAGCCTGGATTACAGTAAGTCTCGGCTCTGGCATGGTGCTTATGCTTCCAGATCATACACAATGCAAGTAGATAAAGCAGGGAACAGCTTCCCTGGACAGCAGAGTCCAGGAGAAGCTGAGCCCCACCCCACTGCCCAGCCCTATGACTACCTCTCAGGGTGGCTGCTCCCAGTCAAGGTTTCCAGGGAACCAGTGAGGAAGAAATGACAGGCAGGAGCAGACAAACTGCCCTGCTGGCACTGGGACAGCTGGAGATGGGCAGGCAGGTGGGACATGAGGGACCTCAGGGGATGCTGGCAGAACCCTCAGGGTTCTGGGACAAAACGAGCTTCGGTGTCTGCATGTTGGCAGAGAAGCTGTCAAGAACATGCTTGGCGTTGCAGTCAGCAGGACCTCATGAAGAGTGGACAGGGGCAGCATCCAGAGGGCTGCCTCTAGGGCTCCAAGGAGTTCTACATTGAAGGAAAGAGAGGAGAAGGAGGAGGGCCGGCCAGGAGGCGCCAGAGGGGTAGCCAGCCCTGTCGTGTTGCCAAGAAGGTGGGGGTCTCAGCAGAGCTGGGTCCAGCCACACCAGCATTGAGGACCATGCAGGAGAAGAAGGGGAACCTGCAGGAACAGACCTTTTGGAAGCTCCTGTGATGCCCACGAGCCCTAAACTGTTGCCCGGAGTCAGGAGGGCCCCATGCCTGGCCCAGGAAATTGCAGGTGCACCTGGCCGCGCGGGGCCCCCTGGGTGGGGTCACGGGCCCAGGAACCTGCCATGCAGCCCATGTCCAGACCCGTCTGAGTATCATCTACACTTTGTGTGACACAGCATAGGCCACACAGGTCAACCGTGCCTTGGCTATGCCACCTCGCTGACCCCAGGCCTGCCCACTATTTCTGCTGGGGGCTCTGCTTGGTCAGGTACAAGACTGCAAAGGCCAAATGGTATTTGGAACTCTGGGCCCTGTTAGTAAACCTCCAATGGTACCATTTTATAACACGGCAGGGACCCCTCAGGAAGTCACAGACTGTGGCAGAAGACCCCACACCTCCTGAGTGGCCCCACAGAACCACTGAGGCCCAGTGTGCCCAGTCCTGTCACGGGAAAACAGCACCAGGAAACACTCTCCTCTGTCAGAAATAAAGGCAAAACTTGGCCACAGGGAAGATCACTGAGTTTTTTGGTTTTATTTTTGGTTTTTGCCTGCTTTTTCCAGTTCTACATGCATTCAGGGGACAATTATCGGGAGCTGACTGTAACAGACCCCACTCAGGGCTGGGGACCCACAGATGGTTCGGGATGCGTGCTTGCAGCTCAGTGGAACTCTCCAGGAACCTGCCTGCAGCAGAGCGCCGGAGCTCCAACATCAGTGGCCCAAATGGACTCCTCCGTCAGGATGCTGACGGTCCCTGAGACGCGGCACTTCACTCCGTGGGGCGGAGTCTGTCCTCCGGCGCCGACATCAGCAGATTCAAGCGTAGGGAGGAAGTGTGCTGTGGTGTTGGCCCCCAGAGCACCACGAGCCAGCCCTTTCTACCGGAATGTGTTTTCTGGAACCACCCATGCAAGATGTGCAGGATGCTCTACGCGTCCTTCGCTCTGATGCTCATGCATCCTATCCCATATACGTCACATGCGTTCTGTATACATAAGGTGCCTACATGTGGAGCTGCTCCCCTGAGGCGGTACAGTGGCAGCAGCGCTGCCCCCCGTGGCAGGAAGCCATGTGTCTGTGAGGATGGCGCTCAGTGCAGCTCGCAGAGACTCCAAGGTTCTCTAAGCAATCTGACCTGTTGGTCGGCCTGACGGGCACAGGTGGGGCTGGCGGCTTGAGGGCCCACAGCTCAAGCGTGTTCTGCGGGAGAGGAAGCGGAGGGCCCATGGAGGGGCGCCGTGGCTCCTGGGGTGCGAGGTGGAGCAGGCACTGGCAGCCAGCAAGGACCCCGGAGCCCGAGTCAGGAGCGCATGTCCCACAGCGGCTGGCTCCCCGGGGACGGGGTCCTGGCGCCCAGGCCTGGTTCTCCTGTGGCCCTGTGTTCAGGTGGGACCCCTGCGGCCAGGCGGGGCGGGGGGCTGCCCCCCTCACTCACCACAGCCTGCCCCGCCTGGATAGCCTTCTGATGCGCCGCCCTCACCGCAGCTCGGACCTCGCTGGACGTCGGCACTGAAGCAACCTGGCAGATAGAGGTCATGGCTCGGATCCGCCCCGCCGCTGACACGGGAGTGCTGCTCGCGCTGGTGGCTGGTGACCACGTGGTGGCCCTCTCCGTGGCCCTGGTTGACTACCACTCCACCAAGAAACTCAAAAAGCAGGTACCGCTCACTGTGGCCCCGGGCCTCCCTCCTGGGTGGGTCCCCAGTCCTGCCTCAGAAAGCTGACCCAGGGCCGCGCAGCCTTCACCAGTCCGACGGCCACGTGGCTGGGAACACTGTGGACCTGAGGTCACCCAAAGCTGTGTGGGGTGTGGCCTGGTAGCAGTTAGGCAGTGAGGCCACTTACCCCCGACAGTTGGCCAACCTAGCGGTCAGGAAGACGAGCGTCAATTGCTCATGTTTGTGTCAGACCACTTCACTAACATGTTCAGACTCCCAGTTTCTCCTGCACCCTCAGACACGTAGGCCCAAACCACTGGGTGAGGCAGCTGAGGCCTGAGTATGGCTGTCCTCTGTCCAGCTGGCCCTTCGTACCCAACCCAGTTGACCACCACTGTGTGGGACGCATTGTCTCCACAGAACAGCCAAGGGGCAGAGGAAGGAGCTTTTTTTTTCTTGCCTATGTCCAAAGTGGGAGGACCCGCCCACCAGGGAGGGTATGGGCGCACCCAGCCAGCCTGCCCCTGACTGGTCCAGGGCCAGCAGCAGGACCCCCATCCCCACCCTCACCCCCACCCCCACCACTAACCCCACCAAGTGCCGTCCACATGCACGCTGTGTGGACCTGCCCCTCCGGCCACCTACAAACAGCTGGAGCTGCCACAGGGCGGGAGGATCCTCCCAGGGCACAGACACTGGCAGACCCCTGGCCACACAGCCCTGCCCAGGGACCCTGCTGCTGGGGCTTCTGTCCATCTCACTGTCAGAGCCCCTGCCCATCCCACTGTTGGGGCCCCTGTCTGTCCCTGCTGCTGGGGCGTCTGTCCGTCCCGCTGTCAGGACCCATGTCTGTCCCTGCTGTGAGGGCATCTGTCTGTCCTTCTGTTTGGCCCATGTCTGTCCCCGTGTTGGACTGTGTGTCTGGCCCATGTTATCAGAGGCATGTTCTGCTGGTGTGGACACTGGGTTACATGGCCAGCTGTCTTCTGGAATGTTTGCATTTACCTCCTCACACCTCCAGCCACTCTGCTGTGGCTTATGGGTCAGTCTCATGTGGAAGAAATGGCCATGTCCTGTGTTCTGGATTGTGGACACACAGACAGCACATCCACCTAGATGGCTGGACAGTACGGTACCCTGACTCTTGCCCTGGGATAATGTTGCCCACCCCCACCTCACACTTGTGGAAACAGAGTCCTGCACAAGTGTGCCACAGAACGCAGTGCCCAGGCTGCAGGAGACCCCACCCCCCACGGAGGGTTCGGGGTGTGGGCAATGGGACAGGAGGCCTGCACGCTCAGGTGCGCATGTCCCCACAGCTGGTCATCCTGGCTGTGGAGAGTGTCACCCTGGCCCTGATGGAGATGAAGGTGTGTGACGGCCAGGAGCACCAAGTGGCCGTGTCTGTGCGGAAGGATGAGGCCACCCTGGAGGTCGACGGCACCAAGGGCCAGAGCGAAGTGAGTTCTGCGGGACTGCGGGAGAGCCTGGCCGTGCTTGGGAGACACCTGCAGGGCTCCGTGCTCACCTTCGTCGGGGGACTGCCAGGTATGGCTCCATGGCCTCATGCTCGGGTGCGGCACCTGCTGTTCCCACCAGCCCCAGTGTGTCTTTCTGTATAGGGTGAACTTTTAGATGAAGAGAAAACACAGGTACACCCCTGGCTGGCATCATGATGCCTTAGTTTATCAGTGTCCGCTTGGCAGTTCAGGGATTGAGGCTGAGACCAGCTCACAGGGACAAGCACCAGCTTGAACCTGCTCAACCCGCATCCTCTGAGAGCACCCACCTGACTACGCATCACACAGAGGCTGTGGCTGTGGCCTGTAGGGCAGGCCTAGCCTCCAGGGGCCACACTGGAGTCCAGGTGTCCTGGGACGCCCCCACCAGCCTGCTCCCTGGTCCAGATGTACAGCTTCTGGGGACAGGGTCACCTTCAGCTCCTGCTATGCCCAGGAAGGGGCCGCATGCAGCCACCTCCTACAGACTGGGGACCCAATTCTGACCAGGCGCTGTGTGCTTGCCATGGCCGTGAATGATCAAGGGCCAGCTGCTGACCTGACCCCCAGAGGCCCCCAAGGCCCCATGTAGGTTCTCACTCACTGTGCAGGGCAGGACTCCTGGCTCGGCCCACAGACACAAGCTCCATTTAGTTTGAACAAACAAACCTTTGAGGAGGATGGGTTGGGAGCCCTGCGGCATGACTGACTCACTGGAGCCAAGAGGAAGATTGCATTTATTTAATCGATTTCACTATCTGGACACACTGGCTGGGGACCTGCTTGCCTATAAGCATGCAGCCGAGCTGGTGCCATTCTGGACAGAAGACACCTGTGCCCCTCCTCCCCTGAGGAGGAGGGTGGGGGAGGAGACGAGCCTGCAGATGCTTGGAGCACTGGGCGGGGGGACGGGGGGCCTGGGGAGTCCGGGCTCCCAGCAGACGGGGTGGCTCATCTGCTAAGATGGTGTTTGTTTCTTCTCACTGGCCCAGATGTGCCTGTGACCTCAGCGCCAGTCACGGCTTTCTACCGCGGCTGCATGACGCTGGAGGTCAACCAGAAGGCGCTGGACCTGGACGAGGCCGCCTACAAGCACAGTGACATCACGTCCCACTCCTGCCCCCCGGTCGAGCAGGAAGACGGGAGGCCTCGGTCTCCCCAACCCACCACATGAGCAGCTCTGGACACCGCACTCCCACAGGCCGAGCTTCCTTCCAGACTGTTTTCTGCCTTGTAACATACATGTATATAGCTGAGGGCACTGCTGTTAGCCACCAAAGCCACAGCCCCGACCCCGGATCACCCTCCATGTGGAGGACTGGCACATGCCAGAGCAGACCCAGGGAATAGTTCTCTGTTATTTTTATTACCAAATGCTTCTTTCTGGCCTAAAAACATGGAAAAATAAAATATTTACAGACCCTTTTAACTGTGCTGCAGGCTTGGCTCCTTGCTTGTTACCGTGCAGTGGCTGGTGTCAGCAACACGGCGTCCGGGGTGCTTGGCTCAGCTCCGGGCACCTCCCCTGCTCCCCCTACCCGGCTCCTGGCTCCCGGTGCCGTGAACATGACTTGGGCAGATTCAGGGCCACAGCCACCCCTCCTGGAACAGAGCTGGTCGGTACCTGCATCTCTCTCCCTAGACAAACCCATTCACCCCTCAGCCTCCCGTTTTCTCCGTGTAAAAGGGAAACCCCTGTTTTCTCTATTCCAAGGGGCACTGCTCCTGGCACAGAGCCACTGGACTCAGCACACAGGTCCACCTGCTGCTCTGTGAGATAGATAACCCTCAGCCCTCTGACCCCAGGAACATCATCATAGGAAATGCACGGGGGTGGGGGGTGGGGGCAGGGCTACCAGCACACAGCTGAGGTCACAGGCCCAGGGGTGGGGCAGGGTGGGGCAGAGCAGGGCGTGTCCCTGTGCCTGATGGGACAGTACTTGCCCCATGGCTGGTGGTCACTGTCACAGCAGGCGTGGTGCAGAATGTGCCAGAGAAGTTTCCAGCATCCACTGGGGATTGTGCTCAACAACTCAATGGCTCCTCCAAGACTGAGAGTCTTTTTTTTTAAGATATCAAAGACCAGCGAATGTTCTGAGGCTGTGGGGCAGGTCTGGGTTGTGTTTTCTTTCAGATGTTGTACCACGGATGGCAGCAAATTGTCCCATAGCCCTGTCATTTCTCAATACAGAGTGATCCCTGAAAGCCGCATCAACCAAGCACAGAACAGTCCGAGTTCTAGTGCCTGGGTGTCCCCCTGGCAACTGCACACGAGTCTCTAACTCACAACCTGATGCAGAGACAAGGTGCAGAGGGGAGGGCAGAAGGCTGAGGTGTCTGCCCACAGCTAAGTGACGACACAAGAATCCATGTGAGCAGTGCGTTGCTGGAGGAGAGATTCCCCTCCAGGCTTCTAGAGAGCAAGGTATGGCTTCAAGAACTGGCAAGTGGAATGGCCCCAAATGTCCTGATGGGAGGAGGTGAGCATCCCTCCTCACCCATGGCTGGCCCACCCCTGAAGGGGTCTCCAGGTCTCTGGGAGAGCTGGCCATCACAGACACCCACCAGGGGGACCCCTCCCCAGACCTGCTACCCTCGGAGATGATGGCAGAAGGCAGCAGATGCCACAGCAAGGACACAGGAAGGCCCACGGGCTGTGGGAGGCCAGGCCACTGAGGCTGCCCAGGGGTCCCTGGCACCTCCACCATGCCCTCAGCACTCCCTTGCCTGCCCACAGCCGCATGTGTGTCTGGACACCACCACTACCTGCCTGAATTGTTTTCCTAAGTATTTAGTAGCATCTGGGTGGAAATTCTGTTGACTCATGACTTGAGAAAACTAGTCTAAGAGGTTCTTCAGGTAGTTTTACATGCCAGTGCATGAGAAACAAGGGATGCAGGGAAGCTGTGTCCTTGGAGGGTGCATGTTGGGCTGTCCCTGGGCTGCTCCAACCAGCTGTGTCCTCAAGAAATGTCCATCTTCAGCCAAGGTCCTAGTGGATGGGCCCCTTCCCACGGCATGTCCCCACTCTTGGTCTGCAACCAGGGTGGATCTATGTGCCCACTTGCACCATAAGGAGACCCCCAAACCCAGGCCCCCTCTGCTGGCTCTGGAATGGGCAGGTAGCTGGGTTGGGCTGAGCTGGTCAGGCCAGGACTTGGAGCTGCAGGACACAGCCTCAGCTGTCCATCTGGGGAGTGAAAGCTCAGTTTGGGGGCTTTGGTGCTGATCAGGAAGGCCAAGGCTTGGACACTGCTCAATAAGCAGGAAGCCTCACCCCAACCCAGACAGCCTCCAGCACCAGCGGGCTACAGCTCTAAGAAGTGTGGAGGTGGGTTCTGCCTGTGGCCCCCCAGGAGAGCACCATGCTGCCCACCAGGGGCCTCATGAGACATCGGGAGCCCAAAGCAGCTTTGGGGCCTGATCCATTTCTCAACTTGTCATTGCACCATTCCCCGTGGTGTTGTCTGGTTTCCCTCACTGTAGAGGCAGCTCTGGAATGTTCCTGTGGAATGCTCCCCTAGCCAGCCCCAATCTCTCAAGAAGGCCAGGACGGCCAGAGCTAAGAGCACACACACACTGAGCTGCAGGACCCCATGGGCACACACAACAGAGGCCATGGCTCAGGGGCATTCTGACCACCATGGGTTCATCTCCCATCCCGTGGGGCTAGGCACAAATGTGTTTCCTGCTGTGGTGGGCGCTGGGGGTTATTCTAACTACTACCAAGAAAAAGCTTATGGCCATAAACAGCTGAATGCAGCAGTACATTGCCCACCTGTGCCAGGCATGTTGGCACCCTCACCACCATCCAACCAGGCAGGACTGGCTACAGAGGACTCTGGGACAGATGAAGCTCCATGCCATTTGACTGTGTGCCATGGGGCTGGGGCAATTCTGCCTGTGTGCTGTGGAGGGAAGGGGAATGATTCTGACTGTGAACCCTGGAGGTGGGGCTGGGGTGATTCTGAGTGTGTGCTGTGTTAGAGCAGCTGGATGAACTGATTCTGCCTCAAGGAGGAGGATCCTAGACCATTTGATTTGTGCTATGGAGCTGCAGTGGGGAATGGATTATGCTGTGTACAGATTTATGGTCTGTGTTGCTTGTTTGCTTTACAAGTGAAGAGCCACAATAATTTTGTTTGCTCTTTGTTCTTTGTGCCCCAACCCCCACAGCATGCATGACAATCACAAATGTCTCCAGACATTGCCAGATGGCCCCCAGACACAAAACCATCCCTGTTGAAAGCCGCTGCATTAAAAATAAAGGAAATTTGAAACTTAACTCACATAATACAAGGGTAGACTATCTATTTAGATCTAAAAGTAATCTATAAGGCACTTAGAAGATCATGTGAAACTATAGCCAGTCAGTGAGTATTATCTACCCCTCCTTCTTAGTAAAGCTCATTGGCACACAGCCATGCCCATGAAGGTACTAAAGTCTACACCTGTATTGGTCCACAGTGGCAGAGTTGAGTAGTAACTACACACCTACTGGTCTCTAAACCAACAATATTTACTATCTGGCCTTCTACACACAGACTTTGCTGACCCTTGTGACAGAAGAGTGTTATCAAGACCTAAGATAGAGACCTATTTCTTAAATAAAACACAAAATGCCCTCATGATGAGAGAAAAGATTTAAAACTTGAGCAACATTAAAACCAAGAACTTCATGAACAGAGTTACAAGATTGACTGTATGTGACTTCAAGACCTACTGCAAGATACCATGATCAATACAGACTGGTATTGCCAAAAGAATAGACAGATTGATCCGTGGAGCGAACAGAGAGCCTAGAAATAGACCCACATAAATACGGTCACAGGTCTTTGACAAAGGAGCAAAGGCAATACAGTGGGGCAAAAGTCATCTCTTCAACAAATGGCACTGGAGCAACTGGATGTCCACTTGCTGAGAAATAAATCCAGACCTTACACCTTCACAAATAACTCAAAAAGGATCACATACCTAAATGTAAAAGGTGAAACTATAAAATTCCAAGATTGGGCATGGCGATGACTTTGTAGACACAGTACCAAAGGCATAATCCATAAAAGACAGATTGGGCAAGCTGAACTTTGGCAAAGTTAAAACTTTTGGAAGACAAGAAGAAGGAGAAGACAAACCATAGACGGGGAGAAAGTATTTCCAAAAGACACATCTGACAAGATAAACAAAGAACCCATATCCAAAATAAACAAAGAACTCTTAAAATTCAACAATAAGAAAACAAACAGCCCAAATAAAAATGGGCAAAAGACCTGGACAGACACCTCCCCAAAGCAGGTGCTCAGGGAACTGCAGATTAACGTGACAGCAGGACACCGCTGCCATAGACCAGCATGGCCACGATCCAGACCACCCACAGCACCCAGTGCTGGCGAACACGAGGAGCAGCAGGAGCTCACCCACTCTGCAGAGGGAGTGCAGAACGGTGCAGCCACCCTGGAAGACCGTCTGGTGGCTTCTCACGGGGCCAAACACACTCTTAGCATCTGATCCAGCAATCACGCTCCTTGGTATTGATCCAAAGGAGCTGAAACGTGTCCACACAAAATCCTGCACTGGGGCAGAGGTGGGAGGGGCTGGGCTCTCAAGTGCCTCAAGCCCTTATACCTTAGCTTTAAGCATTCGTTCTGCCCGTATATGAAATTTCATAATTAAATCACTTTAGAACACGAGAAAAGGAAATACATACATATGTAACTGTTGCTGTCTGTGGAGCCACTAATGGAATGAGGGCCTTGCCTCCTGGACTTTTTCCCTCTTCCTGTAGGCCAGACAACATTTCCCCTGAGTTCATAGGGCATCTCTGCTCAGCTAGGGGCCACTCTTCACAGTGATGATGAGGGTCTTGTTCTTGTTAACTGGACACACGCTGTACTCCTGGTTCTGCTTCACATGCATTGACATCAGGGTATTCCGCCCTGTTTCACTGAGATACAAGTCATGTACCATAATATTCACCCTTTAACAAGGTACAATTCAGTGGGTTTTATACATTAACAAATCTGTGCAACCATCACCACCATCTGGTTGTGCAGGGTGCAGACTGTGAGGCACTATCTTGGGACTGGAGGGTCAGGTGTGGGCATGTGTGGGGTGCAGGGCATGGAGACCTATCCTGGGGACTGGGGCAGGGGGTCAGGTGCAGGGCATGGGAGCTGTCCTGGGGATGAAGGGGGGTGCCTGGAGCCACCACCAGGCTGGGAGTCGAATTATTCACATTCTTTGTGGCTGGTACGAGGGATAAAGACATTCTTGTGGGCAAGAGCAAAATTGTTGGCCTGGGAGTTTAATATTTTTATCAGCTCTTGGGTTCACCAGCCAGATAGAAGTGGGTTTGGGTGACATGGGTGTGAACCAGGACACTACTGTGTGGCTCTGGGCCCAGGATGAGTGTGGAGGTCAGAAAGTATCCCTGTGTCTCCTGGTACGTGCGTGGCCATCTACTGGGGTTGGCGGCCTGGGTCCGGTCAGCACAGGCTGCCAGGCTGCAGCTCAGGGGCGCTTCTAAGCAGGACGGGTCCTGAGGAGGTGGGCGTCCTGGCCCAGGAGGCACCACTTCACTCCCCCAGATCGCCTGAGAGCGTGGGGCACACCCCAGTGGGTGGAGTCCAGACTCCCATGACAGGGAACTCAGGGATGGAGACAACACCTCAGATTGCCACAGCTTCCTGATTGGCCACACGGAGCTGGTTCCTAAACTCCAGGCAGATGAGGTGCTTGCTAGGGGGCCCTGGCCCCAGGGGCCCCTGCTCTGGCATCCCCTCTCAGACCCACCCGAGCACAGGGCTGGCTGCCTCCACACTCCCCGTTGCCAGCCCTGCGCTGAAGGGGGATTTCCTCTGCAAAGGTCAGGGCTGGGCAGTGACCAGTTGGGGCTCCGGAGCCACCCTAGACTCCATCCCACTCCTAAAACCTGAAGGCGGCTCACAGGACCAGAGGCCAGGCCTCCCGCCTCTTTGCCTGTAACAAGCAGCTCCTCTAGGGCCATCGTGCCGGGCTCCTCACCTGGCCCACCACAACCCCCACATCCCATGTGTGCTGCTTCCCCGTAGGAACCTGCACGTTCACCTTTAGAGAAAGCGCTCCTTGGGCTCAGGAAGCAGTGGGAGGGGTTTCTGTTCCAGGCCCGGAATGTTGCCTGGTAGATGTGCCTTCGCGCCAGCTGGGGGGGGCAAGAGACCACGGCTGCTGACCAAGGCTCCTGTTCCCGGTTTTTCTCTCCCTCCCCAACCCCCTCCTGTCTCCACCTCTCTTTCTCCAGTGCTCCAGGATTGTAATGTTCCCAGGCCTGTCACTCAGCCAGGATTTGATCATTGCCCAGGTGGGTGCCCACCTGCTGCGCCAGGTGTGTCTTGGTCAATGGCTGTTGGTCTGCAAGAGGCAGAGTTGTGGCCCAGGCTCTGGCTGAAGGGCCTCAGAAGCCACCCACCCCGTGGTCACTTGGAGCAGAGACATTGGGTCATAGAGGAATCTATTCTGTAGGCAAGGGAGGCCCCCTATGGGCCGCCCCACACAACAGATTGGACAGCCTCTAGAATAATCCATGAAAGATGGCAGCTGGAAGCAAAGATGCCTTGAATAGGAAACATGTAGCCTTAGGTAGCAAGTCTTTCTGCAGGTGTGACAACAGGTTGGGAAAAGAAGTGCACACAGACCTCAGTGAACACACATACCTTACAGGCAGCATTTGATATTTAAGCCAAAGCACCTTTCAATCCCCAGCAAGTACCAAATGAACACAGCTCTGAGCACAGAGCCCTGCACTTTGTGGGGACACACAGATAAGTATGTAAACATACTACACACCTCCTTGATACAGGATGTTCACATGGGGCACACAGGGCCATATTCCCTTTGCAAAATAATAATAACAAGCTCACTGGGGGGCTGGTAAGAAAGTGAGCTTTGTTTAGTGAGTGATGACACCACGCCAGGGCAAGGAGGCTCCGGGGGATTTGGGATCTCTTTGGTGTCCAGTGTACACTCTGGGTGGCTGAACAGAGGTGCAGCCTGGGGCTCTGTCCCCCCACCACTGATCTTGGCCTCTCTGCCCACAGATGTGCCCAGGAGGGGAAAGAGGGCGCAGACTCAGAAACATTCCCCCAATGTTCCCAGGAGGTTGGCCACAGAAGCAAGGTTTGTAGAGGCTGCTTTGTTTAACAAACCAAAACTAAATTATTTTTCAATCTATGCCCATGTGTCATGGAGTGTAGGGGCAGGGCTTCTCCCCTGGGAGGAAGTGGGCTGGAGCACAGAGAGGTGGTGTGTTGGGAGGCTGCACATCCTCAGACAGAGGGGGGTCCCTGGGAGTCGAGGCTGGGAAGCAGCCATAGCGCTGAAAGGAACAGAAGGGTGGGGCTGGTCAGCGGAAGGGCCAGCCCCACACACATCCACATGGAGCACCACAGCACCCCAGAAAAAGCCCCCCTGGGGCCAGGCTCCCCCACACCCAGGGCCACCCGCCTGACCCAGGCCCCCTGATCAGGCTGCACCACCAGTGAGGCTGGGGGGGGGCCCATTCAGTCCACGGGGCCCTCCTCTGCACACACTCCGCACCCGCAGCCACCCGCAGAGATGCCCATCCTCCCGGCCCACACAGCTGCAGTGCAGGCATCTCCCACCAAAGTGCAAACATGTCCAAGGAAGAGGCTACCCCAAGCATCTGGGTTCCCCAGCACTTCATATTTTAAGAAAAAACTAAGACACCAACATTTTCAGTATAGTTCAACGGTTAATTTTATGTGTTTACTTGTCCAAGCCTTGGCCCAGATGCTCAAACACTGGCCCAGATGTTGCTATGGAGGTATTTTCTAGGTGTGATTGACATTTAATCAGGCCATCAGTTCAAGGCCTTGAAAGGATAAGACTGAGTTCCCAGGGAAGAGGGACTCTGCCCATGCCTGCAAGACCCGTTCTTCCCTGCTCTGTAGCCTATGTCTACCCCATCCTGCAGGCTCTGGGCTCAGTCTGTCCTCCTGTCCTTCTCTGTCTCTCTGCCTCTGTCTCTGTCTCTCTGTAGCAATATCTGTATCATCTATATATGCGCACACATCCTGCAGGTCCTATTTTCCCTGGGGGACCCTGGCTACCACACATAGACTCAAGTAAAAGTGAGTCTGAGAAGAAAAATGTTGAGTATGGCACATAGTTTAAATCAATAAAATTTCCAGTTTTTCTCGACCTGCCAACAAACCTTTTAAATTTTTTCCCTTAACTTCTAATAATTAGAAATGCCTACTTCTAACCAGTATTTAAATAAATAAAGCAAACAGTCCCCTCTATGAAATACACAGGGTGTTTAAGAGCTCTGATCTCCTGATGGTGTTCTGGTCCCTCTTACCTTCACCTGCCAGGTGTCCAGGGCCCCCAAGAGGCCAGTCCATCTGACCTCTGCGGCTCCTTCTGGACCCTTCCCCACCAATGACCCAGGGGCCCCAGGGATTTAGCATTCTGAAAGAATAATGTCCTCACAAGCCGTAGCTGAACCCAAGAATACTGGCCCCTCAAAATCAACAGCATGGGCTTCAGAATCCAATGGCCAGGCCTCTGCCCACCTCTCTCTCTCCTCTCTGACCACAGGGGACAAATCAAACTTCTAGAGAACATTCTCTCTGGTCTGCTAGGAGCTCCCAGCCTTTACTGTGCATGTGTCCACTAGCTCTCCACTGGAAATGAGCAGCTGCAAGACCACACACTAAACCACCATGAGCCCTGGACTGAACCACCTCAGACCATTAAAAAACTGCTGTGAATCATGAGGACAATCTCTGGCAGGACAGCTTTGCACACCCTGGCAGCCCTGTTAGGAAAGCAGACAAGACACAATTTGGTGTAGGATGCAGCTAACCCTCTTCCATTTTTGTTCACACATGTCATGATGCCAAGCCCTCCTGTGTGTCCTGGCCAGGTGACCACTAGAAGCAGGAAGGGTAGTGCCCTTGAAGGTCTTTCTTTCAATGAATGGCTCCAATGAATGGCTCCAAACAGCTGCACCTGCTGTCTGGCCCCTGCTGTTATGTGGGGGGGATCCTTTGCTGCTAATGACCTCAGACACTCCTATTCCCTCTCTGTGGTCATGGAAACAAAGTATCGGTTCCCCTTCCATCGCCAGGACACACATGGAGCACCCCAGTCAGTCATCTCCTTGAGACCTGGTCATTGGTGTGAATGTACTGATGCTCCTGCACATGCTGGTGATAAAGCTGACGAGGCACAGGGAGAGCCCAGGCCTCCCCCGGGGGACAAAGGGAGATCTTGTCAGGACAAGCCCGGACAGTGGCTGAGGATGGGATATGCCACATTCACTAGCCAGCACCATGGCCGGCACATGGAAGGCCACCCCCTCACCCCATGTCCTATGAGGAGACGCATCGTGACACCCACCCAGGGCTCTGAGGTCAGGACCCAGACCCAGAAGAGCCCCCAGCTGCTGCCTGCCTCCAAGGACCAGCGGGTGCCCAGGACGAGTCAGGGCTGCACTTGGGCTCATGCAGGTCCACCATCACAGGCAAGTTCATGGGAGGCGTCCAAAAGGAGTAGGAGCCCCTACAGCACACACCAGAGCTTGGAGGGCACAACTCCCCCTGCCGCCTGGCGTGGATGGGTGACAAGTGTGCCAATCCAGCCTGCACTCAGGTCCACGTTTCTGCACTGAGGTTTGTCCCCGAAGGCAGCCCATCAGCCAGGGATCCAGCCTCCCCACGGCTGTGGATCTCACACTCTGGGCTTGGCAAATTGAAGGAATGAGAAGCAGAGTGGAGCCCTCAGGGCACATGGTCAAGGCAATGTGGTCCTCACGGTGGTGGGGACTGAGGGGCATGCCCAGACACAGGCAGCACTCCAGGGAAGTTGAGGCTGTCGAGTGTGGCCCCCAGGATGGTGGGGACAGCTGTGCCCAGTAGCATGGGGATGAACCTGCCCTCGGGTGAGCGCTACAGGGGTGGTAGACACACCTCTCCTTTCTTCAGCCTTGGGATCATTGTTCCCCCACATCACAGAGGAGGGTAAGATACCCTCAAGCGAGGCCTCACCCTCTTGGGGACACAGTGCTTGAAGGGGCCTCATGCCCATGGAATCAGGACCGAGCACCCTGCGGTCCCCATGGGACCAGGGCCCAGTGCCCACTCAGCACCTGCTGGGTACTGCCTGGCAGACGCTTCTTGGGAAGGAGGAAGCGTCCCTTGGCACAGCCCTGTGGAGACCAGAGTGGGGCTTGACTCTGGGTGGATGGCTGTGTCGGGTGCCCCCTGGGAACTCAAAGACATCACCCACGCCCAGGCAGCTCAGCCACTAGCCTCATTTTCCAGGTGAGTAGAGACAGCACCAGCAGGAGGCCGGCACACCACTCAGGTCACACCCAGTGGGCCCTCCGTTGGCAGGCTGCAGGTAACAGCCCCCTCAGCACACCACACAGCCCATGTCCCGGGCTCCAGAACCCCCTATACCTGCTCCCAGCCACCTCACTGACACCCCCAGGCAGCCAGCTGGCCTGGCCAGTGGGGTCCCCAGAGCCACAAAGGGAGCTGTGTGGAGACAGGACTGAAAGACAAGGCAGGTGCCACTCTGGGAACGACCACAGCTGCCCCAGGCCCATGTGTCCTACTGGCTGTGAGGTGGTCACTTCTGTGGGTATGCATGGCTGGAGGGTGAGCTCCCATGGTCTCCAGATAACTGCGCACAGGCCACAGGTGGCTGGCTGGGACTCTGCGGTGAACTGTCACAGGGTCCGGGCCTGGGGCAGAAAAGGCTCAAGGCCTGGATGATACCAAGGGCCAGGCCAGCAAAGGAGGCCTGAAACACTGGAGGGGCCGGGCTGTCTGCCATGCCTCCCTCACAGGGCCCCCATCCCTGGCCAGTGCATGCTGGCTCTGCAAACTGGGGGAAGGGAGGCCATGGACCCCCATCTGGGTCCCGTCTGACCAGGCCTGTCCTGGGCGACTGCAGCCTGTGATGTGGGTCCACTGGCTTCTCCCAGGCAACACAAGGCCTACCTGGAGAGGCAGAGGGTAGGACGAGCAGGTGGGGAGGGTCGCGGGCGATGGGCAGAAGCTCGTGTAGGCCAGGATCTGCTGGGCGGGGTTGTAGAGGATCTGAGGCAGAGCAGACGGGCCGTAGGCCAGCTGGGACAGAGGGACCTGCCAGCAGAACAGATGTGTGTCAACCGGCCCTCCCAAGGCCACCCACCCTGGGCATCAGGCCACCAGCCATGGAACCCAATCCTCCTGCTACCCTCCTGTGACACCTGCAAGGGAGACAACACTCCTGGATCAGAACACCTAAAAGCAGGGCTTACTTTTGCATTTTTCTATTTGTCTCAGGGACACACCAACATGCCAGGCTAGGCCAGGATTTCTTTGGTGTTTTATTTGAAAAAGCAAGACAACCACTAGCTCCAGGGCACCTGGGGGGCTCAGTCGGTGAAGAGGCCAACTCTAGATTTCAGGGTCCTGGGATCGAGTCCTGCATCGGACTCCCTGCTTCCCTCTCTCCCTCTGCCCCTCCCCACATGCACATGCTCACTCTCTTTCTAAAATAAATAAATAAACCCTAAAATGAGAAAAAAAAAACACAGCCCTGGTTGTTCCTCTCCAGGGGAGCCATGGTTACAGGACATCTCTACCTGGCAAGTGCCTGCCTTGGAGCAAGCCTCTTCTGATGACTAATGAAATGCCTTCATTCCTTAAGATAATTTTTAAATTATAACATCCATCAAAGTTACAAGACTATCTACTCAGTAGGTGTAAAATTTAAAGAACCTTCTAACAATTCTATTGTGGACCCTGATGAACGCCAGAATCTGTTCCAGAGCACCTGGGTGGCCACTGGCCATGCCTTCACCCAGGCTCATAGAGCGGCAGAGATCTAAGCCCACACACCTACAATCTACGCTCCTCCTGTCTCAGAAGATGTGCAAAGAGTGGAAGCTTTGAACTAGCTGCTTTGGCAAAGCCTTGCCTCAGGCTTCCACAGGAGCTCCCCGCGGCCTGTGCCCATCAGCATCCTGATCCCGGTCCTGCCCCAGTGACATTAGTCCAGGAGGAGGAGGCTTGTCTCATATGAGCTTAGAGACCCCTTGTGCCCCAGAGCTTGGAAAGGCTGTGCACCAACCAGTGGGGGAGGGGGGCTGTGGGGGGTCTCCCTCCATGACTCGGTCCAGACAGTGTGAGATGAGTTATATCTCAGGAGGGCTGCAGGCTCAGCTACTAAACATGAGCTGTGACCAGTCTGCAGCGCACTCAGGCAGCGTGTGGCCTGTGGGGCATGGGATCCATGTGTTCACACTAGCTGGTCCCAGCTTGTGCTCTCTGGAGTCCATGGCCTGAGGTGGGGCCTCGCCAGCCAAGGACAGCCAGTGTCAGGAGGGGCTGTGCACAAGAGGTCCAGCTGGGTACAAGCCTGTCTCAGGGAAAAGAGGGAACAAGAGGTCCCGCGCAGCCCTGTCCCAAGGACAAGCTGCTTCCAAGCAGAGAACCGGGCTGAGGGTGCCCCCGGGGCAGGAGGGGGAGGAGTGGGGGTCAGCTGGAGCCGCCCCGGCCAGAGCACCAGCCCCAAAGCTCTCGTCCATGATCGGGGGCATCTCCAGATCACCCCTAGTTCGGGCACACACAGACCCAAGCCCTGGATCCGTAACACGGGGCTCTGGGCTTCCGTGTGCAGCAGGGCGTGACAGGGTGGGGTGAACAGACTGGGCTTGGGTCCCATCACGTCTCCCACTCCTCGAGTGGCTTCGTGCACCACATGCTACTGAGGACGGGCTCCCGGGACCAGGTGGTAAAGGCTTGCTGTGACCCTAACGTGGCTGGCAGCTCATGTGAGCCTCTGTTTCCCCACTTGCAAGTGAGGATAAGGAGGCCCACCCTGTCCACCTCAGTGACCGTGGACCTCAAGCCCGACCCGTCTCCAGTGGGTCCTACTCACCATGTCCTTGAAGGCGCCCAGAACTGCTGCTGTGACGATGCCTAGGAGCACACCCAGGACATTCAGCAGTGCCGAGGCCCAGAGCAGCCGGTACAGGTGCAGCACGTCCTGGCAGCGATGCACCCCCACGAACTCATAATAGGCAGGAGGGTGTTCAGTGCTGCCCAAGGGTAGCAAGTGTCACCCACACTGGCGAGGAGGTGGCCCACAAGCAGGGCAGGGCACAGAGCCCAGTGGTCTGAATCTGGACAAGGGAGGGTCAGGGGGACCCCCTTCGTGAACCAGCCCAAATGCACCCTGAGGTCACAGTGGCAAGGCTGTCTCCCAGGGCTTCTGGAAATCCTCCCAGGGAACAAACCCAGGCCTGTGAGCAGGCAGGACCACCCGAGCCCGCTCCCCAAACCCAGGTCCTGGCAGAAGGATGATGGAGCCCTGACTGGGTCACCCTCAGAGCCAGCAGGACTCGTGGCTGGGCTCTCTCCACCTGCTGCCGTGCAGGGAATACAGGAGGGTGAGCCCCTGCGGGGGTCTGTCCTGCCCCCCCACGGGCTTGCAGGGGTCCACACATCTGCTGTTTCTCCCATTTTGGCTTGGAAATGGGATTTGGGGATAATGGGGTTTCTGCTTAAAGCCCTGGGGTTTCCAACAATTCTGGGGAGGGGTCCCCAAGAAGCAAACATGGAAGTCCTTGCTAGTTCTAACGTAGGTGATCCAGTTAGTAACATGACACGGGGGCCCAGGGCTATTGTAGAAGCCCTGCCACATTAAGGATGGATGCCTGAGGCTCTGTGCAGGTGAGTCTGAGCACCAAGAACCCCAGGGCCCGTCCTGGGGAGGCCCCCACACGCCGTGAGCTTTCCGGCAGCCTGGGCAGGCTCTCCCAGCCCACGCAGAGAAGAGTGCCCTCCGCTGTTCACAGCGCAGGTTAGGGGAGGCACTCCAGGGCTGGCCAAGCACTGCGTTCTCACCAGGACCTGAACTCAGAGCCCCCCAGGCCCGGGGAAGGGAGCCCCGGCTGCAGCCACCCAGCCCAGCCCCAGCTGACCAGGAAGGAACACGGAGAGACCTGGGGCACATACTGTCCAGAGGCCTAGGTTCTGACAGAGCCACAGCCAAGGGGTGGGAGGCTGTGGCCCTCCCCATACCTCAGCACCTTGCTGTGCCTCGGTTTCTCATCCATGAAATGGACTCAACACCCCTTCCTCCCATGGACATCTGAGGACTGAAGGGGACTGTGTGGGTGCAGAGCCAGGGCGCAGAGCATGGATGGTGGCCATGTGGTCAGGCCCCTCCCCACCACTCACCTCTGGCAGTTGTAGAGGTCACAGCAGTAGCACGTGCTGCTCCTCACCTTCAGCTGACACTGGCCATTCAAGGAGTGACAGGTGACCTTGAGCAGAGAGACCTTGTCAGGTGCCGGCCATTCCTCACCCCAGAGGGGACAGGGCTGCCTTCCTGGGAGCCAGGCAGCCCCTCCTCCTGGGCCCTGTCTCCTCACCTTCCTCCGTCCAACCCCCCACCCTCCCGCCAGGGGCAGTGGGCTGCGGGCTGGTAGGGTCCCCCTGCTGGACACTCAGAGGATGAGGCTTGGCCAAGACAGCCATCATTTAATGGACAAGGAGAGAGTGAGGGTCCCAGGCAATGAGCATGTAGGCAGGGATGCACCAGGAGGGGACATATGGACAGCTCCAGGAGGCGGGGCGGGGGGGGGGCACAGCTCCAGGAGAGGACAGGGGGCAGCTCCAGGAGGGGAGGAGGAACAGCTCCAGGAGGGGACGGGGGTGGGGGTGTTGGTACAGCTCCAGGAGGGAAGTGGGGGACAGCTCCAGGAGGGGACAGGGGGTTGGTACAGCTCCAGGAGGGGAGGGGGGACAGCTCCAGGAAGGGATGGGGGGCAGCTCCAGGAGGGGACAGGGGGACAGCTCCAGGAGGGGACAGGGGGCAGCTCCAGGAGGGGATGGGGGACGGCTCCAGGAGAGGGGGGTACTCCATCAGCGAGAACTCCTCCTGCTCACACATAGGCCGCACCCCGCAGCCCGGTGTGGCCAAGACTGGAGACCGCCTGGCATAAGAACATGTATCCTGCCCTCAGGCACCTGCCAGAATCACCCTATGAATGGCTGGGAGACTTTTGATGTTAAAAAAGCAAGATTGGAGCAGAAACATGACCTTCCTCCTTCCCCCAGTGTGACATGAGCAATGCTGCCAGTGTTTGGGAGTTAGTGGCACAGGACCGCTCCAACTTCTGAGGGGCAACAGTGACCTCTGGGGAGGACAAGAGACTCCTGAGATAGGACGACATGCCAAGTGAAGGGCAGGGGGAAATCTCTGCTGGTCCAGGGGCAGGTGGAGGAGCAGCCAGGCCATGGGGTACTCAGAGTGTCCCTGGGGCCCCAGCCCTCTTGGCCATACTTCCAAAACCACTGGACTCGTGGCCTCCCCTCAGGGTCCTGTGGTTGCAGGCTGTGGGGTGTTCTGGTATGGGCAAGCACCTGGAGCACATAAGGGCAATGTCCAGATCAGCAGGGCCATGCCTGGGGTCCTGGGAAGGGCAGGGCTGCAAGCTCAGGGGGCAGAGGGGCAAGGGAACGGGGGCCACCCATGGCTCCCTGGCCCCGGGGGAGTGTGCAAGCCCAGGGGATGGCGGCTTAGAGCTGGTTGGCCAGTAAGGGACCTGAAGCCCAGCCTGGCCCCCCTGCCTGTCATGCAGGCAAAGCTCTGTGTGGCCATGCTCCTCTGTTCCTGTAGCCGTTCATGCACCAGGGAGCCAGGGACGAGTATGGGAACAGAGACCCTCTGGTCTGTAGACCCTGAAAAATCACTGACTCTTTATAAGGGAAAGCCGCTGGGCCTGGTCTAGAGCTGTGCAGGCAGCTGGAACCTGCCTGGAGGCCCAGAACCTCCAGGGAGCATTTCAGATCCTGAGTCCAGTGAAGCCACAAGCTGGGGGGCAGGGGAGGGCAGCATCAAGATTTGCTCAAGCTCCTGGGCTCGTTTCAAGAGAAAGAGGGTTGGGAACGAGAGGCGAGCCAGGGCAACCCCAGGGTCATGTGGCCCTGTCCTCAGAAGGCCTGACAGATGGGGTTCAGGAAGTTATCTGTGCTCCTCTGTGACCCCAGGAGCAGAAGTGGACAGGTGGCCACCAGCAAACGATCCATCGGGGGGAGCCGGAAGGAGGACAGACAGGAGAAATGTCTGTGGGTGGGTGGGGGTGTACAGGGAGGACCTGTGACAGCCTCTGGCCGGAGAGCTCTCCAGCCCCTCACCCCAGGTAAAAGGCCAGGAGGGCTGGGGGCAGCCTTTGGAGAAAGCTGCCTCCCCCTTGGAAGGGCAGCAGGGAACCTCCACCCCTGAGGCTTCAGAAGCACCCAAAGACATGTGGGGGTGATCCGCAGTGTCTGCTCCAGATACCTAGCTCCTCCTGCACATGTGCACAGTTGGGAGGACGAGTTTAGTCGAACTGACAGGTTTGTGCAGAACTGAGGCCAGACAGCCTGCCAGAGGGGCCCCATGCCTGTGCGCCACCCGCTGCAAGTGGCCACCTACAACCCGACAGGCGACCCGCAAGACTGCTGTGTGTCCCCAGAAGCCACTCCAGCTGCCACATGGTGGGCTAGTCAGCGCTGGCTGGAAGAGACAGGGAGCTGTCCACGGCCCGCACAGCAGGGAGTCGGGAAGCTCCACTAGAAGCAAAGCCTTGCAGGCTGCCCTGGGTGCCCTGGGCCGGATCAACAGAAGGAAGCCCACGCACCCCAGGCCCTGTGTACCTCCGTCTGGTAGGTGTCGTGCACATAGCCCACCTCGCTGGCGAAAAACTGGCATCTTCCCGCAGTGAGGGGCCTGGGCTCCTAGGCACAAGGACACACACGTGGGATGGAGTGGATTTGACCCCAAGTCAGGAGCGATTCCAGACCCACCTGCAGACTCAAAGCCTGTGGGCATCCGCCGGGTGCAGGACGCAGAGCAGGAGACCCCGCCACTCCTCGTGGGTGGCTGGGCCACTGAGAGCAGGAGGCCCACCCCAAGTGGCACCCACCCTGCAGGCTGGGCTGACACATCCCTCCTCCCTCCACCTACAGAAGCAGGAGAAAGGAGGCCGTTGCCTGACCTACTGCTGTGACCCAGGAGACCTGTCAGCTCCTGCCTCTATCCCTAAAACAAAACAAGTTTTGTACCCGGAAGGGAGAAAAAAAAGACCCGTCATTAATTCATTTACCCAGCCACCCCTCCACCTGATCATCCAGTCATTCACCATCTCTATATCCTTCCATCCATCCCTCTATCCATCCATCCCTCCCTCCATCCCTCCCTCCCTCCATCTATCCATCCCTCCATCCATTCCTCCGTCTTTCCATCCATCCATTCATCCTCCATCCCTCCATCCATCTATCCACTCCTCCCTCCATCCCTCCCTCCATCCGTCCCTCCCTCCCTCCATCCCTCCATCCTTTCCTCCCTCCCTCCATCCCTCCCTCCATCCATCCCTCTATACTTTCCTCCCTCCATCCATCCTTCCCTCCCTCCCTCCAGCCATGCACTCACCAACCACTCAACATACATCCATCTATGGCCCTATCCAATTTTCCATCCACAAATCTGTCCCCGGTATTCATGGAGAAGATGCCATGCCAGACGAAGAAGGTGCCCAGGTTAGACATAGTCCCTGCCCCTAGGGGACACACAATAACTGACACCAGGAGCTGTAACATGCTGCGAACCTATATTATCTATAAGGTACACAAGGGTATAGGGTCCCATAACTGTTATTTATTTCTCCGTTAGTCCTATTTCTCAGAACATCCCCACCTCTGACCCAAAAAGAACATAGGTTACCGCCAGCGACAGCCCCTTTGGGATGCAGCCCAGGACGCAGAGCTGGGCAGCCCCGTGGGTCCACCTTCCTGCAGGAGACAGACAGCAGAGCCAGGAAAGGGGTGTGGGGTGCAGGACGGACCACAGGGCTGTGCCAGGATGGGGGCTGGCAGGCTGGTGTGGCCAAGGCCCTGTGGTGGCCACCGCTGAGCCCTCACAGGATGCCCGCTGATTCTGTCATCCCCACACAGGCTTGTTCCAAAAGTTCCTCTCAGTGTCCCAGTGGATGGCAGGCGCCAGGGGCACCTGTGATGATAGCATCCGGTGACTTGGGTCCCATCCTGCTGCATCGGCGCCCTTCCTCACACCAATATCCATATGGAAACACCCTTTCTGACTGTACATCACAGTCTTGCTAGAGGCGTCCAGATGCACAGGTCACCCTGTCTCCAACCGAGTCCAGCCCCACTCGAGCACCAGCCACGCCCAGCCTCAGCACCGTTTCCACTTTGGTCAGCTGGGCCACCGTGACTCATGCCACAGACGGGCGTTCTGATGAATAGACGCTTGCTCCCACAGCCCTGGTGGCAGCCACAGACCAGGGAGCAGCCTCTTCCTGCCTCGTCTTCACATGGCAGACAGCGGGCTCTGGTCTCTGTCCAGATGCTAATCCCACCACAGGGCCCCCCATCCCCATGACCCCATCTGACCCTGATCACCTCCCACTGGCCAGCCGCACCCCCCCTCCCAAGTGTTCTGGCGACGCAGATCTGCAGCCACGGCAGCTCAGAGGACAGTCCACTCCGGACACCACCTTAAGTCAGACATGAAAACTCAGTGGACAACATGCACATTTCAGCAAACTATCTTCCTAACACAGAAGCTCCGGTGGCGTAGTTTCATTTTCTGTCTAAATCTTCAGTGTCCAATCAGGAGGAAATAATTCTTAGTTTGAATTAAATAAAACTGGGACCTATTTTAGTCCCACCGACCACACAGCCTTAGTTTTCTAATGTATGACGACACCGAGACTACGTTTCTCTGGGGATAACCCTCACCTCTGCTGGGCTGGAGAGAGCCCCAAGTCCGGGTCACTGGGCCTAAGAAAATTGGCCATGGGCATGCAGAAAGACTGTTGACAAATTTTACTTCCTAACTCTTCCACATAAATCAACATTAAGACACCATGCATATTAATATCAGACTCTAAGTCACTAAAACTCAGTTAAAACCCCGTTGTCTCCTGCAGGGGTCAGCCCACTATACCCTCGGGCCATGTCCAGCCCACCACCTGATTTTGTAAATAAAGTTTTATTGGCACAAAACTATGCTCATTTGTCCACATCTGTGATTGCTTCTGTGCTTCGACAGCTGAACTAAGTAGTGGTGGCAGAGGCCACATGGCCACAGGCCTAGGGTGCCCCTGGCCCATTGCACTTGTGTCAGGGCAGGACCTGCTAAGCAGCTGTGAACAGAAGATGTGGGGCCGCCAGGAGGACGGGGACACTGTGCCCCTCACCAGTGTGGTGTGGTCAGCCCAACCACCAAGTGACCACTGTTCTGCCCACCCTGAGGGTGGACAAGTCCATCCTGAGCCCATTATTTCCTGTGTCTCCTGTCATAAACCAGAACCGCTTGTCTCGCAGCCCAGACAATCTGCCCGAAGGTCCTGCTGGGTAGCAATAGGTCGTTAGCTGCCAACAAATGTGCCAGCAACGACCTTCCGGACCCTGGGCACTGATGTTCCACTTCACAGGGCATCCAGCCAGCTTGGAAGGGGGAAGCCTGGCATAGCAGCTGGTGACATTCATGCCCTGCCTGCAAGGACAAATGGCTTCAGCAGATCCCACTGGTCTTAGAAAGGAGATGGGGCTGAGGGAGAGCACAGCTACCCTTTCACTCCCACGGCGCTGCCTGGGGTCCCCGACTTGGGAAACAAGCAGATTTGGAGGAAATTTCTCTCCAATACGTGCTGGGTGGGCGACGAGGCTGGCAAACACCCATGCACAAGGCAGGGCCGGGCTTTCCCTCCAAAGCCAGTGTTCCTGAGGCTGCCCACCTGGCCCCACCCTCGGGTCTCTGCTCAGAAGCCAGAGCGAGTGCTGCCGGCAGCAGGGAGACTGGGGCCTGGAGCGGAGCATGCAAGCCACACCACATGCAAGGCTGCAGTGCCAGAGCTGGGCTTGACTAGGAGGGGCGCTGATGCCCAGTGGGCACTGGCTGGGTCCCCAAGGCCCAGACACACTGTCACAGCTCCTAAGTGCTTCTCAGGCCAGCTGGATGCCAATGTTGAGGAGCCACAGCCCATGACGGGGTCCACCCCGCAGGCACAGGGGTCCAGAGGCCACCAGCAGATGCTGTGCATGCCTGGGTACCTTGGGGCATTGGTGCCATGTCCAGTACCGGGATCCTGCATCTGGGGGCAAGTTTTTCCACATCCTGGTGTCCTCTCACACCTTGTCCCCCAGTCATTGGCACCTTAAAGTCATAATTTGGGGAATTGCTAAAAGCCGGTTGCAAGTTTGTAGGAAAGAGCCTTGATGAATTGATTTTATCGTCTGTGGGGCAATCACCCCTGCCCCCCCGTCAGGCTGCACGTTTTAACCCAGAGACCCTGCTTCTTCAGACCCATGCTCACATCTTCCCTGATGCACACGCCCTGTGCCACGTCCATGTGCAGCTGGAGGGAAACAGAAAACCAGACCAAGGAATAAAGAAAGGTGTGGGGATGGGGAGTGGGCAGGGTGGCGGGCTCACAGGCGCGACCCCTTAGCGTCCAGGCAGCCTGAGCCCTCTGGAGACGCAGCACCCAGGAGCCGAGCCAAGCCCCTGACCCAGGAGGGTGAAGCTATGCACTCGGTCCTGGCAATTTTTAAACCTTTTGTTTGGAAGTAATTTCAAACCTACAGAAAATTGGAAAGAATCAATTACAAGGCAAACCCAGATTCGCTGAAGGTTACCACCAGCCAGTGCTGTGTGAACCTGTAAGGAGCTGGAGTCCACGCAGGACACAGGGGAGCCTCAGAGAAGGGCAGAGAGGGGCTGTCGGTCGGGCCCGCGGCAGACGGACGCTGGACCAGGCCCCTGTGCACCCAGGCCCTCAAGCTCCTGGGCCCCCAGCAGGCAGGACATGGGCCCGGCAGGTGCCCGTCCTCAGACACCACATCTCCTTCTCGGTGAAACACAGCAGACAGTGGCCCTGCGGTTAATAGACAGAAAAGCCTGGTCCGTGAAGCCCTCTGACCAGACAGCCCATGGTTCTCGTTTCAACGGAAAGAACGGGGTCTGCCCTGGAAGGGTGACTTCCTTGATCTGGCGACCCTGCAAGGCACGTGACTCTAGGGCATCTACCACCAGGACAGGAGCACCGCCCCTCTACTAGCAGGAAGTGTCCGAGCCCTCAGTTTGCGCCTGTGTTTCTCCAACTGCAAGGCCTGCAGCTTCTTACCTGAAGGTTCTCTGGGCTCCACAGCCCGTGGCCCTCTGAGCGGGGCGCGCGGCCCAGGGCCAGCCGTCTGGACACGAGACCTTTCCTGATCCTGCGTCCACGCTGCCTCTCCCGACGGCTCTGTGCCTGCGGCAGGATCCCAAGGCCAAGCTGCTCCACAGACCCCCTCGGGCACCTCCCTCACAGAACAAGCAGGAGACAATAGCGTTTCCCTGGCGCTTGACCTCAGGCGGGAACGTGCCGCCCACCATCGATCAACGCTGTGAAGAGCGTCCTTCCTCGGGCACGCTGGCGGGTCCCCGCAATTGCCGCTTCACTTGCCTTTGCTGGTAAGCATCTGCGTCTGTGTCTGTCGTGCCCGGACAAGCTGGAAGGGTGCGTGCAGGGTGATGCTAGCAGCCCTTCCACGTCGATGGGCAGGCCCGAGATCTGAGTCCTCACTTTGCCTGGATGATCCTCACCGGGGTGTGGGTCAGGGTCCACACCCCCTGGCTTGAGTACGGGTCTTCTTCTGCCAGCAGGTGGGGTCACAGGACCCGGTGACCACCTCTACAAACTGCCTGTCCTTCCTGGCTGGAGGGAGCTGAGCCACCTGAATGCAGAGGGGGCACTCACTCCGTGGCGGCGGGAATATCACATCGTCTCAAAATACGCTAAGTGTGCATTTAGAAGGAAAAGAACACGTGCTTTGAGAAGAGGCGTCTTTACACTGAGAAGCCATCCACATTCACGCTGAGGCCTTCAGGATGGTGCCTGGCTCAGGGCGCAAAGAGGCCGGCTGGCCATGAAGGCCTGCAGACCAGAGAGCTGGGCCCTGGTGGGAAGGACGCCCCCACCCAGGCCCTGCTCCAAGCCCCGTGCCCGCAGAGCCTGGCCGCCCCTGCCCCGGGCATGCTCCGCCCTCCACCCCATGAGGGACACTTCTCCACAGCATCACCTACAACCACCCCTCCTGGCGCCCTCGGGGCCTGAGGAGCGGAAGAGGCACCCCGGCCTCCCTGGACCAGGGACACCTGAGCCATGGTCACCCTAAGAGAAAACCATAACTGACTCTTTTTAGAGCAGGATGCCACTGTGTGGACAGGCCTCATGAACCCAGGAGACGCTTACCTGGAACAGGTGACCAGTTGGCACAAAATTCCGGCCAGGCCAGGGTGGACAACCTGCATCTGCCCAAGGTGGAGCCTCCACCAGAGAAGTAAGGTGACTCAACTGTTCTAAACTCTTTCCTACCGGCTTGTCACAGAGCAGACAGGCCAGAACCTGAGGGAGTTAACTTACTAGAAGCTGTTTTTTCTGCACACTGGGAACTAGCTCTACCCATTTTGGTGGGGGAAATGAAAATGTTCACAACAATTGTATTTGGAGCACCTGAGTGGCTCAGTGGTTGAGCATCTACCTTTGGCTCAGGGTGTGACCCCAGGGTCCCGGCCGGGACCGAGTCCCACATTAGGCTCCCTGAGGACAGTCTGCTTTTCCCCCCCTCTGCCTGTGTCTCTGCCTCCCTCTGTGTGTCTCTCGTGAATAAATAAATAAAATCTTTTTAAAAAATCGCATTTTGACTCCTGTCATCAGAAATTACATTATTCTCTGTGTCTGTTGGGAGAGAAATGGGTTTGTGCAGCAGACATGCAGCCTGGAGTTGCCGGCGGTGCTGTTCCCACCAACCAGTCACTGGCAGCCCCACAGCAGGCTTCATGCGGGGCCTCATGGGGTCACACACACACACCATCTGCCAGCTTCCAGGTCAGCCTGCTAACACTGCACCCACAAACATCCATCCCCCAGGCGCTTCTCAGAGAGTGGCACTGAGGGCACATGTGGTGCATCCTCCTTAGAAGGACTTGGGACACCCACCCCAATGGCACATCTTGAGCACAGAGACCTCTGTGCCCCCGCTCAAGGAGCCCTTGGTCTGTGCCGCCAGCTGGATGACCTGCAGGCACGACTGTCCAGCACCAGAGCACATGGTGGACATCACTGACCAGATTGGGATGGGAGTCAGATTCAGGATATGCTTTCTGTTCTAACCTGCAGAGTGCCAGAACCAGGACAGCAGATACTGGCCGGAGACTTGTAGTTTGAATGATCTTTCCAAAAATGAGACACAGGAATCTGAGACAAAGTATATAGAAACCCCTAAAAAGTTCTAACAAATGATGAAGATGCACAGGCACAGCCATGGGGCCCTGGCATCTATCCCTTCCAAGTACCTGCTGGCCGGGTCCACCCAGGGCCACTCGTGAGCCCTGCAAGGCGCTGCCCAACGTGCAGCCAGGGCTCTCCTGGGAGCTCTGCACGAAGGTTCTGTCCTGCTCTCCCTTCGCCTGCATCCATCAGCAAAGTCACAAACCACATTATGCAGAAGCAGAGGAGGGGTCACCACCACCACACACCCTGACCCCCCGTCAAGGACTTTGCTTGGCCCCAGAGAAGAACCCCCAGGCAGCACCCCACTCTTGGTACCAATTTATATCTTAGTCCACACAGTCTGCTGCCACAAAGATGCTATAAATTGAGGGTCACTGAGCAACAGACGTGTTTCTCACGGTCTGGCAGCTGGAAGTCCACAATCAGGGGCCCCGGATCCGGTGCCTGGCGGGAACCCATGTCCTGGTTCAGGGACAGCGTGGCCTCGAGAATGAGGAGCGAGCAAGCCCTCAGGTCCCTTCACAAAGTCTCCACCTCGTGACCTCCCAGAGGTCACGGCCTCATTCACCGTCACCTTGGGGGCTAGCTTTCAGACATGAGAATCTGTGGGGCATCCAGTCTGCCCTGACCTGACACTGCCACGGAGCCATGTGCTTGTTGGCAAGCTCCAAGGCCGCAGGGCAGTAGGAATGCAAAGTCCGTCGGCTCCTGGCCCATTGCTCCTCAGGCCGTGAAGGTCTGTTGAGGGGTCTCAGGGAATGACTGGCAGTTCACTGTCCTTTAGTAGGACAGGACACTGGGAGGTCAAGCGGACAGCAGAGGCAGAGTTAGCACCAGCCCCACCAGCTCTTGTGTCCAATCTCCAAGGTTAGAGGCCGCCACATATGACGGGCATCTTGTTTCAGGAGAAACGTGGGCCAAGGACAGGTCAGGCTTCCATCTGCCCAGTTTGAAACAAGGGCCATTTCCTGACATTACAGCAAAACTTTTCTAAACACACAAAAGGCTAAAAAAAAAACCCACATAATTTGACAATGGATTTTACATTTGCCTGTCATGTAGGAAGTTGAATTTGGATTCCAACTGAGATGCTGATGCTGGTGCCTGTGTGTGTGTGTGAATGTGTCAGTGTGCACGTGTGCATGCACATGAGTGTGTGTGAGTGCATCTGTGTACACGCATGCCCATGAGTATGTGCATACGTGTGTGTGTGCATGTGTGCATGTGAGTGTTGCATGTGTCTCGCCTTGACTAATTTTAGCATATTTTAATATTTTTATGCTCATCATCCTCATTGCTCTCATTTCTCTTTCATGTGGAACCTCTTTGCCACAAACAAAACAAGCCAGTGCTCTGAGCTGTGGCCACATGAGAGCCGCAGTGCCAGAGCGCGCACCCGGTACGGCTCAACCGTAAGGGACTACTGGGGGAGTCTTCCATCTCGGACTTTGCACCGTGAGGTAAGATGGAGGTAAACGCTCTCACAGCACCAGCCAGAAAACATTGTCACAATCTCTCCAGACACATATTTGAACTAAGATCTCCAGCAAGTGCTCAGGCAGCGGGTTTCTGAGCCGTGAGTGAGGAAAGTCATGTAGGAAGTTGAATTTGGATTCCAACTGAGATGCTGATACTGGTGCCTGTGTGTGTGTGTGAATGTGTCAGTGTGCACGTATGCATGCATATGAGTGTGTATGAGTGCATCTGTGTACACACATGCTCATGAGTGTGTGCATACATGTGTGTGCATGTGAGTGTTGCATGTGTCTGTGCCCATGAATGTGTGCATGCACTGTATATACGTGTGTGCACATGTGCACATATGTGTGTGAGTGTTCTCAGAGTATGTGCATGTACATGCACAGGACTCTGTGTATGCCTGTGCCTATGAGTGTGTGCACATGTGTGCATGCACATGAGAGTGTGTACACACCTGTATGCATGTGCATGCACATGAGTGCACTGTATGTGCACACATGAGTTGTCCACATGTGACTTGTGCATGTGTGTGCATGTGTATTCCTGCCCACACGTGTGCATGCTTGTGCATGGGCGTGCACGTGTGCTGAATCAGTTTTGCAGGGAATGAGGAAAAGCCAGAGAAGTAGAAACAGCATCTGGCAAACAAGTGGAGAGAGGAACCAGGAAGGTCTATGAGCTGAGTTCTGCCAAATGAACTTTTGTTTTTGTAGATGTTTCTAAACCCCCAACAGCGATGGAGAACAAAATGAGGAGAACTCACTATGTGCCGAGCTGCAAACATGCCGTCCACGATGGCACAGCAGAAGGCCGCCACCACGCCAAAGCTGATGAACACGATGGCCGCGAACAGCTGGGGCAGAGGGCAGAGAAGCAAGTGGGCGTTACATGCTCCCAACAACTGTTCTCCAGGACAAACCGCCCACAGCCCCCTGCTCCCGGAGCTCGTGGCCTGTCCGGCCCCTGCCCTGCCCGACACTCCCCTCCTGGGAGGGCTGCCTTCTTGCAGGTTGTCCACATGGCAGACAGGGAGCTTCTGGCGCCGGCTCCTCCACACGTTGCTCATGAACAAACTGACTATTGAACGGTCTGCAATTTCTCACTATTACAAACTCTGCAGCGAAGACCCTAATACATTGTGTCTACAGCTCTGGTTTCTGTGGGGGAATCTCCACAGGACAAACCCAGGAGTGCACAGATGGGACACATTTGGGTCACTGATTTTAGCAGCAGAGAAGCCACAAGGTCCCATAAAGAGGTTTCACCAGTTTGCACCCCAGCTCTCCAGCACCCGTGTCCTTATACCCAAACGATATTTCCTATTATTAATTGTTTAGACACTGCCATCTGATGCACAAAATAGGCTCACAGTATTTCCAGCTAGATTTCTATTAAGAACCTTTTCTTAGGTTTGTTGGCCATTTATTTAAATCCTTAAAACATATTTTGTGAAATAATTTTAAATTTACCAAAAAAGTAGCAAAAATAATACAAAGAAGTCCTCTGTGTCAACCCCTGAGATCCCCCAAGTATTAACACAGTCAAAACCACAGCCACACAAAAGACATGAAGAGAAATCTCACAGAGGAAGACATAGACATGGCCAACACGCACATGAGAAAATGCTCCACTCACTTGCCATCAGGGAAATACAAATCAAAACCACAATGAGATCCCACCTCACACCAGTGAGAATGGGGAAAATTAACAAGGCAGGAAACAACAAATGTTGGAGAGGATGAGGAGAGAAGGGAACCCTCCTGCACTGTTAGTGGGAATGTGAACTGGTGCAGCCACTCTGGAAAAATGTGTGGAGGTTCCTCAAAGAATTAAAAATAGACCTGCCCTACGACCCAGCAATTGCACTGTTAGGGATTTACCCCAAAGATTCAGATGCAATGAAACGCCGGGGCACCTGCACCCCGATATTTATAGCAGCCATGTCCACAATAGCCAAACTGTGGAGGGAGCCTCGGTGTCCATCGAAGGATGAATGGATAAAGATGTGGTCTATGTATACAATGGAATATTCCTCAGCCATTAGAAACGACAAATACCCACCATTTGCTTCAACGTGGATGGAACTGGAGGGTATTATGCTGAGTGAAGTAAGTCAATCGGAGAAGGACAAACATTATATGGTCTCATTCATTGGGGGAATATATAAAATAGTGAAAGGGAATAAAGGGGAAAGGAGAAAAAATGAGTGGGAAATATCAGAAAGGGAGACAGAACACAAGAGACTCCTAACTCTGGGAAACGAACTAGGGGTGGTGGAAGGGGAGGTGGGCGGGGGTGGGGGTGACTGGGTGACGGGCACTGAGGGGGGCACTTGATGGGATGAGCACTTGGTGTTATTCTATATGTTGGCAAATTGAACACCAATAAAAAATAAATTCATAAAAAAAAAAAACACAGCCACAGCTTTGTGTCCATAATCCTCTCAGGCAGGGAAGACCCATCATGTGTGTTTATTTACCGGGTCCAGGATCTGCATAAAGCCACTTAGAACGATGCACCTTTGTGAGGAGCAGGCTGTGGTCAGGACACATGCTCGTGAGCAGCTCTCCAGGTCTTTAGCCTTGGACATGTGCTCATGCCAGCCAGCTGATTCCCCAGGTCTCTCAGGGCAGTATGTTTGAGCCACTTCCTGACAGCATCAGGCTCACCGGTCACTGTTGCACCAGGCCTGCTCCCTCCCCATCCTTGAAACCTGAATTATTCACTGATTCCCTGAAGCCAGGAGCTGCTGAGATGCCACCTGGCTTGACACTGCAGGGGGAGGGATGGGCGGGAGCACCACAACGAGGAGCAGAGAAGGGCTGGCACCCTGGCTCATCCTAGACCCCAGCCCCACTAGCACTCAGTGGAAATAATCCCCCAACATTGCAAATCAGGGCTTCGTCTAAGTCCTTGGGGGTCTCTCAACTAGTGACTCTCGGGTCCTCGGGTTCCCCATCTGGAGACAGGTGCATGAGCACCTTGCATGAGCCTCCTTGGACCTGCCTCTCTAGTGCCATGGGCAAATGTAGCAAAACCAGTAGAGGTCCTCGGCTCTACCCGCAGTCTGACATTTCTGACATTTTATGATGAATTAACTGAGAGAATCTAAGGCCTCAGGGGGAGCCATGCGGAAAGCCCTGCCTGTTGTTCATCCAAACAAAAAGAAGAATCATCCAGCATCACCATGGCACTTCTAAAACCAACTCTTCCATACAGCAGCTCCAGCCTGCAGACTCTGCTGCGCTGGCACCCCTGCTCTGCACTGGAGGAAGCACAGCCCTGCGGGGACCCCCAGACAAGAGCTGGTGCCCTGTGAGGTCCATGGCACCAGGGGGCTACCCACTTGCCAGGCTGACCAGGGAGGTCCCCAGAGGGACATGGCTGGTCCTTGCCCAGCTCTAGCTTCCCGGGGAGGAAATGCCGAGCCCCCTCCTACTGGCCCAAAGCCCGAGGCTGCACCACCTCATTCAGCATCAGCTGGGAGGAGAGGCCAGTCAGGCCCCATCACTGCCCCCTGCTTCTGTGGACAGCCTCACGGCCCACACGGAAAGACTGTTGGCCAGAGGGGCTGAAGGGAAACAGGCTCGAGATGAATGAACCACCTTCAAGCCCAGAGTCCTCCTAGTCCCAACAGCTATGACATTATTGCCACCAGCAGGGAGGGCTGGCCACCCTCAATCTCAAGAGTGTGGGATGGAGCCCCGTGCCCCAGCACCAGGCCTCCCAAGCAGCTAGTGATCTCGGGAAGGGAGGCAAACTCTCTGACACAAATCCAAGGAGGGAGAGCCCACTCCTCCAGCGGATGCCTCCTGAGTACCTGCTTGATCCCAGACACCATGCTCACACTGGCCCATGATGCTCTCGAACCCTGGGCACACTGGGCCACAGACAGGCCTCACAGCCCGTGGCAGGAATTCTTCTATGTCTTCTACATCTGTCTCCCTCATCCCCAACCATCCCTCGGGCCACTCCTGCTGTCCTCAAGGACCTGGACTGTACCCAGCGATCACTCTCCTAAAGCCCGGTAGGGTCTGTGGCCAACCTGGCTACCGGGCTCTTGTCGAATGTGAGTGTCCACCTGTTCTGTGCACTGTGCACTCACCCCCAGCTCAGCTGTCAGCTGGGACATCCACCAAGCACTGGCCACTTGCCTGAGAAGCTGCCAGAAGTGACCCCACCCCTGACGCACTGATGGCCTCCTACCTCACTCGTGTGTCCAAGCAGAGTGCTGTCAGGACCTGCTGCCTCAGCAAGCTCATCACACACTGACTCAACGGCCCCTCAGAGAATGCCACGCTCCACGTGCTGGCCACACGACCAGCTCTGCCCCAGCAGTGGCCTGGACAGAGTCTCAGACAGCCAAGACACTTCCTATTACACCTCCGCCCAATTTCACCCAGAACTTCACAGGAAGCCCAGGATGTGCACTGTATTCTTTGCCGTTGCCTGCCAGCCCTAGGCTCTCCAGAGCTACATGCATGCCCTGGTTTGGTCTCATCCAAAATGTTCATCTGAACATTCTCATCGGCTTCCTGCTGGCCCTGCCTTCACCCACCACCCTTGAAAAGTAAAACCCAGTGCCAGCATCACTCTCCACACTGCATGGGCGGCTGCACAGATGGGCTGTGCATGGAGGCTGTCAGTTCCACAAGGACGGGGTAACTGGCCTCAGCACCCTGCCCGGGCCCCTTTTCTGGGAAGAGAGGAAGGTCACCTTCAGATCTCCACCGGGCTCACAGAGTTTACATTGCAACAGGGAAGGCAGATTAAAAACCAAACACCAATAGATAAAGTCAAGTTGATAATGTAGGAATGAGAGCAAAGAGTGGGGTGAGCTTGGCACCTGCTGGGAAGGTTGTCATTTGGGGGTCAGGCCTCTCATCCGGGGCATCAGACACATTCAGTGACTCAGGGCTGCCAAGGGGGTTGGGATCTGACTGGGCAAGGTGGTGCTCTCGGGTAGGGGGCAGGGGTCTGGGAAGGCCTGCCCTGGAGCTTGGGAGCCCTCTGCCTGCGGGGATGGACTGGAGCAGGTGGAAGGGGAACAGTTAGCTCCTGGGGACAATGACCCAGGCAAGTGATGACCAGTGTAGGGCCAGGAACAGCCAGGGGTGGTCTGAAGGGGGCACCTGGAGATGGTATGGGAGAGGCATAGTGGTCAGGCCTCAGGGTTCTGGAGAGAGTCTGCACTGGTGGAGGGGGCACTATTCCAAAGGGGCAGTTGGAGGGTGGCCCCTGGTGTGGGTAGAGGGGCTTAGTCAGACAGCCCAGGAGCATCGCGTGGACCAGGCCGGTGGGGACACTGTGGGCCAAGGAGAACATCACCAGGCCCTCACCAGGGAGCCCACAGGCAGCCCCAATCCCCAAAGCAGGGAGGCAGGATTCCTGGGCCATCCCTCAGCAGGTGTCCCCTATCCCCAGCTCCCTCGTCTCCAGGTATCCCTCATCCCCTTTGTACCCTCTGCCCCTGGCTGTGATTGGGAGACTCCTGCCAGGGACACTGCAGGCCCCGAGGCCCCACCATGGCGTGCATCCCCACGTAGCCCACCCTGCCTCCCCTACAACCCCAGGCTGAAGTTCGTGTGTCTTCCAACCATGTTCCCACCATCTGTACCTTCCTCTTCCCAACCACAAGGATGGAACTAGAAAATCATGGGTGGAAAGACAGAAAATCCAAACATCACACCCTGAAACAACCAATGGGTCAAGGAGGAAGTCAGCAGGGAAGCCATATACAGGTAGAGGTGACCGCAACGAGACAGAGGCACAGTGGAACCTGGCTGGGGGCACAGCCAAAGCTTGGAGGGATCTGACCACAGTAAACATGCACTGAGAAAGCAGACAGACCTTCAATTGGCCGCCTGATGCCCAAATGAACTGGAAAAAGAACAGACTAAACCCGAAGGCAGTGAAATACAGGGAATAATGGTGGTTAATGCAGAGAGAAGACTCAGGAAGAAAAATAAGATCAGTCAACGCTCCTGGAAGTTGGTTGTTCAGAAATGTGAAATCTATAGCTGAAGTAAGAGAACAAGCAAGAAAAACCAGATACCTGAAATCAGAAATGAACCTAGAAACATTATTACCAACTTTACAGAAACTAAAGGGATTGTAGGAAAGTACCATGAGCTCGTGCACCAATGAGCATGACCTGGAAACCAACCATCCCCAAAAACCATGAACCACCAACTTCAACTCAAGAAGGAACAGTGATTTTCACAAACTCACATGATGGAAAAACACCCAACTTCCCAACAAAGGACCAGATGGTGACCCTGGCGGTGTGCAGGGGAGACACCAGCAGGTCTGCGTCTGGGGGCAGAGAGGAGGCCCAGGACCCGCAGTGGGACAGCCCCTCCCAGCAGTGGCAGGTAGGGCGCCCAGGCACCCACTGGCCCAGGTCCACAGGGCTAGCTCACGTCACCGCCCTCCCCCACCAAGCTCTCCGGACCCACCCCCCACATCGTAGTTCCACAGTCGACCACCGCAGGCCTCTGCCCCGACCCCTGGGGCCATCTGGACAGCAGAGCTGGTAGTGACATCGATGGTTTGTCATCAGTCTGGGTGAGAGAAGGCACTAACTGACCATTAACAGAAAGTATGAAAAGCTGACGCATGTCGGGGCCTTCCTAGGAAATCACTGGAGACTAGCACAGAGCTGGGCAGAAAGAATGATGAAGCCACTGACAACGATTAGATTCTACCCGTAAATTCTAGCAGAGTAAACTATTTGCAGATGAAATGGCACTATGTCTGCTATTTGCTTCAGAATAATATGGGAAGGGAAGAAACAGGGGTGAGGGGATAAGAATGGCCATGAGGTTCATTTGCCTCCCCTGCCTACTTTTGCATATGTTTAAATTTTCTGTCAGAAAAAAATTAAAAGGAGATCAAGGAAGAAGAAGAAGAAGAAGAAGAAGAAGAAGAAGAAGAAGAAGAAGAAGAAGAAGAAGAAGAAGAAGAAGACATTCTTACATGTCTGGATGCACTTGAAATGCGTTTTCTCAGCCTGCTAGTTCCTGACTTGGGAAGCAACACAAACGTCCTGAAGAGAGTGCTGGACACCTGCTCTGGGCCAGCGCTGGCAGGTGTCCTCACACAGGTGCTCCCAGCAGCCCTGGAAATAAGGAGACCCAGGTCCAAAGAGTTGAGTAAGGTTTCCGAGGTCACACCCCTCCTAGGTGAACCTAGGCTTCAGTCTCCGTCAGCATTAAGTGAAAGGTCCGTGAACACATTCATCCCACAGGTCAGCCTGGAGAACAGCTTCCCAACAAGGACAACGAGGCAGCACACGTTCACAGACAAGTCCGTCGAAGGCTCTGGTCTGGTGCCCAGGGAAGCTTGTGGGCTCGCTGGGCCCCACACTGCTTTCCTCTTACCACAGCCTCCAAACAGAACTCCAGCATCCAGATTGGAAAGGAAGAAGCACACCTATCTCTATTTGCAGGTAACATGATCTTTTGGATGGAGAATTCTAAGGAATCCACTATAAACTACCAGAACGGAAGAATGTGCTCAACAGACCTACAGGATACAAGACCAGCAGAGGAAAATCTATCGTATTTTTATACACATGCAATGGACGATCCAAAAATGAAGTTGGGGAAACAATTCTGTTTATGATATTCTCCAAAAGAATAAAATACTTAGGAATAAACTGAACAAAAGAAGCACAAAACGGCCTCCTGAAGACTCTTGACACAACAAAACATTATTGAGAGAAATAAAAGTAGATCTAAAAAACCTAGGACAATATCCCACATTCATGGGTCAGGACAAACCTGTGACACTCCCTCGGCTGATCCAGGGATTGAGCAGAATCCCCATCAGAATCCCAGGTGCCCTCAAGCTGATTCGTAAATGTAGAGGAAATCGCAAAGACAGAGAATCAGAACAATCCTGAGGAAGAGGAACATGGTAGGGAGACTCGGGTTCTGATTTCAAAACTTGCTACGAAGCAATAGTAATTGAGACACTGCACTGACAGAAGGAGAGAGCCGGGGACAGAAAGGACAGAACAGAGAGCCCAGAAGCAGGTGCGCACACGTGTGATGAGGTGGCAACCACCACAGGCGTGGAGACCATTCCGTGTGGATTGCCAGGCTCTGCACCCAGAGGGCAGCCACATGGGCAGAATGGAATGAGGATCCCCACCACACACCATAGGCAAGCACTGACTCAAAATGCACCAAAGACTGATGTGTAAGTGATGAAACTCAGAAAACACAGGGGTGAGTTTTCATGACCCCAGAGCTGGTACAGGATTCTTAGAAATGACGCCTGCAGGGCATCTGTGGGGTGCGGTGGGTTGAGGTCTGACTCTTGGTTTCCGCTCAGGTTGTGATGGTCCTGTGTGGGGCTCCATGCTCAGCGTGCAGTTGGCTGGAGACACCCTTCCCCTCCCCTCCTCCCCTCCCACTCCAGCTCACACTCATGCTCTTTCTCTCAAAGAAATCTTTTAAAAAGAAAAGAAATGGCACCAATGGCACGGACAACAGAGAATGTACGCAAATGGGGCTTCACTGAAACTACAAACTACCAAGGCCACCACCAGCAAGGGGAAGGGAGCCCACAGATGGGAGAGAATACTGGAGTCGTGCATCCGACAAAGGGCTGGTCTAGAACGTGTAAAGGACAAGTCAGTAACGGGAAGACAACTCACCCAACGTAAACATCAGCAGAGGATTTGAATGGACCTCTGTCTGCAGGAAAAGGTGGAAAGGCCAATGAGCCCATGAGAGAAGCCCGCGGTCACTAGTCATCGGGGGAACAGTCAGAGCCATGTCTGGCCCACGGCGGGGCCAGAATACGACAGGTGAGCACACGTGTCAGCAGGGTTGGGGACACTGAGTCCACGAGCACAGGGCTGGGAACGAGGATGGCACCCCAGCTCTGGAAGACGGGCTGGCACTTCTTCCCATGACTGCTGCAGGACTGGGCAGTCCCACCTTGGTCTGCGTGCCGGAGCCACGAAAACGTGTCTGTGGGACTGTATCATCCACCACTGATGGTGGCCCTGTGCACAAACGCCAGAGGTGGCCACGACCCCAGTGACCACTGCTAATGGATGGATACACAGGAAGCGGCCCATCCACACGCCCGAACGTGACTCGGCAATGAAGTCCCAACACACGCCACAGTGTGGGTGAACCTGGACTGCGTGATACCGAGTGACAAGCCATGACACGAGTCAACACACACAAAAGTTGAGTAGCAGATGCCTAGGGCTAGAGACAGGGATGCAGGCCTGGTGGCTGATGACACAGGCTTCTGGTGAAAAGGGCAGAAATGTTCTCAAATGGTCACATACCTGGTATATGCTAAAGGTCACTGAATTTACACCTTTAAAGGGTGGATTATACCTCAGCAAAGCTTTTGGAGGAGAGGAAAGAGTAGGTGTCTGTGGACCAGACGGTCAGCACCACCCCAAGGGTGCTGGCCTGCTCACCACCAGCCTGACACCTGCCCCCCCACTTCACAGCCAGCTCTGCTCCTGGGGAAATCGCATAGAAAAGCCATCAGGAGGCTGACCTCTACAGGCCCAGGTCACCACTGCCTCTGCTGGATGGATTTCGGGGTCCTGGGGGCTGCAGCCCCTCCTCAGGCAGCCCAGCCGCGAGCCCCACTCTGCAAGCTTGGTGCCTCCCCACCCTGCAGCTTGAACTCAGAGGCCTCCCCAGGGACACTCACATTGGAATGTGGCTAAGCCTGGACAGAACTCAACAATTCTTCCAGAGATTCGCTGGGAGGAGGGGGCATCCGGGCGCTGAGCACTGCCCTCCCAGGAGGCTGAGGTCCAGGTCCAGCACTGCCTGGATGGTGGCAGAAGCCTTGGGTCCCTCTGTCCACCTCCTCACAGCCGGCAGCCCAGAGTAGGCGCTCACCCTTTCAGTTCTTAGGACAAACACTTTTTTCTGCCAGAATCCATACCTCCTTGACCTGCTCCCCCTGGCCCCAGACCCATCCCAGGACTTCGCCCCTCACTCAGCCAGGCTCGTTCTGCCCCAGGGGCTGCTTGTTCAGTGTGGCCAGCACAGCGCAGCTGTGGACACAGAGGACACATGGGGTCATCTCCTGCACGCCCGTCATGCAGTGTGAGCCCCGGGGCAGGTGGCTGCAAACCTGGAGGTCAGCATGATGGCCAGATTGGAGATGAGTCAGAAACGGCCACGTAGCCCCAAATACCCCCGAACACGAGCCACCTCAGTGATTGGAAAAACAAACTGACCATTCTTGGAGCTCCATCCCCCAAACCGTGCAACAAACAGATGCCAAAATGAAATTGTTAATAAAAATACCGTGTTTGGAATACTGGTCCAGATTGGCACTCACCCCAAGAACCGACTCCGTGGACAGGCAGTGTCTCCATGTCTCCACAAAGCCCATCTGAGCCACGGGTCCTGCTGTCCCAGCTACCTCCCTTTCTCCTCAGCCTGGGGGAGCCTCTATATCATCGTTTCACTTACAAAACCCCATCCCACCCCCTAATCTTTCTTTCCTGCACCTCAACCTCGGCAGCAGGACTATCACTTGAGGTTGTAGGATCCACCCTATGATCCCAGAAGCAACACTCACTTAGACTAATTGGGAAGGGCACCCACTAAACCTTGAGACCAGAGTTGTGCAGTGCACAGCCTGGGAAACTGGGCCCTGGTCCTGCGTTGCTGGGTGGGGGTGGAAGGCTTTCCTAGGAGCACGGCCAGAGCGGTAACACACTCTGTTGAGGGGCAGCACTCTTCCTGCCCCACATTTGAAAGAAACAATGTACATTCTTACCACCTGCCTTCTGTTCTCCACCAGGTTGATGCCAATAATTCCTAAGAAAGCTCCGAAGCCCAGCTGGCAGCAAAGGAAACACAAGGGAGAAAGCACTCAGGTTAGCGCAGGCAGCTCCCCCACCTTAACCGCCCAGTGGCACACAAGCTCACACCGCTGGGCGGGCTTCTCCAGCTCCATCAAAGCTGGTGATTGGAGTAGAAGTTGCCAAAACGTGACCCATCTCCATTCCCGTGTTCAAGTACTTTGACGCTTGATCATGTGACCCTGCCCTCCGCACCCTCACAGAGGCTCAGAGTGCTCACAGCTGTGTCCTGCTTTGGCCGCCAGGTGAGGGCCCACCTGAAGTCAGAGTCACAGGATGGCTCCTTGGGTGACATACTGAAAAAGCAGGACCCAGGGCACGCGGGAGAAGAGTTGTCGTCACCCACAGACGCGGCCGACGCCACTCACAGGTGAGCAGGCAGACAGGTAACCCTGGGGAGCGGAGGAGAGCAGGAAGGAGTCTCTGGCCCTGGGAGGACGGGGGACTTCCCATCCTTGAGAAAGCCTCGGCTCCTTCTCCCGGACCAAGGGAGGAGTCTGTTGGAGGAACACATCCTGGCTGTGCTCGTGTCAAGATGAGGGATGCAGGGCAGCGGGTGCCTCCACCGAGTGAGTCCACCTGGTGGGAGACTTTCTCCAGGAATGTCCATCGGCTGAACTGGCAGCCATCAAGGAGGAACGGCACTGGGCCACTCACGACAAGTGGCAGGCGACAGGCAGCAGGCGACAGGCAGCAGGTGGCAGGTGCTTGTGGCAGGTGGCAGGTGGGCTCCTGCCCGTCGGGCTTGGGGCTTGTGTCTGAGTTTGGGGCACTGATGGCTGCTGTGGGTGCTCAGGTGACAGTGTCAGATCTAATGCACGGACAGTCAGACCCGCTTACAGCTACTGAAGCCTCTGTCTGTATCAGTGGAGACAGACACATGAGCACAGGTGACGTTTTCACCAAGAGTTCAGGAATTCTCAGGGAGGAAAGACAAACGTTGCCTCCACATGCAGCTTCAGAATATCATAGTCCAGCTCCCCAGTTCAAAGGCACCGGAGGCCCACTCGGACACAAGGCAATGAAGTGCCTCTGTTGAGTTCCACCGGCTCCATCCCGTCTCTTCCCAGGACCACTCTGACACCGTGTCCGCAGACACGGGTCTCCAAGCAGGTGACTTTATTTTTTTTTAAAGATTTTATTTATTTATTCACAGAGATGCAGAGAGAGAGAGAGAGGCAGAGACACAGGCGGAGGGAGAAGCAGGCTCCATGCAGGGAGCCCGACGTGGGACTTCATCCCGGGTCTCCAGGATCACACCCTGGGCTGAAGGTGGCGCTAAACCCTGAGCCACTGGGGCTGCCTAAATGTTACCAATATTATTACTAATCTTGACAACACTTTCAGTAAGAAAATGTGATTAAATGAGCTTTATTTTAAGAAGGTCTGGATTGAGCATTTATGACAGCAATTTCAAGGGCGTCACAGTGGATGACAGCCGATTCCACAGACCCCTCGTGCCATGTGGGCCCCTCAGCAGATTCTATTGCTAACAACAGTGGACATGAAATCACAATTCAGACTCTCTCCTCGATAACTCTGAATTTGGGTGGCACTTCTTGCCAGATCTGAGTAGGTTGTCCCCAATTATGCTTTGGCATTACTGCCTGAAATCTGAAATTAGGAGTGGATGACATGCTTTTCTGCTGCCCCCATGAGAGCAATTGATTAACCGAACCTCCCTGGGGCTCCTCTGCAGGACTTTATTAAAGGCACACTCTGTTCTCCTGGCTGGGCTGGTCCGTTCAGAGGCCCAGGGTGGCCCGGGCCGGGGTCTGTCCTGCACAGGCCGGGCACCCTCCCTGGCTTGGGCATCCCCACTCCCCCACACCTTCCCCATCTCAAGGTCCCAACGCTGTGCCTGCTCCCCTGCCCTTCAAGGGCCCTGTGCTAATGCAGGCCACCTGCCTGAGGCTGCCCAAGTGGCCACCGGCACACCCACAGGCCCAGGAGAAGACACAGGTGCCTCTGGGCTCAGCCTCTTCTGACCACAACCCCTGGCAAAAGGTCCTGTGCCCTGCCCTCCACCCGAGCCCAGACCCAAGGGGAGCAGCACTCACAATGATTCCTGGGTAGTAGCCCCCCATGGTCACATTCTCTGTCCTGGTGGTGGCAGTCAGGCCGATGGTCAGGATGGAGACAGACACCACGAGTAGAGACCCCACAAACCAAAGGGAGGTCTTCTTCCTCTTCGAAAACCCTTCTAGAAGAAGGACAAATGAGGAGCTGTGAGAGAGGGATGGGGCTTAGAGCAGGGTCTCAGTAAACACATCCTGCCTCGCTCCACCTCTCTGGGGCCTGGAGGGCCTGGAAGATCCTTCTGCAGGTAACCCAAGCGGCCCACATGACTGACCCCATCTTCCCAGGACCCTGTTTCTCATGGCAGGAAGTCAGCGTCCCCCTGGTCACCCACTAGTCCCCCTGGAAAGTTTCTACCAGGCTCCTTGACATCCTCTCCTGGAGGACACGTGCACCCCCACCTGCCTGCACCTGCACAGCCTCCCCTGCACCTGCCTCCCTGCTGGTTGGAAGTGGGAGCCTCTGGCCGCACCCCTGCAGGCCCACTGCACCCAGTGAGCTCCACTCCAGTGTTCACCGCCCCGATATCAGACCCCCCACCTGATGGGCCCATGAGGGCAGCTGGGGATCTGTCTTTCCCTGCTCCATCTCTTGTGCCTGAGACCGTGCCCACAGAGTACATCCTCACTGAACACCAGCACCACCACAGCTCACCCCCAAAACCAATGCCCATCCTGGTCTGCAAGTTCCCCAAAGCCCTCATCCTGACAACCCACACAGTAGAGGTCATGCCTGACCATTAGCATCCATCAAAGCAAAGGATGTCTAGTAGGCCCTCCAGGAAATCTCTGAGAGAAGCCTGTCCCTCTGCCTTTCTCTCTCTCATCCTTTCTGCTGCCTGGAATATGAGCATAAAGGTGGAGCCCCAGCAGCCATTTTGGGCCATAAGGGAATCCACACTTACAGAATGGCAGAGCACAAAGAGCCTGGGTCGTCTATCTCCAAACTTTAGTAGCAGAACAAAGTCTCTGGACCTCATCTACTACTTGGGACGTCAGAGTGCTTGTGGACAAACCTGAGTCCAGGTGTCACAGAACTCAGGAAAGCAGCCAGACAGGAGACCTTCCCAAGGTCTCTCCAGCCCTCGAGTTTTGACTTCTGGGTTTCCCGTTGACCTCTCTTCCCTGTGGTGTGTCTCAGGGAAGGCAGGGAGGCCTCATTGGCCGGGACCATTTGCACTTGGAGACACCCACTCCCACCTCATGGGCAGCAGTCACACAGCAGAGGTGGAGGCAAGAGTGCATCCAGGCTGTTGAGTTTTGTGTTCTTGGAGCTTAGCCATCTGGATCCCTGTGCAGGATAAGAGAAGAGGGTGCTTCTCTGCACCAAACTTCTTCAATCAACATCCTGAGTGTTTAGCAGCAGAGACAATGGCGCATGACAGCAATGTCCAGGCTCAGTCGCTGCACACAAGGTCCACACCCCCCGACAGTTTGTGTGTGAATTTGCATTTCTGCAGTCCCATCAGCTGAGCTCATGGCAGGTCAGCTACCGTGCCCGCGTTGGGGTCCTGACATGCTCAGAAGTCACGCGGAAGAACAAGTCACCCTGCAAACTCGTGCAGGTGACCTCCTCTGCAAAGGGTTTTTCTTCTGCTATTTTTCCTCACTTAGTACGGAGCACATCCCTTGCCCCCAGCCATAAGCGAGATGCCTCAGTGGCTGCCTCAGCCAGAGCACAGCCCCCAGGGCCTCTCAGCGCCACGGGGGCACTCACCTGGCCTAACACCCTCAGCACGTCCCAGGGTCGCGCTCTGACGCGCAGATCACAGAGCCAAGGGCCAAACATGTCTCCGCAGGGATCATGGGATGCTCCCTGCAGCCCATTCTGTCCTTTTTCCTTCTGAAGCTTGGGCACAAGCAGATGCGGCCACTCCGTCCGAATTTCCATGACGGGCCCGAGGTCACTTGGAGGACGAAGCTGCCGTGGTGTGGCCCCCACAGGATGCTGGGAAGCCGAATGCCAGCCCACCACGAGGTCTCTGCAGGCACTGCACAGAGACGGAGGAGAAGGCCCTGGCCTGAAACACTATGAACACAGGACCGGGCATAAGATAAGGGAACAAGAAGTAAACCCGAGAAGGGAAGGCAGGATCATAATTTCCCCAACACATACAGTTTTAGATCAGGTTTTGCAGACAAAGGGTCCTGTGCTGGAGGAAGGTCCTCTCCATCCTGTCCACACGCAGGGCTGAGCGTGGTGTTTTACCAATGACGTGCCTTGACTGGTACCTAAAATATCTACTGTCAGGTTTGTCACAGGCGGCTGCCACTCAGAAGGCCTCGTAGTCTCCATCCACCCAAGGAGAAGCCCGCAGAGTGGGGGCCGTGTGTCCCGTTAGCCACCAGACCCCACGCCCAGCTCAGATGACAGGCAGACCTCTTGGGTACAGTGACCTCCATTTCCCAAGCTGGACAGTGGAGACAGAGACAAGCAGCTGCATCACCCGCATCTCAGCTGCTGTCAGGACACATGTGAACGCGCAGTGAATGGAGTGAATCTGTTCAACATGAGTGGAGAGAGCGCTAAGATGGCCTAACAGGTGCTAAACTGGCTTCCCTCCCTCGGGGGAGAGGAGTTTGAGGGGCAACCCTGAAGGCTACCAGCGGCATCTCCCATGGGACGTACGTCCTCCCGCCCAGAACAGCAGGCACTCAGCCCCCGGCCCCTGCCCCTGCCCTCTGGCCACCACAGCTCTTCTGGAAGCCTCGCCCCATCTGACGAAGGGCAACCAGGAGCAGACACGTGTCACCAAGACCAGGCAGTGCTGGTGGGGCCTTGAGTCCCAGAGAGAAGAGTGCGCTTGCTCCATCACGTGGGATCACCCGAAACAGAGGGACAGTGACGCCCCCCGGAATCCGAGCAGAAACCAGAGACTCAGCCTCAGTTTCCTGCTCCCTGACTATCCACAGGATGCATGCCGAGGTGCTGGCCGCAGAGACACCGAGTTCAGAGTTCCCAGCTGCACTAATGTTTAGTATTTTTAGATAAGAGCCCAAGTCCAGCTGTTGTTTATTAGTTTATAATTCCTCGTCAAAAGGAAAGATGCCCGACACTGCTTTGTAAACCACCAGTCATTCCAGTGCAGTCATAGGACACCAGTAAGTGATCCGTCTCTGGAGGATGAAGTCACAGGTGCCAGAGCTCCGTGCTTTAGAGAAGGGAGCCGCACATCTGTTTCTTTCAAGGAAAAGCCAGATTCTTTAATTATTATTTAAAAACCAAATACCATTAACTCTGGTTTTTAACAAGAGAGGCCTCCGAGAGGCTGCACATGCACGCCTGGCGGGACCCCCAGACAGGGAGCAGCAGCCTCTCTGCCCCGTCCCAAACCTGGCCTGCCTGCTCAGGAGAGTGCATCCATGTCCTTCAGGCCGGGTGCCCAAGGCGGTGTCTGTCAAGGCACCCGGGGCTCCAGGAACGAGGGCACCGGAGGGTGTAGAGGCTGGAACACAGCTGCGCCCAAACCGTGGGGAGAAGCCACCATCTGTGCAAACAAGGTCTGGAAATGTCTGCAGGCTAAGCTGGGACAAGGGAGGCAGAGGCCGGGTCCATGGTAACAGGAGACATGGAGTGGGGGGAGTGCAAGGAGCCAACTGTGTCAGGACAAAGGGCCCTACAGGTGAAGTCCCAGGACTGCAGAAAGGCGAGCGGACCCTGCCCATGACCCCAGCCCAGGACTGCAGTCCATGGCCTTCCAGGCACCACCGGGGTGCTGGCGCCCCACTCACCTGTGGCATCCAGCAAGGCCAGGGGCCCGGGCACCGAGGGCTGCATCCTGGGAGGGCCTGCTCCTGGGGGCCCCGCCCTGCCTTTGCGACTGCTACAGTCAAGGATCTGTGTGGCCGGAGCACCGCCCCTCCTCTGCGTGCACCGCCTCCTTCCCACCTCCCTCCGGCCTCGGCCTCGGGTCCCTGTGCCAGAGCCTGAGGGCCAGCAGGCAGACCAGCGGGAAAACCCTCCAGGGCTTCTGGTCGGTGCCCACAGGCCACAGGCTGCAGAGGAGTAGGGAGGCTACACTCGGCTCTGACCTCCCACCTGCCCCGACCCCGACAGGGCTCCTGCTCTGTGTCCAGAGGGCAGGAGACGCTTAAACTCAGTTCCCCACAAATGGATGAACCAGGGACACATGCAGGCCACAGGCCCCTGTCACATCCCTCCATCATGCTGGTACGGAGTAAAGACCCCAGGTTAGGATGGCAGCATCTGGGCAAAGGGGGTCCCGGGACCCGTGACCATGCATGGTAGCCAGGAAAGGGTCTTGTAAAGACCACCGGTGCCCTCTTAAATTGTGTGAGCAGACACGTCACAGCAGAGGACCCAAAGCACCAGCCAGCGTGACAGGCACCCACCTCCCTGGTAATGAGGAGAACACCGACACGAGGGTGCGCCTCCCCCCACCACTGCGCCTTTGTGGGCGAACTGCTAGGGTGAGGCAGGAACTTCGACAGCAACGCCAAAGCGCTCCCTGCAGCATGTGCATGTGCAAGGTACAGAAGGTGTGGGTGCGAGCAGAGCCCCCGCAGGGCCATGCACAGGTGCTGGGGTCTGAGCCCAGGCTGACGGTCCCTGCCACCGAAAGCTGTGTGTTCATCACTGTGAGCCCAGGCTTGGCCCAGCACCTTCCTGGGTCTGCAGAGTACGGTGTGTGCTGAGGCCACTGTCCTTCGGGGCCATCGCCATGACAGAGCCTCACGCGTGTGTGCCCTGATGCCGTGCGCACAGCAGCAGAGCAGCAGACACGACGTGAGAGGGGTGCACACAGCTGGGGGATGTGGACTGGCGTGAGCAGTGTGGGCTTGTTAAAGGGATGTCAGGCAGCAGCGCCAGCAGCTCCCTCGGGTAAGCGTCCGCCTCTTGGTTTCCGCTCAGTTCATGGTCCCAGGATGGTGGGATTGAGCCCCGTGTCGGTCTCCACGCTCAGCGTGGAGTCTGCCTGACTCTCTCCCTCTGCCCCCCCACCCGCTCTCTCACACTCTCTCTCTAAAATAAATAAATAAATCTGTTTTAAAGTAACATGGGGCAAGGACGCAGGTTCGTGGTGTTCTGGAGAGTATAAGGCCATTTATGCAGTTTCAATGCCTGAGAAAAGACACTCTTTATTCACTGATCCTCTCAAACATTTATTAAGCACCCACTGCATACTAAACACTGATCCATGCACTCAGGAAGTGCCAGGGAGCCGATGGACAAAGATCCAGGGAAGCTGGCATTCACGTGCGGAAGAGGTGTCAATAAAGCATTTCGTAAATGAGGACAAGGCGCCGTAGGCCCCCCAAGCACCTCCTGACCTCTGACACATGTGGCATTAGTACATGTGAAGAGCCACGTGGGGCAGGCAGACCTGGTACAGCTTTGGGAAGAGGGAACACACAAAACAATGAGTCACCACCTGGGTCTCCCTGGAAAGGTGAGAGCATCACGCAGACACAAGGACTGCGAGGCAGTCAGCCATCCGGAAACCCGACCGCACCAAGGCCCGGTGGGCGGGCCTGGGGAGGCAGCAAGGTGCTTGGGGGGCACCCAGGCCGGCCGGGGGTGCAGCAGCACTGAGCCCACCCACATGGCATCCTTGGACAACCCCAGTACTGACCCCCCTTCACAGATGGGGAGACCAAGACCCCAGGGGGTAAACTGTGAGGACGAGCAGATCCAGAATCCTTCCAAAGCTTGTGTGTGTAACTGCAGGGGCGTCTTGCTTAGAATTCACTTCTTAGAAGCCTCCTGCCCCCACTGCAGCCAGTGTGACAGGTGCATCAGGTCTCAACCACTGGCACCAGCTCACAACCAGACAACCGGTTCACCCACCTCCACCTGGCACCAAGGCCCAGAGCGAGCTAGCCTCCATAGGAGCAGCAGTCTGGGATGGGGGACTTTTTAAATGTAATTTAATTCAGCTCTTCCTAAGACAATTAAGAGGAAATCTGTCCTCTTCCGGTCTGAAGATAATCAGAGGGACTGGACAAATTAGTATGGACATTAAGAAGATAATTGAGGCACAAGCTTATATCCAGCAGGGCTCTGAGTCCTGGGGCGCTGGCGCCTCCGCAGAAGGCCCACTGGGAAGGCACGGGTGGGGCCGTCAGAGCAGCTGGGGTGACAGACGAGGACAGGAATCCAATGGAGGTGCAGGCACGAGCTGCTGGACAAAACACAGCATGTCAGGCCTCGAGTTAGTGGAGACACGTTTGCTGTGAACTATCGAATTCTGAGAGAGACGCTGGGAATGGCCCTGCAGACGATGGGACGGTTGGGAAAGTCACTGGAGGACACATCACACAACAGGAAGAGGCGCCACACTGCGCCGGGCTTTGGCCACTGTGGCCCCAGACGCACGGGTTTCACTGGAAGTGGATGACGGCAAAGATTGCCTTCGCTGATGGGAGCCCCAGCAGCAGAGCCCAAAGGAAGGAAGGCGTGGTCCCCATGGGGGGGTGGGGGGGTGCACACGGGACCCCAAAGGGTGGGCACCGGGTTCTCAGTGGGGGTCATAGAGGGTATGTGTGGTCCCTGGTGGGGGGTCATGGGACACGAGCAGGACCCCAAAGGCCACACAGGGCAGTCTAACTTCTGATGTCTTTGCTGCCCGTGCTCCCTTGGACACGTAGTATTGCTTCCTTTCAGGGGGGTTAGGGGTTCAGGGTGTGTGTGTGGGTCATGGGGGTGCACAGGGTCCATGGGGGGCACTGAAGTCCACGGGGGGCTCAGGGGAGCACATGGTGTCTCTTGTTTGGATGCATCAGACGGATCTGCTGACCGCAGGGAAGTGCCCAGCAGGTTTCCAGTCCCCGATGAAGAGTCTGACGGTTCTGTGCACTCCAGGACACGAAGCCCAGCGTTAACAGGGGTCAGCACTTCCCTTCCTCTGGGAAGCATGCTCAGCAGCCGGCACCAGCTGACCAGTTTGGTAGATTGTGATGTTAGCAGTCATGACATCTGCAAAATATAAAAAAGCAACCACTTTAGTAAAAGCACCGGGTGAGGGAAAAGAGAACATGTATGAGGGCAGCCCTCCTTCCCCTGCCCAGGGCAGTGCCCTGGGTCTCCTACCCCGACCGCCCCTACGTGAACACAGGGCCCGGCGTGCCCCCAGAAGCCACTGGGGCTCCCCATAGCGCCTGGCCCAGGACTGCCACAGCCTGAGCGTGGCCCTGCCAACAGGCAGGCGAGTTGGCTGGTGGCGTTCACCCGCTGGATGCCGCCGCGCGCCTCCCGCTGCGGTCACTGCTTTCCACCCGAGGCTTTATTTAATCTCCACAATATTATTTCACAGATGAAGAAACAGGCCCGAGAATTGAAATACTTTTTCCAAATGGCGGTATCTGGTTGATGGCAGGTCAGCCCAATCTCAAAGCGCGACGTCTTCCAGAGGGGAAAGCACGCGCTGATCCGACTGCAGACATCGAACGTACTCTTTCATTTCTGCCACCAGCAAACGTTCTGGAACTCCCCATGCACGAGCCGCCGGGGGAGGCGGGCAGATGACGGGGTGGACCGCACGGTCAGGGCGCTGCCCCTGCTCCTGAGAGTGGGCCCTGAGCGCCGTCAGCCCCTGAGGCGGTCCGCGCCGAGGCCCGCAGACGGCCCAGCCAAGTGAGACCCCGGCGCCCTCCCTGGCGGCCAGCACCGCCTCGCCCCCGCGGGCACCCACCCTGTGCGCTGAGATCCGGGCCTCTGGGCTTCCTGGGGAGGCCGGCCTTCAGGACAGACGGGAGGCTGGCGGAGCAGGGAAGGACCGGTGGTGCGGGGCTGCACCCGGTGGTGGGTGGTCAGAGGAGGCGGGCTGTGTGCCTGCCGGCCGGGACCACCCTGAACTATGGGACCACGTGACACCTGGGCAGGAGCCCTTGTCCTGGGCGCCCACACGGCCCATGCATGCAGACAGGGGGACAGAGTGGGGCGGGGGCAACCTGGCCATCAGGCCTCTCAACCGTGTCTGACACTGGTGAGAGGGAGGCACTGGCGGCGAGGCCTCGCGGTCCTGCTGGGCAGACTGGCTTGGGCCCCGTCCTGGCCCCCCCCCAACTCTTCTCTTACTGCCTCTCAGTTTTCTGGGTCAGGCTTTGGAGAAACCAAGATGTAAAAGGCACAAGGACCTCTGCCAGTCCCCCTGCCCACTGCCACGGGCCCCTCCCTGAAGCCACTGAGCAAGGAAGTGGAAGAATTCAGAATTTAGTATCTTGAGTCATGGTCAGAGTGACTTAAAAATGCATGAGCAGGCCACTCGAGGAATGCATGCTGCCCTGGACAGCCCGCCTGCAGGGAGGCCCCACACTGAGGCCAGACAGCCTGGCTGGGCAGCCAGGGCCTAGGAGCCAGGACCCCGCCCTCCAAAGGGCAGGAGTGACCGTTATACATGCCGCTTCTACCAGGAAGCAAGTGTTGGCTGAGAGTAGGTCCATCTCAGGGCAGGCGCACGATCAATGTGTGATGAGGAAATGTGTAAACCTGACTCCAAACAGTATCAGCACCTGCTTCCTGCCAGGTCGGGGCACATGCTGGGCACATCCTTCCTCCCCAGCTGTCTCACCTTCGGGATCCCATCGAGGGCAGGAGAACTTGCTACAGGCCCATCACATCAGCCTGACTGGCAGAAAAACCAGTTTGTTTAAGCAGATAGGGGTCAGCAGCTCAGGGATCAGAGACACTTGGGAGTCACCAGTTCTGGGACAAGGACACAGGAGCCCCCAGCTCTAAGAGCAGGATGAGAAGAAATATAGCAATGAGCCAAGAGCCTCCTTGCTCATCCGCAGTCAGTGTGTTTCTCAGGTTTGTCCTCGACCCCGGCAGGTGGGAATCGTTGGGGGCTCGTGTGTGCACGCAGCCTGGCCCTTGCTCTCCAGGGAGTGGTGTGCACACAGCAAAACATGACTCCCTCCTGTAACCAGATGACCTTGAAATGAAGCTCAGGGGATAAATAATGTAGACAACGAGCAACCAGAGAAATGGCAGATGGCAGGTCCCGCCTGCCTGTCCTCACGAGTGAAGTGGAACAGGACAGGAGATATGCTCAGAGACATGAATTTTTTAAATTAAAAACACCATCTGGGCTTTGCCAGGAGGGCTGGTAACCATGATCTCTCTAAGGAGCCCAAGCAGGGGGAATCCCGGGGTGGCTCAGTGGTTTGGCATCTGTCTTCGGCCCAGGGTGTAATCCTGGAGTCCTGGGATCGAGTTCTACGTCGGGCTCCCTGCATGGAGCCTGCTTCTCCCTCTGCCTGTATCTCTGCGCCTCTCTCTCTCTCTCTCTCTCTCTCTCTCTATTTCTGTGTGTGTCTTTCATGAATAAATAAATAAAACCTTAAAAAAAAAAAAGGAGCCCAAGCAGGACACTCTGCTACATCCCAGATGTACCCTGTTTCAAGGTCTCAGGCTCATGTGCCTCCAGCACCCAGGAGCGTGAAGCCCATCCATGGTTCCAGGAGTGAGAGCACCTTCTGGGCCTTGGATTCGGCCCCACAGATTTTCCAAGGTCTCCTGTTTCAGCCACACGATGTGCGCAGTGCGTGTCTCCACAGCCTGGATGCCAGCCTGCTGACCACACAGACTCAGTAGCAAGTGGTGGCAGGCAAGGGAAGGACAGCTGCCCTCAGGCCTCCTGACTCAAGGGACAGGCACAGGGGATAGCAGGCCAGGCCTGGCAGGGGTGGGGGGCATAGGCTGCACTGCCTGGCGTCTGCTCTCATTTCCCTGTATCACGCCCTGGCCCCCGATACCGTTTAGGCTCTCATCCATTGATCCTGGAGCAAGAAGCCTGACTTTGGAAACACTTTTTTCCCATCCCTAGGGGACTGAGGGTTGGTTTCCACCTACTCAAAGCAAGCTGTTGTCTTTGTTTCATGTGATCTGCAAGGGCCTGCAAACCCACTCCTGTTTGTGTTTGACTTCATGTTTTCACACTGGGATCTGCCTTTCAAACCGTGTGCTGCCCGTGGGCCTGGGCCATGCGCTGCCCATGTCCTGCTGGTCAGGCGGCCACCCTGGAGCCGAGGACAGAGCACCCACTCAGGAAGCAGACATGTCGTCGAGGAAGCTCATCTAGGAAGACCACAGATGAGAGCACACCCGGTGGCCGTGAGGGGAGCAGAGGAAGGCCGGCGCCCAGCTGTCCCAGGCTCCCAGGGGCCCAGCAAGAAGACGTGTCCCGCGCGTCCCGCCTGCCGTGTCGGTAGGGTGCCCATGCGCACCATCCTTTCGGCTGCTGAGAATTCTCGCCGTATTTGCCCTACACGTTTTACAAATACTTGCTATAGCACTCTGGCCATGGCTTCAAGCCCTGTGGGGTCGTCCCAGCCTCCAAGCCACGTGGCACCAGCTCTGGCCATCCCATGTGGGGCTTCCTGCCTCTGGGCATAGAAGTGCCTCTCCATTCTGCCCTGGGCCTCCAGGCGGCATAGGAGGACCCTGGGCCCCATGGGGAGTGGCACCACCCCACTACTGACAGGTGGGGTGGGGTCCAGGTCCCCTCACCTCTGTCCATACCAGGGGGAAGCTGGGGGGTGGGGGGGTGAGACGCAGCACTTCCTCACAGCGAGGCTACAGGTGTGCCTTGTCGATGGGGGCCCTGCCTCGCAGGGCTGGCTCCTTCGTGCCTGTGGCTGGAGGGCCACTCCTCCTGGGGCTGCTTTCCCTGGGCCTGGTGGAGGCCTGTCTAGAGCCTAGCCTGGGTCACAGGAGGCAGAAGGCATCCCCTTGGTCCAGGGCCAGCCTACTGCTTCCTCCTCCCCAGCCTCAGTCTGCCGGGGGCTGTCCCATGTACTGCAAGGGGCTGGTCCTCACAGGTTGGGGGAGGCGGGGACGAGAGTCCACCATGCCCAGAACCAAAGTCAGCTTCGTGCTGTCCTGAAATGGGAAGGTGGCTTATGCTCCCAGCCCTCTGGGCTGGCCTGCAAGGGCCTGGGGACACTGAGTGAGCCGCCAACAACACCACTGCCATTGGAACCTGCAAGAGTGAGGACCAGCCAGACCTGCTGCCAGGAGCCCACACAACCCCACCAACACCCACGTCTGAGGCCTTGTTCATCCAGGGGCTCCCAAGGGCCTCACACAGGGATAAGCAGAGAAAGGGTTTAATCTAACTCCTAGGTCACCTGTGGCCATGGAGGAACCATTTGCTTGCCCAGGTGGACAGGCATCTCTGAGCACCTGGCATAGGTGTGGGCACAGTGAGGCATAAGGGGGCCTGCAGCAGGTGGAGAGAGGAGCACAAACAGGAATGAGACACAGCACCCATGTTTCTCTGCAGTGTCTATACAGCACTCGGCACCTGCATTTCCCTGACATGCAACCCTTACTGTCCCGGTCTCTGGCAGCTCGCTCCGCATGACCTCCTGTCCACCTAGTTAAACCCCAGGGCCTGCCTGGGGGCCTCTGTGCAAGGCAGCCACAGTGCCACCCACCTCTGCACCATCTCAAACAAGTGTGTGCAATAGAAGGGAATGAACGATGCCTATCAACACCTCTAGCTCCTGGGAGCAGCCGAGTAAAGCCACACAACGCACCAGACAGGGTCAGGCGGAGGTGTGCAAATGCAGGTGCTTGGAATTCAAAGTCTGGCAAAGACAGGCGTGGCAAGCAATTATTATAATCTGATAGTTGTACAGAAATGAGAACAGAGGCAGATCGTGTGTGTGCATGCGTCTGCAGAGGGCTGTGTCAGCACACATATGCAGGTGCATAGACGTGTGTGTGTGTGTGACTTGGAAAGAAAGAATATAACTAGCATTCATAGCATAATCTAGAATCCGTCCTCTGTTTTGCCTTTTATTTCTGCCTTTTTCTGCTTGAATAGAAAGAATTGAAACTGCATTTTTTGTTTTTCACAAACAAGAAGTCCCACTGAGTTGTTTAGATCCCAGTATCTCCGGGGCCCTGCGCTGCCCGGCCTCCTCCTGAGGAGAAATACCCTGGGGGCCGCCCCAGCGCGATGCATGTCTGGACACCCCGCCCACGCAGGTGATCCTTGCTCTGATTCCAGGCCATAGATGCCCGAGTGCCTGAGGCCAGCCCCCGTGGAGTGTGGAGGCCAGTTTCTGAAGACCCCTAGGCAGCTGCAGCACGCAGGACAGTAGGGGTAGTGACAAAAGCTCCTGTGCAGGGGCTTCCCACTTAGGCCTGGTGTGGGCAGTCCCCCAGCCAGAAACAAGCCAGCAGACTGACCAAAGCCCTGAAGCCCTGATGGCCACCTGAGGCTGAGTGAGGAGTCTGTGTCAGGGGCAGCCCTGCAGTCCAGGACGGGCAGCGTGTCCCCTAGACTCCAGCCACAGCAGAGGGGAGGACCATCATACGTGTGGGACAGCCAGACCCCTGGACTGTGCCAGGTTACGGAGCTGTGCCTGGAAGACCACCCACAGCAGAGACCCCCTGAGACCAGGAAGGAACCCGCAAGCACTGACCTGCCCCTCCCCAGACCCCCAGGAGCTCAGGGGGAGGGTGGGAGTGTCTTGCAAGAGCTGCAATTTCCACATGCTGGGCATCTTACCACAAGCACCTTGAGACTACCATTCAAGTGTGTGCAGGGTTACCTGTAGATAGGGAGTGGGGGTAGGCCTGGGGCAGCCTGAGCTCCACAGGCCAGGGAAAGGCCCCTCCTGAACAGGCCAAGAGACACGCCCAACAGACCTGCTGGTTCAACACAGTAACCACTTCCTTACACATGACGAGGATGATCGGCACCAGGCAGGCCAGATCCGGCCCATGACACCGTAACATTAGTGTAGGGTCAGGCCGTGCAACATTCGGGACACCCTCTAAGAACAATATCTGCTGCTCATCTGAAATTCAGAGCAACCCATGCCCTGTGTTTTATCTGGACATCCAAGCAGATGGGTCCCCACTGGTGGCTGTCACTGCCACAAGAGGGGTCTCCAGTAATAGGCCTACTGGGCAGCAGCCAGGCTTCCACCCACATGGTTGCTGGAATCACTCCCAGTCCTGGGCCATGGGGACCTAGAACACATTAAATGGTTTAGAAAAGCCAGAAATGGGTCTTTCTTGCACCAAAATGTAGTGATGGGACACATGTGGCCGTCACCTACTTCCATCCTGGAAGTCACACCCAGGTTTAAGGATGGGCATAGTGGTTGGCCCTGGCCCTGGCCCTGGCCTGCCTGCAGAGACCTACCAGGTGGCAGCTCTGGACTGCACACCAGAAAGCACTGGACACCTTACCAGGCCCCGCTCTTTGCCGGTGGCAGGCTACATGCTTGGCCAGGAGAGAAGGATCTTTCTGGTCCAGGGGCACTTCCAAGGTAGAAGCTTCAGATGTAGGTCTTCCAAAGAACACATATGATTCTCTCCACCACCTGGCTGGTGTCTACACCCCGGACAACTGTGTGTGCCACACACAACTCCCTACATGGCCCGGCACCTGAGCATGACTCTCCCGTGGGCTGCAGGACCCACTGTTCCCTGAAGGTGGAGGGACCTGGACTGCACACGGACTTCTGCTGGCAATGGCCCCCCAACACTCAGGGTCGACGGCCTGAGGGTGGGGGCGCCCCAACACTCGGGGTTGAAGGCCTGAGGTGGGGGTGCCCCAATACTGAATGCTGCAATCTGAGGGTGGAGACCCCCCCCATACACTCGGGGTTGATGGCCTGAAGGTGGGGACACCCTGGGACTTGGGGTTGGATCTCCAAGGCAGCTGGGACAGGAGGGGGTAACCCCAGTGCACGTGCTGAAACCAGGTAGGAGGACCCTACACTCACTCCCTCGCAGGTCCCAACATCGCCTCCTTGACGCTGTGGCATCTTCCTGGGGGCACTCTTCCCAAATGGTCCCCATACACACAGTCTTCCGTCTCACAGCCACATCACGTGGCTCTCTGACTGTCCAGTGTGTGACACGGCGTGCAGGTTGTAGAGACTCAGAAATTCTTCCCTAGTCGAGGCAGAGACCCTTCTGAAAGTACTCCACAGGCCTTGGACCACCGTTCCACCCCACCCGAGCCCTGTGTGCAGTATGGGATTCCCAGGTTGACGCCACCACATCTCAGTTCAGGAGGCCGCTACCACAGGAACCATGTTCTCCCCATCAGGACACATACAGCACACAGGGACCATGGGGTTAAAGGTGAAGCTGGAAACACAGGGGCCAGTGCCGATGATGCCCTGTGGCCAGAGGCCAAGGGAGGGCACCCCATAGGTGCTGCTGCCTCTGGGGACACAGAGAGGCTGCCCCCAGCCCACCGTAGCTGGACAAAGGGCTGTGCCAGGAGGCAGAGTGGGGCGGTGAGCAAGTGCTTGGGTTGGAAAGAGAAGATTCCTGCACACCTGTCTGCCCAGGGGGTGGGCAGCTTTGGGCCCAGGTGCCTCCAGCTGGAGATGTTCTCAGGACAGAGAGAAGCCACCCTTAGCCCCTCCTCTGGGACACCTGGGCCCAGCCTGGTCAGGGAAAGCCAGGAGCCCACACCACTCAGCACCCAACAGGTGCCAGCACCACCAGTGGGCAGTGGGTGACCAGTGCAGGCCCTGGCAGCAGCCAGCCAGCATGGGAGGTGGGGGCAGAAGCCAGGCACAGCCCAGGCCCCTCTGCTAGTGCGCAGGAGCCACCAGCTGTGGTCTGCCAACCCCTGAGCCAAGTGGGAGAAGGCATCTCCCAGACGGCAGGGCTCTGGGACATCACAGTGACGGTGCCGGGAAACAAACGGAGCATCCACCGATGTGAACAGCCCTCCGCCCCAGCGGCCCAACATGAGAGCCCGAGTCGTGCATTCTGGCATATTCCACGTGGGAACCACCATGGCATCTTTCTGAGTGAAATGGGGGAAAGGAAGTGGACTATTTATGGGCTGGGCTCCTCAGCGGCACAGGACTCTGTGCACTCTGGCCTCTCCCCTGATAGCTCTGCGGGCGCCCAGCAGCTCACAGAGGCATCCTCGCCCCTGTGGGCTGCAGAGCAACCTCTTTCTGCACGTTTAGGAAACCAGACACATCCCTGACTTGGACGCTGGGGCTGCCTCCTCCACGGCGATCCCCTTCATGTCATCAGGCATCTGCCCATCAGCGCGCCACACATTCAGCTCCGCGAACACGCCTGTCTCGATCATCTCCTCCTGCCAGGGGATGGAGCAGTTGCCCGTCGCGAACTCCTGGAAGAACTCTGTGTCGGCCTTGTCAAAGATGACACCCTTGACCGTGGAGAAGGCGCCCACGTCCTGGATGTTCTTGGCATAGACGGTCCGTGAGTCTGGTACAAAGGGGGGCGTCAGCATCCCTGTGAGGAGAGAGAAAGCACAGGATGCGGGACACCACGAAAGAAAAGAGACAGCCGCATGCTCAGTGAGCAGGGCCACTCTTCCCAAGGTGACCCGGTGGCTCCAGACAGGCTTCCCAGTGCCCAGCGGCATGAGTAGGACACAAGGGCCTTAGTGTCAGGCTGGACGTGCTTCCCCGGGTGCCCACCACGCTCTGGCCGGCATTCTCATACCAGCCTCCCCGAGGCGTCATCAGCGGCAGGTGGGACACCTTGAACCCAGCTCAGGACTTAGCTCCTCACCTTCTTTCCAAAGCTGCTTCTCTTCCAACCTGCTCAAGATCCCCGGCGCCCTAGTCTCCAGATACAGAATGCCAGACACACCCTGGCCCCAGCCTCTCCCGGCCGCCATCCTCCCCACACCAGCTCCCCCGGCAGAGCCCCTTCCCTGCAGAAGTAACTTCTGTCCTGGGGTATCTGATGCCCAGGGCTCCCGCGTGGAGTCCCGTATTCACACGCCTCCTACAGGCTCTGTGGTAAGGCTGCGTCCACACATGTGCACCTGACACCTGACACCTGACACCTGACAACACATACTGTTGAATGAATGAGTTTGTACCAAGCAGACAGCTTGAGGAATCCCACACTATCCCGGGTACGGCTCCTCAAAAGTGCAGGGTGTAGGAATTGACACAGAGGCCTGGGCCTTCGGTTCCCAGAGCAGCATGTCCCCCACGCATCCCATCCAACCTCTACCAGCCTGAGAAACCTGTGCGTTAACCCCCAGGTCTGGGTTGTGGAGTGACAGGGCTGGGGGGCGGGTGGTCATCGGGGCAGGATGGTGGCTGGGCGAGGCTCTGCTGGCATCGCCACTAATCTCAGGACCTTCCAACAGCAGGCCAGGCAAGCACGGACCCCCCCCAACAGCCCACCCTCGACCCCGCAGATCCAAAGACGAGGAGACAGTACCAGCCTCGAGCTGCCTCCAGTTGATGTCCTTGAAGAGGGGGCTGGCGCGGAGCCCATCACATGTCCCATCTCTGAACCCCAGGCGCTTCTCGGGGTCCTTCTCCAACAGTGCCTCACAGAAGTCCTTGCTGACCTGGCTGAACTTGTCTGGGTACTTGATGGCCTCCGAGAGGACCCGCTGCTTCAGCTCCTTGTTCTCTACCTGCACAGCAGGATACACCACGTCACACGGAGCCCGCAGAGTCCATGGAGTCCGTGTACGGCTGAGCCAGTGTGCCTCCCAAGAAGACACATGCGCACATGACCACGCAAAGGGCTCAGGACCTCCAGCCAGAGGACAGGCCCCCGCAGTGCTGGTCGAGGCAGCTGTGGTGCCCAGGGAGCTATGGGCACACTTACATAACTGTCCCTCACCCCCTGGAGGGAACAGGAAACAGGAGACTGGGTGGAAGCAGGGCCAGCCAGTGCTGCCTGGTTCTGGGTCTGCTTTGCCACAGACCCCCATTTCCAGCAACCAGGGAAAGGGCCTGCACAGCCAGTAGGAGGCCCCACTATGACCCCAGATCGCCCTGTGCCTCGGCGGCCTGTCTCCACCCAGCTCGGGCAAACACAGGCCATCTGCTTTTGCCACAGATTAGATCTGTGTCTCCAAAAACGTCACAGACCCAGGCTCGCCCACAGCTGCCCTTCTGGGATGTTTCTTTCCTTCGCCACGAGTCTGACACTTGAGACAAGGAGCTGTGTGGGCCTACCATGCTTGTTCTGTCCGAGCCCATCAGGAAACCGGGGTTCTGCTCGGGGCCGTGGGGTCTCCCCCACCAGAGGCCAGGCCCCCATGCACAGACCACACATGGCTTTGCCTTGCCTTGCTCTTCCAAGTGGATGTCAGGAGAGCAAACGGGTTAGTCGAGTTCAGGCTTATGTGCAGAGACCCCAAGCAACCCCGTGAGTGAGCGGCAGAGACACCACTCTCAGGAGACTGCACGTGGCTTATTTCCACACGTGTCTCAGGACCAGAGTGGGCCTGGGGATGGACACGCTAGGAGAGGACCCCACACAGTGAAGTGAGAGGGACGTGACCTCCAGGCATGTCGGCATGTCTAAACACTGCTGTTTGCCACAGCTGCCCCTGAGGTGCCCCTCACCCTGGTTCCTGTCCACCTGGCTGACCGCAGCCACCAAGCCTCAAGCCCACCCACACCTGACCCATGAGAAGAGGCTGGCTTTGCTCCCTCAGTTTTGAGCAGGTGGTGAGGTCCCCAGATATCATCTATGGGCACCCCTCTTCTCACTGTGCTTGAGAAATCTGTTTTTTACAAATGGCAGGTTTGTGGCAACATGGCAGCACATGAGTCTGTTGGCACCATTTTTCCAACAGCACATGCTCACTGTATGTTTCTGTTATGTGGTGTTCCTCACAAGATCTCAAATGTGTTCATTATCATTACATCTGTTATGGTGATCTATGATCAGTGATCACAGCTCACTGAGAACCCTGAGGACGGTCAGCTCTAAAGAATTTGCTAATTAAGGGACATGGACTGTTTCTTAGACATAAAGCCACTGCTCACTATGCAGACTACGGCATGCTGTAAACACAACTTTTACGTCGACCAGGAAACCGAGAAGTTCATCTCACTCACTTTACCATGGCATCGCTTCATTATGGTGGTCTGAGCTGGACCCAAGTGGTCTCTGAGATGAGCCCGACTCTGGGCACATGGTGCAGGAGATGGGCACGGTGGGGGTCAGGGGTTAGGCATAGCAAGCCCATGCCTGCTGCCCCCTGTTCAGAAAGGCTGCCATCCGTGTCAGAGCAGGTTCTCAACACGCGGGTGATGGGGAACTTGCTGTCTGCAGCAGAAGCACGAAGGGGGCAAGCCTGCACCCCTTTCCTCCCAGGACTGGCTTGGCCTGGGGGTGCCAAGCGCTACTCTCAGGGGAGGTTTGGGGATGCCCAGGCATGGCTGGTCCTGAAACACATCTTAGCATGGGGCGCTCCCTGATATGAATAGATGAGGCCACCATGTCTCCTCTCCTGCCCAGAAAGGACTTGCCACAAGAAGCCTAGCACTCAGGAAGGGCCAGCTGCCCCCTAAGGATGGTGGTCATGGGGTGGCTATAGGACACATCCCGAGAGACCTCCTACCTTCTCTCCTCGGGCACGGAAGGGTCCTCTGGCTGCGATCATCTCATACAGTGTCACCCCCAGAGCAAAGTAATCCACGGAAAAGTCATACTCCTCACCACGCAAGAGCTCAGGGGCCATGAAGCCTGCCGGGCAAGACACAGCGCATGGTGGTGAGCACTCCCTGCCCTGGCAGGTGCACAACTGACACTGCCCTGCACACGACTATGGACTTCCCATCCTACCCCTTCTGTGCTGGGGCTGCCCATATACTGTGAGGTGGTAACCAGCACCCCTGGCCACACCGGGAGTTAGAACCCCCAGCTGTCATGCCCAAAACTGTCTCCAGACACTGCTGAGCATCTCCTCTGGCAGAGCTGCCCCTGGTTGAGAACCACTGCTCGCCACATAAGCAGTGAAGCCCCATCTCCCCCATGGCACCCTGGGCACACAACCAGACAGACAGTCCTTGCTCACCACACAGAGCAACTGTGACCTGTGGTGCCATGTAGCACATGTCAGAGACAGGTGCTAGGGGGGTATGCTCAGAGACAGGTGATGGGGGATATGGTCAGAGACAGGTGCTACCAGCTCCTTCCCAAAAGGGCCCAGCGGACAAATTTAAGCAAAACAGTCCAAAAAGCAATGCAGATGCCCATCACTGCCCCATAGGCACTCATGCCAGGTCTGTGCCACATCAGGGGAGCTGGGGCCATGTGGGGAGCCCTGCATCTTGGAAGGTTCACACCCCTGAAAGCAAGCTCTAGACCTCCCTAAACTGCCACTGTACGGAAGCCAGCCAGCACATAGGAGGGGCGGGCAGTCCATTCCCTGGGGACCAGGGGCAGGTGCTATGGGTTGGGACGGGGCTTCTGTGCCCAACGGCTTCAGACATTCCAAGGTAAGCAATGCTGATGTGTCTGTGGATTTCTGGTACTGCCTGGCCTCAATATACCAAGTTCAGAGCCAGTCTCTAAGAGGGGATGTGCTTGGCAACAGCAGCCAAGCTGAGGTGACCACAGACTCACTTCTTCCCAAAGAGGCTACAAGAGTCAAACTCCATAGACCCTTCTGGCCCTGACAGCCCATTTCCCCTTTGTGGGTCCGCTTCTCAGGAATTATCCAGATGGCTCAGACGCTGTGAGAAAGACATGTTTAACAGACCACCACTTTCAGATTAAAACAGGGCCTGGGAGAAAGCCTCACCAGGCCAAAGGGAGGGGATCAATTTCTGTAGCAAATATCCCAGGGGTGGGTGGCCTCTAGTCTGCTTCCCAGCTCAGTCCAGGTTGACACATCATTTTCTATCTCAAGGACCTACATGGCATCTGGGACAAAGTAACAGAAAACATCTGTCACCTGAAGGAGCAGATGGGTGAGTAAGTGAGTGAGTGGGTGAGTGAGCGAGCAGGTGAGTGAGCAGGTGGGTGAGTAAGTGAGAAGGTAAGTGAGTGAGTGAACAGGTGGGTGAGTGAGTGAGTGAGCAGGTGAGTGAGCAGGTAAGCAAGCGAGTAAGTAAGTGAGTGAACACTACTCAGTCTAGTTATTAATTCCTCCTCACGTTGACTCAGCCCTGTGTCTGGGCTGGAAACCCTGTGGGTTCGGAGGGCACGCCCACATGTCCTCTGTGCCTGGGTCACAGCTCGATGACTGCGTGCAGAGGCTTGGCTCCAGGGGCTCCAGCAGGCAGGGCACAGAGAGGCCAGGGAGAGGCACACAGTAGGCTGCAGCCCAACCTACACCTGCCTCCCCATCTGCTGCACCTCTTTGGAGGTCACACCCTGCACCTGGCCCCAAATGCTCAAAAGATGCGTCCTCAACTCAGAGAAAGGCAGCAGCCATGGCAAAGCCAGGGGGCCCTCTGGTGGCCGGCAGAGCCCTCGCATTCTGTGCCACCGGGGGCGGGTGTTGCTCAAATCAGACTACTTGGAATCCAGCTTGTGGTGCCTTATTCTCTGGGTCTTTCTCCTAATGACTGGAATCACCCTAAAATATGTGGAGAGTGTTTCTGCTCACATGATCGCACACAGGGCTGGAAGGTCATAGACTAAGGCCAAAGATCTGGAAAACTCAAGATAGGACCTTCCCTAAATGAAGCCTCAGATGAGGACAGACCCTCCATGACATCAGGGACAACCCCAAAGGGGCCCAGAGCACAGGACAGGAGGATTCAGGGACACAGACAGTCCAAGTGGCCCCAATCTCAGTGGCAGCATTTCCCCCAAAGTCACATTAAACCAGGAAAGGATTCGCTGGGCATCCCTGGACCTTCTGGAACATGGAAAGGCAGGGCATTGACCCCATATGCGGTGGGCACAGGTGTAGGGGCCGCATCATGGCACTGAGTCCCCCTGCCCCTGGGCTGCCTGCTGCGCCCACCCCAACTTGAAGGCCCTGCTTCCCCCCACCTGAGGGGAGTAGAGGTGTGGGGGAGCAGCAGGATGTGTTGTGTGCACACACACATACACATGGACACGTGTGCACATGCATGCAGACATGTGTGTGCATGTTGATGCACGTGCACATACACATATGGACATGCATGTGCACATATGGACATGCCTGCATGCAGCCACAGATGCATGTGTGCATACGTACATACACACGGACACGTGTGCACACACATGCACACATTCTGGACAAGAGAAGCCCCCTCCAAGCCTCACACTCCACCCTGGATTCCCTTGGACTGCAAAGACCCTGGCCACATGGAGGGGGGCTACCCCAGGTGGCTCTCCCAGTCTGCCCACCTCAGTGGGGGTCTTATTCTCTTGAGGGCAGGCTGGTGACCAATGTAGTGCAGACCCTTAGGGCTCTGACCAACAGGGCTGAGCACTCAAGACAAATGCACTCTGCTAATGTCCAGGAAGCCACTGATGCAGAAGCTGCATCACAGAGGCTGTGGCCAGAACTGCCGCCCCTCCAGCAGCTACAACCTGCTGGGCATATGCCCTGGCCAGAGCCAGTGGTTTCACTATTTGCTATGAGGGGTGGGGATACCCAAAAGTCCCCAGGGCCTCATGCCCACCCCACCCCCAGAAAAGAGGTGGCCCCATGCTTGACCTCGGGCACTAACCTGGGGTCCCTGCATAGCCCTTGGTCTTGGTCTGCCCGTCCTTCAGCTCCACAGCCAGCCCAAGGTCAGAAATTCGGATATTGCCTGAAAGCAAACATAGGCTGAGGTCACACACGGCTCCACAGAACTAGGGCACTTTGATTCCCAGCACCTGCAGGAGCCAAGTGCAGCCTCTGCACACATGCACACACTTGCACACAAGGGCACGCCTATGCCCATGGGCAGGCACTCACAGCACATGCCCACCCAAGGGCCCCGAGGCCTCAGCACCCCCCACCCTGTCCCCAGCAGAGGACAGCACCTGTCACTGTGATTGGGGGCACAATCCACCCAAATCCCATTTCAAGAATGCCCCACATTTGTGTGACTTAAAGACACAAAGGGAGGGTATCTAAAAGGACATAAAGCAAACCGAGATCTCTATTTACCATCTAATGAGAATCCCATAAAAGGCACAAAGAGTGACCAGTCTATCCTCTTATGGATGATCCGTTGGGCCACGGAGGAGAGCTGGCAGGTGAGGGGAGGCTGGGCAGGAAAATGCCAGGAGGGGAGGCTGCCTCACCGTCATCATCCAGAAGTACGTTCTCAGGCTTGAGGTCTCGGTAGACAATGCCCCTCTGATGCAGGTGCTCCAGGCCACTGATGATCTGGGCTGTGTAGAAGATAGCACGTGGCTCCTGGAAGCCAGGGCTCTCCTCATTCACATTGTAGATGTGGTACCTGGGTCAGACCACACAGAGGCCCATGACTCTCTGGGACAACAAGTGGGATGCCCACAGTTTCTAAGGAAGTAAAATCTCCCAAAACAGTGAGAGCCTCAGAATCCCATGCTGTCAGCGAAGTGTCTGGTCACTGTGGGGCCCCAGCATCAGCCAGAAGAGCCTGCAGCAGTGCCAAGAGGCCCTGGCAGCTGGTGTTTGTGTCCTCACAAACCTGTCACCACAACCATTGCGAGAAGAGCAAGGCATAAGAGCTCACTGCTCTCCCCACCTCACCCACACTGGTCTGCACAGGCTAGGAAATGAACCCCAGAGCCATTTCACCATTGCCAGCCAAAGGAGGAAGGGCAGAGGATGGTGAAGGGCCCGGGGCAGGGAGCCTGAGTCCCCTCAAACACAAGCAGTCAATCCAGTGTCCATGGAAGCACGTTGGCCATTTCACCGAGCCCAAGCACAGACTCCTGGGTGGGCCTGCTGTAGGTAGGGTTTCCTTCCTGCTTCTCTCCTCCTATGACTGTGCTGCTCATCTTTTCCACTATTACTTTCTACAGAGAAGCAAGATCTAACAAATAAAAGGAAACAAACTATTTATGTCAGGTAGCAATCAGTGAGAGGCAGGCCAAGAAAACAGGAGAGAAAGCCTCAAATCAGTCATGATGACAAGATAAATGGCTTTTATGTTACATTTATATTATCGTATAGCGCAGTATATTTAGTACAGTGTAGATAAGGTATGTAACATTGTGTAGGATAGTATAGAATAGCACAGTGTAATATTGTGTAGTATGATGTAGCGTGGTAGAGTTAAGCACAGCATATCACAGTGCAAAAGTGTATAATGTAGTACAGCATGACACGGCATCACATAATACAGTGTGATGGAGTATAGTGTAGTACAGTATAGTGTGGTATATAGTACAGTGTAGTACATGTAGCATAGTATAGTGTGATAGTGTAGTACGGTGTAGCATAAAGTAACATAGAGTAGTATGGCATAATACAGCATAGTATAGTAGAGAGCAGCATAGTGCAGTATGGTGTAATACAATACAGTGTAATGCAGAATGGCATAATGCAGTGTAATATACAGTAGTGTAGTAAGACATAGTATAGCATAGTATAGTATGGTACGGCACGGTGTAGCACAGTAGAGTGTAGTAGTACATGGCAATGTAGTGTAGTATGATTTAATGTAGTATAGCATGATGTATTATGGAGCAGCATAGTGTGGCATAGTATAATATCAGTAGTTTAATACGGTATAACCGTATAATACGGTATATACCGTATAATACGGTAGCATAGTGTGGCATGGTTTAGTAGAGTGGAGTGGAGTGTCATATGCTGTAATATCATGTCGTGCAGTATGGTGTAGCATAATCTGGTATAGAGAAGTATAGTGTAGTATAGTGTAGCATAGGGTAGTAGCATAGTATGGTGTAGTGTAGTGTAATACAGAATAGCATAGTACATCATAGTACGGATGGTATGGTATGGAATGGTGTGATGGGGTACAGTGCAGCACATGTAGGAGGGTAGACAACGGTGTAGTATAATACAGAGCAGTACTATAGTATGATATAGTACTGTATAATGTGCTATCGTGTACTATAATCTGGTATAATGTATTAGTGTAGTATGGTACAGTGTAGTATGGTGTATAATATTGTGTAGTGTGGTATGGTGTAGTATAATGCACTGTAGAGTAGTATGGTATAGTGCGGTATAGTATAGTACTATGTAGCAATATATAGTATAATATACTGTAGTATACTGTAATATGGTGTGGCATAGCACAGTTTAGTATAGTATAATATAGTGTAGGACAGGGTGGTATAGTACAGTACAGTGTGCTATAGCATGGTGTAGTATAGTACAGTGTAGTGTAGTATGGTATAGTAGAGGACAGTGGGGTGTAGTACAGGATGGTGGGGTGTAGTACAAGACAGTGGGGTATATAGTACAGGACAGTGGGGTGTAGTACAGGATGACAGGGTGTAGTAGAGGACAGTGGAATGTAGTACAGGATGGCGGGGTATAGTACAGGACGGCAGGGTGCAGTACAGGATGGCAGGGTATAGTACAGGACAGTGGGGGTGCAGTACAGGATGGCAGGGAGTAGTACAGGACAGTGGGTTATAGTACAGGACAACAGGGTGTAGTACAGGACAGCAGGGTGTAGTATAGGACAGCGGGGTGTAGTATAGGATGGCAGGGTGTAGTACAGGATGGTGGGGTGTAGTATGGTATATGTGATGCCCTGTAGTAGCATGCAGTACAGTACAGTGTCATGATAGTCTCTGCTCTCTAGGTCATGTTGCATGAACCTCCTAGTCTCTTCTCTCCTCTCCATGTGGCTTCACAAACGTTCCTTAGTCAAGGCCTCAGAATTCCCACCTGGAAAACATGGCCAACATACACATGACATATCTTCAATGAAGCTGAATCCACCAGGCAGAATGGAGGCAGGGGCTTGCACAGAACACCAACAGCAATGGCCCCATCTGTGACATGTGACACCCTTTCAGGTTTCTTACACATATTAACAGACTCTCCATAATGCCCCGAGAACACTAGTTTTACAGACCAGTGCATGGAGGCAAGAGCAGTCAGACTGCCTGGGCTGCACCTGGGTCTTTCCCTACTGAAAGCCAGTGGCCTGACATCCTCCAGAGTCCAGGGCTGGGTCCTCAGACGCCCGGCAAATCCAGACACTGTATCCACTGGCAGCAAAGCGCCGGTCCCAGAACTTGGCCACGTCATGTTTCCAGCTCTGCCATCATCCCCAAGAGCAGGTCACAATGCAGTGTCCTCAACCCCTGCCCTCCACCCAAGCCTTCTTTCATCTGTCTGCCCAGTTAGCACTTGCCCTGTGGCACCCTGTGCTACTGCTGCCTCCACCCCTATGTGGCCACATGAACCTCAGGTCCACCAGGAGCTAGAGAGCCACGGGCCATCTGCCCTTGGTCCCACATTTCACATAGGACTGCAGAGTATCAGCCACTGGGGGACAGGAGGAGCATGTTGATGGGGGCCCAGGGCTTTACCTCAGGTCACCATATTCTCTACACGTGTGGGCAGCCCCCCCCCCATTTACCTTATGTCGCCTCCATTCATGATGGTCATCACCAGACAGAGGTCAGTCTTGGTTTCAAATGCATAGGCCAGAGAGACTATAAACCTGCTGTGTACCTTTGCTAGAATCTTCTTCTCCACCATAGCACCCTGAAAAGCAAGATGTCGAATATTATCAGGTTTAAGCAGGATGTCACCAAAAAGACCAAGTCCCACATGCCAGAAAATAGATGCAAACACACTTGAAGGAGCTTGCACCACACAACTGCAAACAACCTACAGACATCTCACTCATCCCCCAACCAGCCGTGCAAATGTGTGGGTGTACAGAGGACTCGCCAGCAAGGGGCAGGAGTCAGACCACCAGCCTTAAAAACGCCGGAGGACCCAGCACAGGCAATGGCAGCCTGTGTGGTGCTGACCTTCCTTCCGGGCCTTAGGTACACCCGGCCAGCTTGCCCACTGCAACCCCAGGCCCCAACCTCCTCTCCAGGCCCTGGGCAGTGGCCAGCCAGGGACCCAGCAGCATCTCTTCATCTTCCAACTGTATTTTAAAACCTCACGATGTCCATTTAACATGTTTTTTAAAATTATGTTTGGGTAAGGAGGGTAGAATTCCTTTTGGAAGGAGGGATCCTGGTGTTCTGGGAGCCCTCTGCATCCACACTACGGAGCAGATGTCAGGTTGCTCTTGCTGAGTATTAGGCTCAGTGAGGACCCCGACCTCGGACAGAAGATGCTGGGTTCAGACCACACGTGGACAGTTGGAAGGGATGCCTGCTTGTCCCGTAGCCCCAAAGGGACAGCACTACTGAGAAGCCCTGGGGCGGGCACCCTGGGTGGCTGCTGTTAACCCCAAAAGTTGCATTTGTGCTCCATTGGCAGGAAAGACAAGGAACCACATGGGATGAGACAAGTTCCTACAAAACAGCAGCTTCCACTGTCCTGCCTCAACGGAGCCTGACCCCCATGCAGAGCAGACCCCATGCAGCAACCCCATGTGCTTGGTTCACTCCGGCCCGGAGAAAGCATGGCGGATGCTACCAGGCTTGGCTGGACTCCCAGCGGCTGGACTCCCAGCGTGCTCTCCATCACAGACAAGCCAGGGCCAAGAGAGCTCCAGGAAGCCAACAGCCTCCCCCAACACTTGTTCCCATATTTCATGATGGTGGTAAAAACACAAGATGGCTGGCAGAAGGGGCACCTAGGATGGTGCAGTCATTTGGGTGTCCCACTCTTGGTTTCAGTTCAGGTCATGATCTCAGGGTCAGGGTCATGGGACTGAGTCCTGCGTTGGGCTCTGCACTCAGCTCAGAGTCTGCTTAAGACTCTCTTTCCCTCTGCCTTTACCCCACCTTCCCCACTCGTGCACACGTGTTCTCTAAAATAAATCTTAAAAAAAAAATGACAGCTGGCAGGATATGCAATACCGCCCACACTAACAAACACCTCTAAGGCCGCCTCTGATGAGGGGTCAGGGCAAACCCTGTGGTGTGCAGAGTGCTGGGCCAGGGTGGCAGAGCTGAGAACAGCCCCCTCTATGCCCCAGGGGCCAGGCCCTTGGTTCAGGATCAGGAGGCTGCCCAATAGGAGGGGCCCGGTGTCCCAAGGTCAGAGGAGCCAGCCCACAAAGGGCCCCGCGCAGGACTGGACACAGCCTGATGGCCCTCCCACCACCGTGAACAGTCAGCTGCCCACCTGGTACCCCTTCCTTTTCTTGAGTCTCTTCTTGTTGAGCTTCTTACACGCATACAACTTGCCAGTTGCCTTCATCTGGCAGGCAGACACCTCCCCGAAACCACCTTTCCCCAGGACCCTGAAGTCCAGGAACCAGTCCTCCCCTGTAGGCTGGGCCTCCAGCCACTTCCACTGCAGGAACCTCTGGAAGTACAGGCTGCCCAGGTACTCCTGGAAGGGTGCCTGGCTCAGGTGCTCCAGGGTAGCCTGCAGCAGGGGCTGGAACAGCCCATCCTCACTTGCCGTGGGCCCTTCCCGGAACTTGGCCACTACCCCCTCATCCAGGAAGCTGCAGGAGAGCTTGGCCTGGGGATCCAGGTACTCAGCCAGGATGGCCCGGGCCTTCTGTGGCCGGAGGTCGTCATCTGCAGTGTCATAGTCCTCGATGTCCTTCCAGAGCTCCAGAGCTGGCACATGCCTCTCATCAGCCCCCAGGAACTGCTGGAAAAGCCGCTTGCCGATGGGCTGCTCTGAGCACACACTTGGGAATGCCAGGTCCAGGCTCTCCCGGAGGCCCTCACACTTGGACAGTGGAGGCAACTTGAGCTTAGCCAGGTACTTCCTGTCCCGAGAAGATGGGCCACTGCTCCCATCGAAGCTGCCCCGGGCAGCAATGAAGGCTGAGTTGGCCACCACCGTCTCCAGGGAACCGAAATCCATCCCGGTGTTGGCCTCCTGCCGAGTTAGGCACGAGAGGCCTGACCCACTGTCCGGGGCCTGTGCCCCTGCCCTCCCCAGACTGCAGGCGTCCCAATAGGTGAAGAGTGACTGGGGGCCTCGCCGGGAGCCCAGGGAACCCAGCTGACACAGCTCCAGCCAAATCCCAGCCCAGGGTCACAGAGCAGGTGCCAGAAAAAGACAATCCTCTAAGCTGCTTCCAGGCGGATTAGATGCCCATCCTCCCCATTGCTTCCTCTGAGGACAAAGTGCAGACCCCGATGCACCTCCCTGAAGCTGCCCTGTTGGGTCCTCAGCCCTGGCAGGTGGCGCACCTGCTTGTTCCCCTGCGTGAGCCAGAGGCCAAACAGAAAGCAGAGGGGCCTGGGAGAAACCCCAACTTAATATAAGATGGCTGTGGCTTTCCTACTGTATTTCATCTTTGTCTTAATAGAAAGCAGGAGGAAAAACAGCTGATAGCAGGAATTCAGAGAGGAAAAAACCCACAGTGAACAGCTCACTGGGTATTCGAGAGTGAAACCACTGGCAGGGGGACTGGTTAGTATGTGGGGACCTGGCCTGACACTGACAGGAGCCTGCCCTCAGGTCACCTGCCAGCTCTGAGGACCTAAGGTAACCTCAGCACCTGCCGGGGGATCAGCTCCGCATCAGCTCCCTCCCCTCTCCTGAGCTGTGCCAGCAAAACATAAACACCCAAGAGAAGCTTCAGGTGAAGTTAGAAGCAGGAGACCCCCAGCCACAACCAGGGCTGAGGCCTCAAACAGAGAAACAGGAATGAGAGGGCAATGATGAGATGAGGCCAGGGACACACCTGGAGGCATATCTGGGGGACACACCTGGGGGACACACCTGGGGCACATCCCTGAGGGACATACCTGGGGGCACACACCTAAAGGCACACATCTGGGGGCACACACCTGGGGGACACAACTGGGCACACCTCTGAGGGACACAACTGGGGCACACAGCTGGGGGACACAACTGGGGCACATCCCTGAGGGACATACCTGGGGGCACACACCTAGGGGGATACACCTGGGAGCACACCCCTGGGGGACACCCCTGGGGATGCCAGGACCAACAGAAATGTCAGACTCATATAGGCAAGGTGTTGCCCGTCTAGTAGGCAGCAGGTACTCTGTAAATGTGTAGGGAAGGAAGTGATGGGGGTCGGTTAGAGTTTGAAGAGGGGAGGAAGTGAGGTTATAGAAACAAGAATGTAGGAGCCAGAGGAGACCAGCAGGACCAGCCCACCCCGTGTCCCTCCTCTGGGAGGCGTGGAGGTTCCATGAGTGGGTGTGGGCAGAAGGCAGAGGAGGCCAAGGAACAACCTGCCATCTGCACAACCACAGTCCCCTCCTGAACCCTCCCCAACTACCGGTGAACACTGGCTGGGGTTGGTCGCAGCACAACCTCTACCAACGCTTCTGACAGTGTGCCTTCAGTCCGCGCTTCCCAGTGGTGCCAGGCACACTCATCGGCCAAGGATCTTGCCGAAATAAAGATTCTGCTTCAGCAGCCCAGGCTGAGCGGTGCATCTCTCCTGAGCTGCCTGGGGACGCAGCAGGCACCCTGGGGGAGTCTGCAGCCCACCGGCTCAGTCCCTGGTCCCTCTACCACCATCACCTCATCCCCATCACTGTACACAATACATATAACAGATAACAAGCCTGAGTTAGTAAACACAGTTGTCAACTTTACAGTTCTCTTTCAAAAATATTTTTCAAAACCCATTTTTTAAAAACTATTCAAAATACAGAAGAAAATATTCCACTTTCTATATAAATTTTACAAAAGTCTGTATCTACACAGAAACATCTTGCTGGATCTTGACAGGAGTTATCCCTGTCTATCAATCTGGGGAGAACTGGCCTCTTTGGTATGCTGAGTCTTCCCACCTATGAACATACCTGTCTTCATGTCCTAGATCCTCCACTCCCGCCCTCACCAACATGTGGCTTTCAGCACACGAGTCCTAACGTGTTCTGTTGGATTAATACCTAAACCTTCTTTTTGCTTTGAGCAACTAGCAATGGTATCATATTTTTAATTTTGTTATTCATGTGTTCGTTGCTAGTAAATGCAATCGTTGACTTGGGAGCATCATTTTGTATCCTCTGCCTTGCTGAACTCACTTATTCTAGATTTTTTTGCAGTCTTTGGCATTGTCTACGTGTACAATCCTGTCAACCAAAAATAGGGAGTTTTGTTTCTTCCTTTCTAGTCTGTGTGCCTTTTCTTTTCTTGCTTATTCCACCAGCTGGCAAGTGCAGCACAAGGGTCATCTGTGGCGAGGGCAGAAGTCCATGTATCGCGTCTTCGGGTAGACACATCCAGTCCTTCACCACTGGATAGGATGCTGGCTGGCAGTAGAGATCCTGCCAACGCTTTTAATCAGGTTAAGTTTCTGTCTATTCCTAGCCTGCTGAGAACTTTTATCATAAATGAATCTTGAATTTTGTCAAGTGCTTTTTATGTATCAGCTGATATGATTGCATGGTTTTTCTTCTTCAGCTTGTTAGAGCATTACACTGATTTCTAAATATCGAACCAGCTCTGCATCTCTAGAACACATCCTTCTCAGTCGTCACCAGTTTAATGCTTTAAAAAAAATTATTCATTTATTTGAGTGAGTGGGCACACAAGGGACAGAAGATGACAGAGATGGAGAGAGGTTCTCAGCAGACTCCCCGATGATTGCGGAGCCCAACACGGGGCTCAATCCCATGACCTGAGCCGAAACCAAGAGTTGGATGCCCAACTGACTGCATCACTCAGGTGCCCTGTTTAATGCTATTAAACATTAGCATTAACAGCTAATTAATGCTATTGTTGGATTCATTTGCCGATGTGTGGTTAAGGATTTTGTCTGTTTGACAGGGTTTTGGTCTGTAGTGTTTGTTGCCTGTGTTTATGCTCTTTGTCTGGTTCTGGTGAGGGGTGTGCTGGTTTCATAAATCATTTGGGGAAGTTCCCTTCTATTTTCCAAAGGATACACCACACAATCTGTGCTACTTTACTACATGTTTGGTACATTTCTCCAGGGAAGCCACTGGGGCCTGGAGAGTTGTTTTATTTTGCGGGAGGAGGGGTGGTGGTGGTGGATTTTAAATTACAAATTCGATTTCCTTAAGTTATAGGGCTATTTAAATGACCTATTTCAAATTAGACAAATTGTGTTTTTTTGAGGAAGAGGCCAATTTCATCTAAGTTGTTGAGTTTAGGTGTATGAAGCTGTGTGTTATTTTTTTTTTAATGTCCAAAGGGTCTGTAGTGATCTTCCATTTTTGATTTGCTATGTGTGTCTTTCTCTTGCTATACGTTTGCCAATTTTATTGACTTTTCAAAGAACCAATTCTTTCACTGATTTTCCCTTTTGCTTTTGTTAATTTCATGATTTCTGTTCTCCTATTTCTCCTTTCCACTTGCTCCCCACTCCTTTTCCTAAGTTTTCCAAGTGGGAATTCAGATTATTGAGACTCTATTTTTGACTGCATGCACTCAGAACTATAAACTCTTAACAGTTTTAGTGACGTCCCACGAATTTTGATTTCATAGATTTCTCACCAGCCCTACGTATTTTCTAATTTCCCTCAAGACTTCCTTTTGATTCATGAATTACTTTAAGCATATTGCTTCATTTTCACATTTGGAGATTTTATCTTTCTGGTTTTTTAGTTTCTAGTTCGGTTGTATCATGGCTGGAGAATATACTCTGCATGATCTCAACTCTCTTAAATTTGCTGAGCTTTATTTTATGGCCCAGGATATGGTCCCAGGTTTATGTTCCTAGGTCACTTAAAAAGAAGTTGCATTCTGCTGTGTGTGGATGCGGTGCTCTACAAATGTCAATGGCATCCTGTTGGTTGACAATATTGTTGAGTTCTTCTATATCCATGCCGATTTTCTATTTAGCTGTTCTATCAATTGTTGAGAAAGAAGTGATGATGAATCCTGTAACTAAAATTGTGGATTTGCCTATTTCTACTTTGAGTTGTATTTGTCTACTTCATATATTTTGAAACTGTTGTTTGGTGCACACACATTTAGGATCGCTTTATCTTCTTGGTGGATTGACCCTTTATCATCATGCAATGTCTTTCTCTTGTTACTTTCTCTGCTCTGCAGTCCGTATGATACTAATATAACCACACACACTTCATTGATTAGTATCTGCATGATGTTATCTTTTCCCATTCTTTCCCAGTCAACCTACCTATATCATTCTATTTGAGATGAGTTTCTTGTAGATAGGTTTGGAAACATTAGCCAACTATAGCCTGTCAGTTTTTTTATTGGTGTACTTATAGCACTTACAGTAATTGTTGCTCAAGTCTGCCATTTTTCTATTTTTCATCTGTTTTTTTCTATTTTTTCTGTGGGTTACTTGAACTTTTTTTAGAATTCAATTTTGATTTATCTATAGTATTTTTAGGTGCATCTCTTTATGCAGATTGTTACTGGTTGTAATTGGTATCATATATACATAACCTATTACATTCTATTGCTATCATCTTTTTAAAGATTTATTTATTTGCGAGAAAGCATGTGGAGGGGGAGAGAGGTAGAGGGAGAGACTCATCAGGCAGAGTCCCCATGAGGCACTGAGCTTTACATGGGGTTCATGAGGCCATGACTTCAGGTGAAACCAGGAGTCAGACTCAACCGACTGAGCCACCGCGGCGCCCCTTATTGCTGTCATTTTATCAGTTCAAGTTAAGTGCAGCAATATCACCTCCTTATATCCTTTCCTGTTTACATATAATTAACATTATTTCATCTACATACGTTTAGCATTATCAGGCAATATTATGGTCTTTGTTTCAACCATCAAACATAATTTAGAAAATTCAAGAGAAGTAAAGCTCAGTATCTACTCATATTTTGCTCACCATATTCCTTCTTTCAACATTCTGTTTTGAGAACTTCCTTCACCATCCTTTTAGGATAAATCTACTGGTGACAAATTAGCCTCCTTTCCGTTTCCTTCATTTCATAGTGCTGGGACCTCCTTCAGACCAAAAGGATATTTGCACTGGATTCAGGATCTGGGTGACAATTCTCTTCATTCAGCACTTACATATATTCTGTAGCTTCTTTCTGATCTCTGGTTTCTGATGAGTAATCTGTAAATCAAATGGCTTTTCTCTGGTTGCTTTCTAGATTTAGGTGTGTGTATGCTTTCAGTTTTCAGAAGTTTAATGATGATGCACCTTGGATTTTGGAAGAGTTACCCTGCTTGGGTTTTAATCCATTTCCTGAACTTTCAGGTTAATGTCTTTTGCCAAGTTTGGGGAGTTTCTAGTCCTGCCTTCATTCTTCTGTCTTTCCAAAATTCTGACAACAGAGATGTCACACTTCATTACAGTCCTCCAGGCCCCTGAGGCACTGTACATTTTTTTCTGAATCTACTTCCTATTGTTCAGATCAGGTGTCTATTATTTTTTCTTCCATGTCACTGATTCTTTCCTCTGTCCCCCTCTCTTATGCAGTTTAGCCCATTTGCTGAGCTTTTTATTCTCATTATAATTTTTGAATCTAAAATTTCCATTGGTTCGAGGCCTGGGTGCCTCAGTGGTTGAGCATCTGCCTTTGGCCCAAGGCTTGATTCCGGAGTGCCTGGATCGAGTCCCACATCGGGCTCCCTGTTTGGACCCTGCTTCTCCCTCTGCCTATGTCTCTGCCTCTCTCTCTGTCCCTCATGAAAAAAATAAAATATTTAAATATTTTATTTAAACCGATGGAAAAAATAAAATTTCCATCGGTTCTTGTTCATATCTTCTAATTCTTTCCTTAAACTTTCTTTGTTGAGACTTTTTTCATTTGTTTCAAGCACATTAATGATTGCTCACTCAAGCATTTTTATAACGGCCTAAAAATCTGATTCAAACATCCCTGTCACCTTGATATCAGCATCTATTGATTGTCTTAATTCATTTTGAAATCTTCTTGGTTCTTGGTCTGATGTGTGATTGTCAGCTGAAACCTGGACTTTTACCTATATACTCCTTTGGTTTTAGTTGGCTCTGTTCCAGCAGCAGGAGGAGGGCCCCAGCTCACTACTGCCAGCTGGAGAAGTCTGGGCTCCCCGCACTGCCTGGAGCCTGCTCTTTATGGGGCATGGGTCCTGCACTCTCAGAGCACCTGTTCAGGAGGCTGCCCTCTCCCTGCCTCTCCTCCCCAAGGCACACGTCCAGAGGTCATTTTGATAAGGTGTGCTCAGTTCACCACATGCTTCCACTAAATGTGGAAGATTTCATTCAGTGACTTCTACAATGAATTCACATCTTATTCATTTCAAGGGCATGTCTATAATATACTTTCCAGACAAGCGTGGCATTTACTCTGCAGGTAACATTTGCTGTGCTGCATCTTTAGGCCCCAGGAATTGGGGTCCAAGGCCCACAGACTGTGAGCAATCAGACCGCAGCCTAATGCCACTCTGCATCTTATTGACCTAAAATTACAAAATTGTGCATGAAAACAGTATTATGGAAAACACACAGAACTGGTCCATTAAAAAGTCCAAGCTAAAATGGTGCTATTCCATCTGAATCTTAGGGTGCTCATTTTGCTAACAAACTAAATCATCCTGAAGAAAATAAGGCAGAACTAGAAGAGCATTTTTCATTATTCTTCTTCCCCAAGAAACCTTCAGATTTGGCTACATAGGTCCTCCAGAGGGAAAAACTAGATGTGACAAGAAATTAAATTCTAGGTCTTTGTGCATAACACCCACTATTTTAATCAGGCTCTGACTTAGATATCTGTGAAAAGACTTCTGTGGCACATCTAGCTAATTGGGGGACTTGCAGCTGTCTGGGTACTCCAGCCACCTGGCAGGTCAGCTCGCTGAGTAACTTGACAGTGGTGGAATAGCTGTCAGAAGTATCCAAGGCAACCCAGCTGATTCAGATGTGCTGTCAGGCCAAGTGTCCCCTGCCTGGACATTGCTATAGTCCTAAAGCCACCTACACAGCTCACCAGGAGCCCCTGGGTCCAGTGGGTCCCCACTGAGTCAGAAATGCATTTCAACAAGATGCCAAGGACTGGTGTGCATTAAATATTAGAAGGTACCTCTAGATGGTATGGCTGTGACCTCCATTTCCTCCATGGACACAAAGTAATCCTAAAGGACCCCAGCACCACCCCAACAACATGAGCCTCATCACCTATACTAAGCAACAGGAGTGACCAGGGAGGTTAAGACGGGAACCTTCTGAACCCTCTTGTCTAGAACAGAGCCTCTGACCCTTTGCACACTAGCCTCATCTTCGCTGGAGATGTATTCTCCAGCAAGTGATAACCTGCAGGCATGAGTGACAGGAGCCCCCTGGGTCACTGCCCCCATTGACTCAGACCAGGACAATCTCAGGCACCGTGCCAGGGTCGGACCCAGACCTGTCCTTGTTCATCCTGCACTCCTCCCATCTCTCCTCTGGAGCTGAAGAACTCCTCCTCCTGCACCAAAGTCGTTCTCCTTGGTCATATCAGAACAGATAAGGACATGGCCAAGGACGTCCTGGGAGGAGGGGCTGGCAAGGAGGGGGGCATCTGATAGCTGTGTTTGGATAGCAAGGTGTGCTCAAAAACGCCCTGGTGCTTTCCCTGGGGCCAGTCTCCACAGTGCCTTTGACCTCCGGAGGAGGAGGAGACGATAAAACCCAGAGGCCACCTTCCTCCTGTCAGGCTAGTGGGGAGCACCCGTGTTCTGCAGGAGGGGCCTCTAGGGGTCGGGACGATGGCAGCACTACAGGAGAAAAAGTCATGCAGCCAGCGGATGGAGGAGTTCCAACGCTACTGCTGGAACCCAGACACGGGGCAGATGCTGGGCCGGACACTGTCCCGGTGGGGTATGTGCCCAGGGGTCGGGGTGGGGGGGGAGGCGGGGAGGGGCTGTCCCTCACCAGGTGACCCGAGAAGCCCATTCCAGCTCTGATCCCTGCCGACAGCAGATGCTTACAAAGTGGGAATATCTGAGGGTCAGCCCAAAAGGTTTAGCCCTAGGTTTGAAAAGAACATTTTTAAAGCTATGTTCCTAAAACTTACAATTTTTAAAGACTTTTAAGTGAAGGGGTACAAAGCATCTCTTGGGTGGTGAGAACAGTCTGGACCTTGACAGAAGCGATGGCTGCATGTGTGCGAACACACTATCTACACTGAGTGATGCTGAATCCCACCCTCGCCAGCTGCATCTCACCTGCCTCTCCCCACAGTGTGGATCAGCCTCTACTATGTAGCCTTCTACGTGGTGATGACTGGAATCTTTGCCCTGTGCATTTACACGCTGATGTGCACACTTGACCCATACACGCCTGACTACCAAGACCAGCTAAAATCACCAGGTAATGGGGCTGGTGGCTCAGCATGGACACCAGGATCCCAAGCATGGGGGCAATGCTCGGTCCTAGAGCTGCCTGGCCAAGAACAAAGCCCAGAGAGGGAGCCCAAGGATCTGAGGGGCCACTGGGGTGCAGACAGCCCCTCCACCCCTTCTGAGGATGGTGCCCCAGGTTACAGTTATTAAAACAGATCTGGTATAGATCCTTACATCTCTTACTTCACCTGCTGATAAACACAGCCACACCACACCTGGGGGGACAGACAAGGCAGTTGGCAGGGCCATTAGGGACGAAGGGTCTGTGGGAAGGAAACACCTCTGAGCAGCGAGGACTCTCTGAGGGGGGAGCGCTTCCAGACACGAGTTCAGTTCACAACGTGGTTTTCTCAAAGAGCAGTTTGTCTACTGTCCCGTTTGAGGACAGAGGCTCAGAACAAAGGCTGAGCACAGAACTCTCCTGAGTCGGCACCAAGATGAAGAGGTCACTGGCGTCACATGACTCCAAGGCCTGAAACAGAGAGGCGGCACCTCCCAGGTCCTGGGGAAGGTGGCCACCCCCAGCTGCCCGCACATACCAACCCGGAAGGGCAGGCAGGGGTAAAGGAGGAAACACACTCGCCAGTATAGTCACTCACTCACATGTCCCTAGTACTTCGGAAGGCAGCCATGAATGGCCACAGCAGCACCAGTACTTCCCAGGGACAGGAGACGTTGGTCTCAGACGCTGGAGCCAAGGCGGGCATGTGTCCTCGGGCAGGCCCACCATTGTGCTGGGGTCTTGGTGAATCTTCTGGGTATCATTTTTAGAGCCAACCAACAGATAAGACATGGGAGATTTCACCGTAGCTTCAGAGCAGATACAATACGTCACAAACCCAAGGACACGACAGGGGTCACAGGGAGTGGGAGAGAGACACGGTCTTGGATGAACAAGCCATGAGACCCTGGGAAGCAGCTGTGGCATTTGCATGGATTAGACACTCATGAGCGGTACCCCCTTTGTCTCCTTGGTCTCAAGGCCTTTAATTTAGACCACGTACAGCCGTGACTTCCATGTAGTCCATGAAACAAGAGAATGCTAGCTTAATTAGTTAAAAAGTAACATCAACGCGGGGCTGGCTGGCTTTGTAAACTGTGGAACGTTCACATAGCAAAGAAATGACAGTATTTGTGGGAAGAAGGCGGGGAGTCAGCTTGTTGATGGCATGCTTACACGTGGCACTGGAAAACGGAAGAAGGTAGAACCTGAGTGGTAGGATCCCGTTTCCCTAACTTAAGACACAGGTCTGTGCATCTGTGCTCACAGACGCGAGGATGTCTGTGTGGATGTTCCGACTCCTATACACGCATCTTTTCTTTTTATACAACACACATTGTCACATTGCTTTTGTACTTCATTGAAACCAGCGAAGATTGTTCAAATGCGCCTTCAAATACATCTTCACTTAGCAATGCAGTCCAACCAGGCAGCTGGGCAGGCCTGGCGCTGATGGTGCAGCTTCCAGGTGGGCAGGGTCCCTGCTGAGCCATGGCTGCAGAGGACACCAGGCCGCAGCCTCCTCGCCCAGGGGCCCTGCTTGGCCACTGGACCAGGCCAGCTCTGCATGGCACTTGCCATCCCCACAGCAAGTGGCTGGGTGTGGATGGATACTTTGGGGGGAACTGAATGTGTCTCTTTCCAGGGGTGACCTTGAGGCCCGATGTCTATGGGGAGAAAGGCCTGGACATTTCCTACAACGTCTCTGACAACAGGACCTGGGTAGACCTTGTGAACACCCTCCACAACTTCTTGGCAGGTGACGTTTCACATGCTTCCCATCTCTGTTTCTCCCTCCTCTAAGACAATCTCACTGAGGGGTACAGGCTTCCCACTGTCCAGCCAGCCCCAGGTGGCTGTGGGTGGAGGCAGGCAGCCACAGCTGTGTGTGTGTGTGTGTGTGTGTGTTCCAGCAGGCTACTCGCCCACATCCCAGGAGGACAATGTCAACTGTACCTCTGAGAAGTACTACTTTCAAGAAGTTTTTGGGGCCCCAAATCACACCAAGTTCTCCTGCAAGTTCATGGCAGACATGCTGCAAAACTGCTCAGGCCTGACAGACCCCAACTTCGGCTTTGCAGAAGGAAAGCCGTGTTTTATTATTAAAATGAACAGGGTGAGTCCTGAAGGGCTGCAGACCAGGGACCCAGCCTGAGGGCTCCTGTGGAGACAGCTGTGTGTGACCCCAGGCATCCCTGGCTGGGACCTAGGCAGCAGGGTGGGGACATGTACTCCGGCCCCATCCCTCCCTGCACTTTCGCTCAGCTCACACCTGCGTCACGCTGGCTCTGGAGTTGACCCTTCCCCAAATACAACCTGAACACATCTCAGACACAGCCCTGACTTCATGCTCCACAGCATCTGGACACTGAGCAGTAGAGTCCGGGCTGCTTGGGGCGGTCACATGTACATGATAGCTTGACAGCAGCCAGCTGTATACAGGTGCCACAAGGACAGCTGGGAATCTTCCAGGGTAGAGGTTTTCATTTTCATTCTGGGCCAGGGGCTGTGCCGGGCATGAGGGAGGCTGAACAGGCCAGTACAAGCAAACCACAGGAGAGCACAGTCCACCCAGCCTTGGGGTGCGGGGAGGGCTGGAGGGTCTGTGCTCCATGCTGGCCAGCAGGTGCGGCCAGGGGTTCCCAGCTTCTACTCAGCAATACAAACCTTCCGTCCTGAGACCAAAGGAAGCCCCACATTTGTGAACTGCACACTTTCCTGGGTCCCTGCTAGGTCTCGTGGCCACCTGGCAGGGGAAGCTATGCACACAAGGTGTGCAGGGAGGGCAGTATTGCCCTGGGCACTCCACTTCAGGGCACCGCAGAGCACCAGAAAGTGGCAGCTACAGCTCAGGTCCTCCTGTCCAGCTCCGCCACCTGCTGGCAGGAACCACAGCTGGGATAGAAGCCCATGGAGAGCCACAAGGACACCCTTCCCTTCCAGATCGTGAACTTCCTCCCCAGCAACAGCACAGCGCCCAGGGCCGACTGCACCTTCTTGGTGAGTGCGCGGCCACCCCAGAGCCGCTTCCTCCTCAGTTCCCCTCAGCTGCCTGGCTGTCTCGATCCTTGGTCACACGAACCACCGCTCAGAGCAGCTTTCTCTTAGGGAACAAAAATCTAGTAAGAAGAACAGCATATCTTTGTTGTTTTGCTACAAGAAGCATACAGTGTATCACTAACACACTTCAAAGACTTCGGTGGCAATTTGGAAAAAACTGAGTTGGTATTAATTTACTCAAAAACAGTTCTTAAGCACAACACAAAAAAAAAAAAACAAACTTCTTGTCATTGAATATTCCCTAATGCTTGTTTTCCCAGTCATGGCCTCGCCCGAAGACTCCTGTGAGCAGCCACAGTTCCCACCCCAGCCTCTCTGGTTCTGGGTCCTTCTGTAGCCACTCATCCACACATGTGGGCTGACCTGAGCTTCTAACAGATGTCAGAGTGTCCCCCAAGACTGACTGACAAGCTCTGGCTATCCGCCGAGAGAGTCACAAGCTCTCATAATGACAAGAAACATACCCCACACGAGCAGAGACCCTTACCTAGAAAGTCTCTCAAACTTGTAGCCAGTTCAGCCTCCGCAGCTTTCATTCCCACAGATGGACAAACAGGCACCTTCTTTATCAATCTTGTTATTCTACAAGGACTTGAAATGATAAAAATCCAAGTTTGATAGGCCATGGAAGGTTTTGCAAATGAACAAACAACGTCCCTATGAGATCTCAGCATTCATCATAAAGATTAGATCTAATGCATGCTAATTGCACAATGAAGTGTTTGTATCTGCACGTGTGCATACGTACACATGTGCAGACACATGCACCCAGATCCTGCCTCTCTCAGGCCATAGCCTCTCTGCCCCCAGGACCAGCACAAGGATGACCGGCCCCTGCAGGTGGAATATTACCCACCCAACGGTACCTTCAGCCTTCACTATTTCCCTTACTACGGGAAAAAGGCACAGGTAGGTTTGTCCCACTTCTCCCAACAACAGCTGCAGAATCATCTCAAAGTTAGCATGATTGCCAAAAGGAAAGACATCAATGTTTTACCCATGCAAGTGAAACAAAGGTGTCACTTGGCCCGTTCTGTGTAGCTCTTTGGGTGTTTCCCTACCTGAAAACACACAGCTCTCCTGTGAAACACAAATGTCAAACCTAATTCTTTTCCGAGAGCTTCCCAAATCCTTTTAGAGAACCACATACCCATTTTAAAGCACTTCCTCCAAATCTCGCAATTTTTCCTGTTTTATTTTTATACTAATTTTCATCAAATATAATTTGAAGTTAACTTTGTCACTGGTGCGGTCTCCCTACCCCCAGACCAGCTCTCCTGCATGTGGCAGAGTGCGAGGGCTGCTGAGCAGGTGCTGCAGGCCACATGAGAATAGAGCAGGCAGGGGCTGCCACGACAGGGCACCTGCTGTGCGGTTTCTAACTCTCTCCTCCTCCCGTTTCCACACTCACGTTCCAGCCCCACTACAGCAACCCTCTGGTCGCCGCGAAGCTTCTCAATGTCCCCAGAAACACGGAAGTCCTCATTGTGTGCAAGATCCTGGCAGATTATGTGACCTTTGACAACCCCCATGACCCCTATGAAGGGAAAGTGGAGTTCAAGCTCACCATTCAGCAGTAGAGAGCAAGGAGGCTGCACCCTGGCTGCCCATCCCCCCTGCCATCCCTGTACTCCTCCTAGCTGCCCGTCGCCCCCCACCCCACCCCCCAGCTGCCCACCACCCCCTGACCTCTCCATTCTTCCTAGCTGCCCGCTGCCCCCTGCACCCACCCACCAGGCCTCTAAACGCCCAGGAACTGCAGGCAGCTGTGCACTAGGCACCTAGTGGGACAATCAACAGCCTCTCGCTAAGTCTTTTCTGCTCTTTGACCCAGAATCAGTAGCTACAATAAAAACACTAGGCCAATGTGATGACCCTGAGGCAGCAGCAGACTTCATGTTCCTCACTATTCCCTAGTCTTTTTAACTTCAGTGACATCCCAGTCCCCGTGTCTACGTGAAGACTGCTCCCACTCCCATAGAAACACTACTTATCAGGCATTCTGAAGGCTTGCTCTTAAAGGACAGAATTCCCAAACTGTAAAAGTAAAACACATTAAAGGTACTATGTTAAACAATCATGTCTCTTCTGATAAAGGAAAAATATAACAAAATCACTTTCTCTTTAAAATCTTCTTCTTAAAGTTTCAATCCCCTGTTGGGGGAAATTCAGACAAGGCTGGAGCAGGACGCCCCTGAGAACCCATGCGGCAGCAGGAGGTAGGCAGGCGAGGCAGGAGGGCAGCACATGTGGGGTGCGGTCTAAGCCACGGACACAAGCCCACCCTCCGACTCCCAAGGATGAGCGGGCGTGTCACTGAAGCCCCCTGTGAAAGCCTGGACTGAGAGCCCTGCGCTCCTGGAGCTTCACCCCCTCCACCCCAGTCATCTCACACAGCCTGGTGCCCTAATCCCCTGTGAGCACCAGGCACAAAGTCACCACCAACAGAGCTACAAGACCCCACGCAGCGGAGGGTGGGAAAGATGTCAGACACCCATGTGCCAGCGGTCTGCGAGCTGCTGCCCCCACGATGCCCAGCACAGGTCACCTCCACGGGTTCCACCTGCATGCAGCAGGCAGGGAGCACCAGAACATGGCGGCTGCACGTTCACCCACCCCCAGGTCCCACTGCCCTCGGGACACTGGCAGGAAGTCAGACTGGCAAGAAAGGCCACTTCCTCCCATAGCACCACGGACACCCCTCCAAGGCCTGCGGTAAACACTTCACCATCCTTTCTCACCTCACGACCTCACTCCTGAAAGTCAAACCCCCAGAATCTGGGTCAACTCTGAGGGCCTGGGAGGGCAGGTGCACTTGGGCTGTGTCCACCGGGCCCCCGACTCCTTGCTTGGAGACAAGCAATACTGACACAGAAGATAAATTGACTTATGGACCAGAATCCTGAATTAGAGGAACACAGAGCGTGTTTAAAATGTCCATGCGCGTTTTATTAATAAAAACTAACAGTGCCAAGTTAAACAAGTCAAACAATTAAAGTCTCTTTATATTCCATAAAATATTACAGAAAAGTTTATTTGTGTTTCAATAAAAAGACTATTGTTTAGAACAGGCAGCTGACAGCAACTGTGCGGTTAATGGTTCTTTGTGAATAAATTTTAAAAGGGACTATACTGCCTGTCCTGAAATTCCTTTTTCTTTTTATAAAAAAAGAACTATTAAAAATGATTGACAAATTTTGAGTTAAAAAACTGTTAGAACATTCTCTATATTTAATGTCAACTTCATCATAGATTACAGGAAGATGCTCACGAAACAAATAACGTTTGTTTCAGTTCATGTCCTTAGATGACAGACGTGTAGGTATGTAAACGACTACACAGGAGTTTCCACACCCCGCCTGTAAGAAATCAGGCGGACCTCCCACGAGCAAATGTGCTCCGAGCCTTCCACAGTTGTCGCAGCTGCACCAGCACGGCAGTAAACTTTTACCAAACAAAACAAAAAGAAAGAAAGAACTTTGCAAATTGTTTGCTGCAACATAGAGGGGAAAAAAAAAAGGCATAAACTTGATGGAATCACAGTCAATATAATTTAAGGGTAAATAAAGTCATGATACAGTTTCTGGCGCTGAATGCTGAGGAGCATAGCCCTGCTGCTTGCCGGGCCCCCAGATGCCCCAAGAGGTGGGGGCATCAGGAGGGGGCCACATGCCCCCACCAGCTGTGCCGCTCCCAACACACTGCAGACACATGGTGCCCAGGTGCACCAGCCACAGCCACACTGCATTTTACTGTCGCAACGTGGATGGGGCACATGGCTTCGGCACACTCAGCAAGAATTGGGGGGCAAAGCGAAATCTGAATGAGAAACAGACAATGAAAACGAAATCCTAGACAGTGAAGAAAGGCCCTGTGTCGCCGCTGGCATGGAAGCGCACCACAGCTCCCCCCAGGACCCCGAGGAGCACAGCCCTTGCCTGCTCAGTGGGGCCGCACGGCCGCGCCATCAGCTCACCGCTGGCTCCTTGGGAGGAGGCCAGGAAGAAACACGCGCCTGCGGCAGAAGCAGTCTCTTCCGAAAGCGGTGTTCCCGATGTAGACCGTGAGGGCGGGCCACAGGCGGGCGTCAGTCCTCCTCCTCATTCTCATTGAAGTCATCGTCCTCCTCTTCGTCCTCCCCAACGTAGGACACAGGGGTCTCCACCCGGGATCCGCTGTACTGAGACCCGCTGGAGCTCGTGGCCAGCATGCCGTCTGCACCATTGGTCAGGTCACTGTGAGGAGAGGCGAGACAAGGCAGTCGGTGGGACGCGGGCTGGCTCCTGGGGGGGAAGGGGCTTTCCCTACCATGTGCGCAGATCAGGGACTCCCGACATCCACCCCTGTGAGCCCGGCGCTTCTCCCGAGCCGTCCTCTGCGACAGAACAGAAACGAGCAACACTGACAGGACCTCGATGTCAGTGACCAAGTTGCTGACAAAACCCCAACATGCTCCAGCTGGAAACCTACGGCTCCTTCTGGGCCTTGACCTTGTGACCCCCTCCATCTCCAGGAGGGAGCTAAAAACATGTTAGGAAAAAGGAGCCCCCAGGAAAAGATGTGGCTCCCCAGATGGCAGTGCATGGGAGATGCCAAGCAAGTCTGTACATGTGCTGTACGTGTAAGCATATGTTGTGTGCATGTGTGGTTGTGCATGTACGTGTGTTGTGTGTGTGCATGTGTTGAGTCTGTGTGCATGTGTGGGTGTGCATGTGCACATGTATGTGCCTGAGTGGTGTTGTGTGAATGCATGTGTCCACAGTCCCCCAGGCCCCACCCTCAGCTCCTCTGGCATCAGTGCAGAGCCTAGGAAGACGAGCTGTGTGACAGATGAGTCTCACTCAGATGCTCTGCAACCTGCGCTTCTAGAAACAACTCCAAGGACCCCATAGCCTTCTACCATTTCATGAAACAGCAGCTGCTCAAAGCCAGGGCGGTGGCAGGGCAAGGTCCAGGAGCCCAGGGGGGCAGACCTGCAGGGCGGGTACTGTTGGGAAGCAGGGCTGCTCAGCCCTACACTCTGGTCCCTCAGACAGGTGTCTGGAACCTGTCTACGTTGCCCCTGTACCCTTGAGAGTCTCAACAGGGCACATCTAACCTCCTCTACTATGACAACTGGGGGGCATCTGAGCCCAAGGGTGCCACTAAACACCTCACTAGGCACAGCACAAGGTGCATGACAGAATCCTCTAGCCCCAATATCAACAGTGCCTTGGGCAAGAAGGCCCTGGCCTAGAGAGATCTTTAAAAAGCCGCAATCCTGAGGAAAGACTTCTGGGTTCAGGCACCACCCCTCAGGACCCAGCAGAGCGGGTCAGACACCGTCTCGGGGCACCAGCAGGTGACAGCCCATACCCCCTATGAGGTGCACACGTCCCCTGAGAAGTATAATCTGTTGTCAAAAGTCATTGTGATTTCTTAGTAATTGAGAAGAAAAGGTATTCTAAGAAACACCACATACTAAAGGGATGCCAGTCTAGAATTTAAAGCTCAACAGAGTTCCTCCAGATTCTAGCCAGACACCCCATAACCACACAGGGGTTTGGGGGTCACCCCAGCAGAAACACCATGCTCAGCATCCTCTCTGCTACTCAATGGGAAGGCTTCAGTCACCTGCCTCAACAGGACAGGACACAGGAGGGTAGAACCACACAGGAAACACGGCTGTTCTACACTCGAAGAAGAGGGAGTTTGGGGCGTGGGCTGATGAGCGCCACTCTCACCTGGCAATGCAGGTGGGTGCCCCAAGGGTATAGCATCCCATACCTACCACAGGCCAGAGCCGTGGCTCCAACAAACGCTTTTCTTTGACATACAACGTATGTCACACACGTATATATTTTAATGCCTTTTACTAGAATTAATGAACACCATATGATTAAAAACTATTAGATGTGACAGTCTTTGACAAAGGAACTCCACATCTGTGAAATCCAGCCTAGCAAAAAAGTCAGAAAGGGTAAAAAATTTAGCCAAAAAACTACTTCAAATTGCATCTTTTCTTCTAAGTGGGAACCACCTAACTGTCCAAGAAATCACTGTGCCTTGGTAAAGTATCAGTGCCAGTTTCTACACTAGTTTTTCTTCTGAAATGGTAGTGGCCCTCCTTACCTTTCTATAAACCTGCATTAATACCCAAATTCCGCCTCTTGGAAAAACCAGTGCTCAGCATCCCACAGACTCACAACCACACATGCACAGCGGGAAGGTTACGATCACCTACTGAGCTGACCTCTGCCTAAATCTGACGGGGGCCAGATACTACACAAAGGACTGCGGTGACAACCCCACAGCCAGCCCATCGCATGGCGCAAGTCAAGAGCTTCACTCGTGTCACAGAACCCAGGAGCCGGTGACGGCCACAGAGCGCCACATCACCCTTGAGCAGATCAATTCCATTCTGTTGAACCTATAGACCACTAATCTATTTCACACTTCAAAAAATTAGACATTTATTAGTATTTAAGATTGATATGAGACAATATGTATAATAACGTATAACATAACATGAAAGTTAATAAAACCATTGTTTTGTCAATACTTAATGCAGAAATTATCTTATGTTAATTTTTAGAAAACT